TACTAGAAACAGTCACTAAAGATAAATATACTCAAAGTTAGCAATTTGCATATTTACTAATGGAGAAGGGCTAGTAAAATTTAGAGTAATATTTGAAATCAAAGGAGCAATAATATCTTGAAGTAGAAGAGTTGCATAAAAAATATTGGAATAGTTAATAAATATATTTGAATATTTGAAGCAAAAAAATATCGCTCATAGAGATATCAAATTAGTAAATATTCTAATAATGGAACCATTTTAACTCAAAGCATGTGATGTTGGATGCAGTTCCTAAGTGGATACAATTTAAACAATTAGTGTAGTTGGAACAATGTCCTACTTAGCCCCAGAATTGTTTTATGCTGAAAGTAATAAACTTAAACATAACCCTTTTAAAAGCGATGTTTACTCTCTTGGACTTTGCTTTCTCTATTTAATTACATTATAATAGTGGAATTCAAGGCAAAAGGTTAATTCTTAAGTTGAAGAAGAAATAATAAAGGATTATTTAAAACATGTTAAAAGAATTACTGCTGACAATAATCTTATTATTGATATCCTCAAAAAGATGTTATAAATTAATCCTAATAATCGACCTGATTTTATTGAATTGAAATAGATTTTTTAACAAATGAAAGAGTCTTAAAATAAACAAATTTTTTTATTTAAAGGTACAACCTTAGAATCTTTTGAATCCCCTAAAAAATTTCTTACATAGCAAGATTATCTTTCTCCAGATATTATAATTCATAGAAGTAGAAATACAGGATCAAACTTTTATAAAGAGGAAAAGTAAAAATCAGCTAGAAATCTGTCTTCAAATTTAAGTAACACAAAAAAATAAAAATCATAAAGCAATTTATTAACAGAATAATTCACAAAAACATAAATCTCAAAATCACCTAAAAACTCCTCAGCTATAAAGGAACCATAATTTCTTTACAAACCTCCAACCCCAAATTTCAAAATAAAATCATATTAAGCTCCTGCTTCACCAAATCATACTCAAACAAATTTCTAACAAAAATAATTCTCTAAGTTCCATCAATCTGTAATTGAGAATAAAAAAACTAATACTGAAACCTTTTCTCAAACTTTACCCATAATTCAAACATTTTTATAACCAGAGTCAAAACCTTTAAATGATTTCCTATTTTGCAGTTATGATGATTTAACCAATTCATATTAATTTTAAAACTATATTTGCCTTTTTTTAAATGAAAGGTAATCACTATAAAAAAAATGTTATTTACCCAATTGTTGTAAATTATTAAGTTTAAAACTAAATAATTCAACTCCAGAATTATATTTATCTACAGTAAATGACGTATAAATTTTAATTCTAGAATTAATTGATGATTTTAATCAAAAAGATCTTAATTATAGATGGTCTGAAAATCTTGGTTCTATGAGTTTTTAAGCGATAACTTCACTTGAGATTATTGTTAATACTCAATAAACTTAGGCTAATAATATAATATAGTTTTTAAATAAAATTTAGCACATTCCTAAAATTAAATTAATATTTCAATCAGAAATAACTGAATAAGATCACAGAACTATAATGTGGAAATTAAGTAGATATAATTGTACCTCATTTGAATTTAGAATACCTAATATTAAATTAAATTTAACTCAAATATCTTAATTATGGTAATTTAATTAATCTTTGGATGAACTCTCTCTAGATTATGAGGATTGTGGAATTCATTAAATTTTTTCATTCCTTGTTACATCATTAAGAACAGTTGTTTTTAAAAAGTTTTCTATCAATTTAAATAAATTGTAATCCAAAAATTCTGAAATAAGTTTATTTCTTGAATATTTAGGATCCAAATAGTTACTTAAAGAATTATTTTTACAAATGGATCAACTCACAAATTATGATAAAATGGTTTAAGAAAAATTGAAGACTAATATTTTAAAACTTAAAAATATAAGAAAAACTATAATTATCCCTTGTTGGAAATACCTTAAATTTTGAGTTCTTTGAAAAATTATTTAATATATTCGAATAACTTAAATAACTTTAAGTTATAATCATTTAATTTGATAGAATTTTTGAAAAAACAAAACTAAAAGAGCTGAAAAAGATATTTCATCAATTAAATCGGTTTGCTCTATAGTTTTATGGTACAAATAGAACTTTAACAATCATTTTGCATAATAATGAACTACAGAAATAATAAGATTATGGAACCACATAATGTAATTAAGGCAAATAAGTTAAAATAAGTTAGATGTATGAATGTATAAAATGTTCTAAATCTCATTAATTCTTTTTAAAACGTTAATTTCAAATATGTAGCACATGTGTAACAAATTGCCATTCTAAATGTGACAATATTAATGTAAAAAATACTGAAGCAATAACACTTTGCTCAGATTCATTGACATAAAGTCTATTTAATCAAAATTTGATCAAGAAGAATCACACCTTCATTGAATGAAATGACACAAAAGATTTCAGATGTTATTGTAATTTATTAGGCACTTGCACTCAAGCAATTAGTAACAAAAATAGAAATAAATATGAAATACAGTTTAAGTATACTATTCTCTCTATTTTTAGATGCTAAACTTGTAACAAAATAATTTGTCGAATGTGTTCTTCTGATTGCCATTCAACTCATAATAAAGAAATGTATATAAATAATTTTAGATGTGAATGTGATTGCGATAAACATATATGAATTAATACCAAATGTAATTAATTTCATATTAATCTAAATCCAATGAAATATCTATTGGATAGAACTTAAGTAAGTTCTTTTGAAGTGCATATTTTTTTAATTGTACTACAATTCAATTAATTGTAAATTTCCAACATGCATGGTCTAATTTATAGAATAATAAATACTCTATAATGATTTATAGATTTTTGTTATTGACTTAAATTTCTTTAGTCCATGAATTCAATAAACCATTATTAATTTATTCTTCTGTAATTTCAAGAGGTTTTTCAGTAATTTCTGGTATATTTAATTGAATTTTAGTTCCTTTTTTAAAATCTTTATAATCAAAAGATTCAGGAAGCATGTCAAAAATTGGAATAATATTTTGATCTAAAATCTATTGCATACTAATTTTATTGAGTAAAACAAAAATGGAATCCAATTCTTTAAAAGTGGGAGAATACATTTTAATAATTTTTTATGATTTTTTTTCTCTGATTAAAATTTAAGAAGGCAAAAAATCAGTTGTATAGTAAATATTATCAAAACTCACAACTTTCCTAATGGATCTCTTTAATAAAAGTTTTTCTGGAAATTCATGTTTTTCTAAGAAATGAGTGATTATGATATACCATTTATAATAAGAATTCCTATTTCTTTATTTATTGGTAATCCGGTTTATACTTTGATTTATAAATTATTATCTTCTGAAATAGGTATTTAATCTTATTTTATATCTGTTAATCTAGTTTATTAAAGAAGCGGTGTTTCATTTAAATCATTAAGTATAAAATTATCTTCTGATTTTTAAATCTATTATTAAACTTTTTCAAGATTAAATTATTCTACAAAGGATTACATTTCAAAAAAGTTATTCTTAACAATATCGTAAAGTTTTTGTGGAGACAGTTCAATAGTTTAAATATGTTAGTATTCTTATTAATATAATTGAATTATGGGAAAATAAATTCTAAAGAATCCTTATCCTGATTGATTTTTAATAACAACAACACTTTAAAATTCTTCTGTATCAAATTATTTAATTTTATATTTCAATCGATTCAAACCTTTTTATTTTAAAGCAACTGTATTTCTTTCTAGTAATTATAGGTTTTTTTATAAGAAATCTATTGGATCAGAATGAGTATTAAATATAGCCAAAGCCATTTAAAATGTTAATTGAAGGGGTTTAGTTGATTTTTTATTTACTTCATCTTCAAATTCTCTAATCCATTCTATTTCAAAAGATTTTATTAATGCAAGTATAGGCATCTTTTGATATTTGTAGATTTTCTTATAATATGTTCTTTATTCTTTTGGGATTGATTCTGTATCTTCTGCATCAGTTAATTCTGCAATTAGATTTCTATTTAAAGGTTCTAATCTTGTAGTAGAATGACCAAATTTTTGAGAATAATGAAATTTAGATAAACCTTGAAATCCTCTATCACAAGCAGCTCCAAAGTGTCTTGAACTAAAATCTAGACTATTGACAAGTCCTTTTATATATTTTTGTATTACTTTAAACTACTAATTATTTTGAATTTGGACTCTATTATATGATGGAACTTCTTTATAAAAGAGGTAACATCTTGCTTTCATTATGAACAAATTTGCTTTGAGTATTCCTGAGATAGGCTGGTTCAAGCAATTTGTGTTAAGTTGTCATAAGTTTAGGAAGAATATCAAATTTTGTATGACTATTGTTGTTCATTAATATAATAATCAAGCAAATATACTATTTGCCAATTTTTTAAAATCATCATAGTATATGTGGCACTTTCATCAATTATTTTATGAATGTTCCTCTAATTTGAATCTATCTTTGGATGATTTCATTTCAAACATATCTAAACATGGTAATTCATTCTCTATTTTCGTAGCTTCTAAAATAAAATTAAACTTATCAACATTTTTCCTTACTTACTTTCAAATAATTAACACATGCAACTATCCGATCCTTTTGATAATCTAATATAGTCTTTAGTTAATATGGATAATATGAAGGGTGCTGATTTAAATTTTATACCTCCTTGGGCTATTCCTAAAGTAAATCCAAAATCCTTATGAATTATATGATCATAATTATCAATCAAAATGTTTGCATTATATCTATCTTTTATAAGTATTAGACCTATTTAACTAAATTCTTAGAATAAATTAATACATCTTCTGAAACTTTAATAATTTACATCATCATTTATTCTTATCTTAAATTATCGCCACCCTCTATAAGTAAGCTTTTTAAACAATATTTATTAAATTTTCCACAAGGTGATTGTGAAAAATTAACTACTTTTTTATCTTCTCGTTATTCAATAAATGGACAACGTTTTAAATCTTTTTAAGATAATGATTCTATATATTAAATATTCTGTTGTTAAACACGATCATTTAATTACTTTTTTATCTTTTCAATAGTTATTTCTTTATTTCGATAATTTTAATCAATTTAAATAATTGCCATCAATACTTAATCAAGGAATTTTATTTTGTTCAATTTTTATACTTACATTTTAACTTTTCTACCTAAAATACTAAGTTTTTAAAATCCTTCTCTTTACAACTTTTTATGATTATAAAATTTTAATTTTTAATTTAATACCTAGCTAACTAAATAACAACACTTTATTAATAATTCCTTAACTGTTTTAAATTATATAAATCTTGAAAAAGAGTATAATAAAATTAATGTATAATATCGTATTTCAAAAAGGCTCAAAATCAATTAATGTATATTTGATTAATTTATTTTTTTTAAGTTTAGGATTTGTCCAATAAATACTCACCAAGTTATGTCAATTACTAAATTTGTTATTATCATCATAATTTAATAAATAAAGTCTAAAATAGTTTTAAGGTTGTTTTCTAAACATCTTTATTTATTATATATATTTATCTAATGTTATTAATTATATAATTAATTTGTATATAAAAAAATGCTAATATTTTTGATAGGTCTTGTTCGATCTCAGTCTGCTTCATCTGCTGGGATGAATGAGGTACAAATTAGTTTTTTTAGGATTCCAAACTTATTTATGAAACATATTATGCATAACTATTACCATATTACATAGTTGATATGTAGTTTCCAGATTATTTTCAAATATCTATGAAAATAAGTGGATGTGAAAAATGCGATTCACCTTATATTGAAGGAGGACCTGATATGATAATTGAATTAAATTATACATTATATATTGTAAAATGTGATCAAATTTGGGAATTACATGGAATTTGTGGTACTTATTTAGAAGTTCATAAGTATATTATTTTTATATTATTTTAAAGACCATTGAATAAAGATATAATATATGAGTAACAAATAAAAGGTAAAGGAACTCTAAGAACATAAATGTTAACTAAATAATTATAAAGTGGACGATATGAAATATGGGTTGTTGTACGTAGTAAAATTGGATCTGTTATTCAATATGTGAAATCATTTTACATAACTATTGTCAATTAATGAAATATTTATTAATTTATGTCAAAAAAGAAATTGGATCGTTTAGATGATGCTAAATGTTCTACAGATCGTAGTCATAATAAAAATAATAATAGTACTGATCTCAATTTTGTATTATTTTCATTTTTAATTTATGTAGACACTTCATTAGAGATTAAATAGTAATATTGAAGAATAATAACTACAATCAAAAATTACATTCTTTTCAAAATTCAAATAAAAAGAAATACCTATTATCAATAATGATTCTATTTAAGGAATGGCATAAACATTATCTAAAATATCATTCAATGAAATTCAGCATCATTAATTATAAAGAGAATATGATAAAATTAAAAATGAACTAGCTTAATTTAGAGCTTAACAAATTAAACTATATTCAACTATAACTAAATTATAAAAGGATAATTAAACACTTATGGATAAATTAAAATTTTATGATGAAGAAAAACTTAATTTATAAAGAAAAATTTAAATTGAACAGAAATTAAATGAAGAATTAAATAAAAAACTTAAAAGATCTGAACAAAGAATTTAAATCATTTTAGAATCAAACATTGTTTTTCAAAAAGATCAAATTAAAATGACACTTTTAGATACTCTTCATGAAAATGAACATTATAAAATGGAGGCAATACAAAAATAAAAAGATTTATAAAAGTATTTAATATTATCAATATTAGATTATAAATTAATAATAGTAACCTTAATCATAAATTAAATAGACTCACAAATCGAATTATTACATCATAGAGACATTAAACAGAATCTGAATTCATTGATTAAGATAAAATGGTCATTACTTTCACTGATATTCCAACTAATTTTATCTTTAGACATATTTTTCAAAATATAGAATGTAAATAATTCATTTCTACTTCTCTTGAATAAACTCCAGAACAATTTGGTTCTCATTTTAATCTCATACCTTAAGATCAAAAGAAAATTCATTTAATTTGGCTATTTAATCATATGGTCAATTATCGAGAATTCAGTTAATAACACAACAATTTTATAATTAAATTAACTGAATTGATAGTGATAAAGTATTTAAAATTCTTAATTTAATAATAGAAACTATTAAGATTTATATAACTTTATATAAAATTTATCTTAATTCTTAAAAGTATCAAGAATAACACTTTGGCTTAGAGATTATTGGACTGGCTTTTTTGAAACTCTATAGGAAGGTAAATCTTAAAAAATCATTTGTTCTAAAGGGGCATTCAAAGACTGTTTAGAATAAAGAGAAGCTATAAATAGTAATATATATAATATATAGATATATATAGAACTCACTGCATAAAGACACCTTTTATATTAAGATGGTAAAGGAGATGATGTTTATTAAGAAAATACTTATTTATATCCTTTGAATACAGAAACTGTATTACCTGCTGGTCTTTTGGAAGTCTTCTAACCTACATAAAATAATTCTTATTCAGATGTCTAATATTTTACTTCTCTTTTAGGTATATTTGTTAAAATAGTTGTATCTAAAATAGAAAATGATATTGTTATATAAAATGTGGCAAAATAAAAAGATATTCTTCTAAATTAATTTTTATGTTTGATGAAGGCAGATGATAAATTGCAATTTACAAACTTAATAAAAGAAATGTAATCTAAACTATTACAAATCTCTACTTGCGAAATAATCTTTATAGAAAATAATTAAATGTTTAAATATAGTCGCCAAGGTTTATAATCAATAAAATGTATTGCTGGAGTTTGTGGTTTAATTGCCTAAGAGAAAAAGCCTGCTTTCTTTTCAAACCTTACTAAATAAGTGCATTATAATTAATTAATTGATATGTATACACTTGCTCCAGTTTATATTTATCCTATCTTAAATAATGATTAATGTTTAGCTGTTATTGAATTAACACTAACTAATAAATAAATTGATCATCATCGCTTTAGAGATCCATTAACTAGTTTAAATCAATAATCTAATTAAGCTAGAATGTTTTGTGAATGTGTATAAACAGCATATCTATGCAAATTTAATTGAATATATTGATTAAATTTTTATAATATTATTCACTTTAGTATATAAAATGATTAATTTTTCATTTATAAAGTAACTTAAAAAATATTATAATTAATTCCTTATTCAATATAAACTTTATAAACATAAGAAAATTTTTGAATTCTTCTTTAAAACAACACTATTTATTCATTAATGCTATTTGATAGAATTAAAATATATATAGATATGTGTGCTAAAATATAATAATCTAAATTCTTTAATTTAATTTATATGACAAATAATTACAAATGATTATTAAATATTTTTGGGAAATTCTAAAAATCTTCGTTTTAAGATGACATGGAACTCATAATTTATTAATTTAGAGAGCATTTTAATGTTCAATAAATATGTTTGATAAATGTCATTAATGAAAAATAGACTCGGAATTATTGATTAAAATATGATATATAATTAAAATTAAACTAGTTTCACTTAATTATGGATCTAGATGATGATTATTTTAAAGCATTACACAATTACATCTAAATGGTTATCATTCCTTGTGTAATTAATAATGTTAATGCAACCTCTTTTTATGATAATTGAAAATGGATTGGAAGAGTGGAGTTCTGATTATTCTATTCTTCATCTAATAACCTTATTAATATTCAGATAAGATGTGCTACTTTTAGATTATAACATTGATTATACAAGATTGTACTTAGTGGTTTTGGTGATATTCACAATTCAAAAAGTATGGTAATTTACCATTACATACATACTTTATCGAATTAAGGATCGTGAACGATAATTTTAAAAGGTAGAAGAATGCTCTATTTTAAGAATCTCAATAATAATACTTGCAATATACACACAATTATCAATTACTATTTTGCATTTATTCTTTTCAACCCTTTGTATTATGAGTTTTGCATTTTGTATTAAAAATGGTTAAGAATATGTTCAATTAATTTTATCTTTACTTACATACATCTTCTGGTAAGTTGATTATTTAATAACATTTACTATATCCAGTACATCTCTAACTTTTAAACAAAATCATTTGGATATTTCATAAACTACAATACTAACATATTTATCATATCTTTTTTAGTAATTACAAATTATCATATTTTGTATTTTACTTAATAAAAATAGTGTAAGACTTACAAATATAGTATTATTATTAATAGACATAATATTTTAAATAATCAATCAATTATTATTTTAAACTTATATCTTTAAAGAATCACGCTAAATATTATATTTTATTTCCTCATTAAAATTTGTTTTATGTTTTTATTTTTTTGGTAAATCATTTAATCAAAATCAAATGTTTGAAAATTTAATAATTCCTTTATTATTAATACCAATAGTATATTATGGATTAATGACATTAGATATTAAAATTCATTATGAGGCTTTTGCTAATATGTTTAAAGAAGAACCAAATCTTAATAAACTTATATATTAACTTAAACTTATTTTAAATTAATGTGATATAGAAAAATAAATGATTCCTTTAAAATCTTCTCTAATAAATAAATTTCATAGAAAATTATGTCATAATCCATTATGCATTTGTTCAAATAAAATTTTCATTTCAGAAATTTCATAAGCAAATGCTATAACTTAATCAATTTAAAAATAATTTATTTTCAACAAAATTTAATTTATATTGCATTCTAAAGAAGCCCAAAAAAGTCATTAATATAATTAATTAATTATTGTTCAAACTTTATTTTAATTTGATTTTGGTTGGCTGACAGATTCAATAAAAAATCTAACTTAATTATTGAATTGTCATATAAATAATTAACACTTTGTAATAAAAAAGGAAATTTAAAAAAAAGTTGTTTATGATGAATCTTGTAATGAAACATCAACAAGAAAAGATAAATCAGATGAACATTTAACATAATTTATTAGATTAAAAATATAATTAAATTTAATTGATTAATGTAGAATTAATTATATTCTTTATTAAGCAAAATTTAAACTTAAATCATTTCTTGGTACTTCAATGCATGCTTATTAATAATTAATGGTTACTGATTTTATTCAGTCATTTCTAAATTATGATTAATGTTTAAAATAAATTTAATCTTAAACAATTGAAACTATTAATGATAAAATTGAATTTTATTATAAAATAATAAAAGATGAGAAATAAGATTTAAATATTTTAGGAAAATGTACAAAAGAAATATGTTTTAAACTTAATAAATTAAAAAAAAGACTTAAATAAGTATATGCAACATATCCATGTTCAAGTATTTAAAGATGTATTTGTTTTTTTTAATGTGAATTATTAAATAATTATTATGAGGCTAATAAAACATCTACAATCACATCAATGTAGGATGATAAAATGTTTAGAAATAAAAAAATTACAAATTATGATATTTCAGTTGATCAGACAGCTTATGCTATACTTACAATTAAAGGAGAATTAGATGATTTTCATATAGAATAAACATCCTCATATTTTCTAAAATTGATTGGCAAAACATCTATTAAAGACGTTCATTTTTATTAATTGTTACCTCGTTTTATGAAAAATTGGCATCCTTTATTTATTCATAGTTTTTTTAATGATGGTTAATCAAGATATTATAAAAGTTTTAATCAAAGTTTTATCTTAACAAATTCTGGTCTACTCAAAACAGTTTATTTATGTTATGATATTACAAAGATATTTTCTAATTAAAATCTCGTTTTTGCAGCTTTTTTATAAGAATTATCTGATTAAAAATGTTTTTTATTATCTTATGGAACTAATTAAAGATTAAATTTTTCAGAAAACTTTTTTAAGAAAATTGGTTTTAATTAAAAAATAATTCTTACTCTCCCTCAAAATTTAACAGTTGTAAATGGACTCTATTTATAATACTTGATACCATCTTTTCCACAAGATATTGAAAGGGATACATTTCAATTAAATACTGAGATGAGATTTTTAGATGATAAACATTTAAAGGAAGTTTAAGATGAAGGAGTAGATTTGGGAATGTATATTTTAGATCCAAAATAATGGGAAAAGGAGGAATAGGTTTGTTTTTACTCAATTTCTATAATAGTTACTAAAAGATATGTGTCTTAATAAACTTATTTATTCATTGAATTTTCTACAATAACAAAATTAACAAAAAATTAAACTGAAAATTCAAAATTTTAAACAATATAAAATATTGATATAACATCACTTTAATCTTAAGAAGCTCAATTTATAAATGATAGTTTTGCTTCCTTAATGAATTTAAGTGATGAAGCGGAGCCTAAGAAAGTTAATATTTTTGATGTTAGAATGAAAGAATTCTTGTAAAATGAATTATAAGAAGATGATGCTGTTAATATTGTTTCATTTAGAAAAGATGACCTTAATAATAATGTACTTCCTTAAAGTCATAGATTATTACTTTCAGAGAGAAAAAAAGAAATTTAATAAGAATTTTATAACATTTAATAAATAAATATAGAGTCTTTGAAATAATCTTCAATTTATGAATCTCATAAGTAGAGATAAGTTGAACATAATGTGATTGATGAAATTTAATCTTAATAATCTTCAGTAGGAGGAGTGAAAGAATCACAATTATTCAAAAAATTTGAAATGATTGAAAAGATAATTAAGAAAAAGAAGTTTGAGAAAATGACTATGTATTTAATATTACTTTTATTACAAACAGCTTTCTTTATTTCGTTTGCATTAATAGTAATAACATTAATATCAGCAGAATTATTAATGTTTATTTAAGAAATAGATATGATTTCTTTACATGCTAGTATAATGGCACCTCATGATTTGTATTTATCAATAAAGGTAACTATTTCAGCATATTAATAATAATATCGTGAAAAATATATTGATAATGCAACATTATATAAATTGATAGATCCATTATATTAATTTAATGCTCCATACTATTTTGATTTGCAAAATAATTTATATAATGTTTTATAGAATGAACATTTATCAGAATTCTTTACTGATTAATAAGTAATAGTTTATTTTATGGGAAATAATGATTCTGTAACATATACTAAAGAATTATCTTTTAGAGAAGAATTACTTGCTATATTACATGCTTAATATTAATTTAAGAGAGTTTTTGATGCTCGTAAGAATGCAAATGGTTAAGCTTGCTAAGTATTATAATTTGCAAATTATTTTAATTTATAAGATAAATTAGAAGAATTAACAAATGAAATTTTAGAATATTCAAAAAATAGAAGTACAGCTGCAACTGATTAATGGTTTGTTATATGGTTAATTTATCAATTGATTGCTCTTTGTATTGGACTTATTACTTTATTTTATAAAAGAAGTATATTAAAAACTTATGAAAAATTATTGAGTTTGTTTTATTTTTCAGATAAAAATTCATTTGAATAAGAAATTTAAAAATTGAAGAATCTAAATACTTTAATATAATAAAATTAAGATTTGTTATCAAAATATGATTTTAATTTTAGAGAAAGAGAAGATTTAGTAAATAAAAAGAAAAAAGAAATTTAATAAACAAAAATTGAAAAACCAAAAAAGTTAGGTGAATAAAAATTATAAAAAATAATTCCAATAATAGCATTTTTTTGCATGTATATTTACTTTTTAATTTATTCAGTAATAATTTAAGAAGAAACAAAAAATTATTTGACAAAATATAAATAGACAACAGATTTTTATAGATTAGTTTAAGATTTAAGATTCCGAAGTGGAAATATATATGTTTATAGAGAAATTTTCTTTAGATGGTCTAATTTTTCATATTTAAACAAATCTGATTTAAATCGTTTATATGGTTTGGTAGAGAAATCTTAAAATGTAATGTAAGTATATGTAAATGGTTTATCACAATAATAAAATGATGATTATTTATTTTCAGATAATTATATAGATTTTGTAAGTTAAGTAGAGAATTCAAATCTTTGTAATTTTATAAATTAAGTATAAATATTTAATTAAAAATAGAAGTACATAAATCTAACTCCATATTGTGAATTTTCTTTGGATGGTGTATTAATGAAAGGAATGATACCTAGTTTGAATTACATTTCTCAATCCATTCGTAGTTAATAAGCAATCAACAATTTTACTAAGAGAGCAGAAATACATTTTTATGAATTGGAAGGAGCTTAAGTAATTTGTTTAGCTTTTTAAAATGTATCAGAATAATTAAAATAAGGTATGATTGAATTAACACATAGTTTTAATCAAACAAATGAGGTATTTTATTATATTATTAATTTAAATAGATCCTTTCTTATTTATTTTTATTTTCTTAATTGATTTTTTCTATTGTTTATGTTACTTGTTTTAGAAAACTTTAAATAACAGAATTTACAATGTATAAGAAATCTTTATAATTAATTCCAATTTAAGTATTGCTTGGTGATGATTCATTAGAAAGAGCATTAAGATAATTTGAATTTACAGAAAAAATATGATTATTAATTAATTTTATTTCTATCACAATTTTTGACCTAATTTTAATTCAATTTATTTTAAGTATCTTTCAAAGAAATCGTTCTTTAAAATATCACTCTATGGAATCATTAATACACCAAATTTAATCAATTAAATATGCTATTTAAGATTTGCATAATGGAAATTAATGATATAAATGCATATCAAACCTAAACCAACTAAAAAAAAGATAGACAATAACTTATTATAAATTATTATATATATACCTAATTTTAATAATTAAAGCTTTCTGTTTTTTCTATTATTCCTTTCTATAATTTTTTATTCATATATGAAAATACTCTACTTGCTACTTAACCTCCTTCTACTTCATAAAAAGTATCTTCTGCTCTATAAGTAAAATTATTTATAGCTTATTAATTAATTATTGTTTAATGAATATATGTTAATGCAGGTAACATTCCTTTCATTAAAGAACTATCAAAGGATTTCAAACAATATGGAGAAAGCACTTCAATATAATTTTCATCTAAAAAATTACATACATCAGTATTTTAAACTGTAAGAAAGAATTCATAAAAATCTTCAGGTACTAAAAGTGTTTCTAAATTTATTCTTGGAGCTTAATCAACATATTCCATTATTTTAGATTAAGCTATATCAATTAAATTATATAATCTTAAACCATCTGTCTTATTTAAATATGTTAAATTTCCCCATAACATAAACATTTCTCGATATAAAAACATATTACCACTTCTAAATGATAAATCTGCTATCAATTTATAAAAATCCGCTGTTTATTAATATTTATTTAAAAAACTTTGAGTTGAAAATGTAACTAAACAGGAATAAATTAAAAAAAATATAAAGATTATTAAAGAAAATAGAATTGACTTTAACTTTGATGCCCTTATCAATATTTTTCTTTTATTCTTTCGAACCAAATCATTTTCAGCTTTATTCTAAATTGTTGATTACACTTCAGTTTATAATTCTAATTAATAACAATTAATATAATCAGATTAAGATTATAAGTTATTCAACAATATTTTATGTTTTTCTGTTTCTTTTATAATACTTTATTCTGAAATATGTGTTATTATTTCCATTATTGTATCATACTAAAATAAAATAACAGTTTTTAAATAATAAATAAATATTGAAAGTACAAAACAAATTACAATGAAAGCTATCCAAATTGTAATCCATTTATCAATTATTTGTGTACATTTATTTCTAGAAAATTATAAAATTTCTTATGACATAAGTTCTAAATTATCTTATAGATTAAAATAATTAGAAAATTGAAAGACTTGACAAGGACAACCTTTAGTTGGGATTCGTTTATCAAAAATAATTTTAAAGTCATACTAATAATTTAATAATTAATGAATAAACTCTCTAAAAGTAATATTTTTAGAGTAAATGATTTTATCAGTCATACCCATAAAAAATGTATTAGTATAAATATCTTTAAAGAATTCTTTTAAATCACTTTCTAATAATGAAACATAAGAATTTTACTTTAATTCATTATAACATACTCCTATTATTGAATAAAGTGGTTCAACAAAATCACTTTATTACTATTTACTAATTTTTTTAGCTGTATGTAAACCTTAATAATAATATATTTGTGCTCTAATTGCAAGATATCGATCATAAGGAGCCACAATATCAGCTTAAAAAGATAACATCTCTATTTCCTAAATTTTAGTTCTTAGATCTCCGCTTAATAGAGATAGAATTATTAAAGAAAAAACAGCAAACACAATTAAAGTAAAGATTATGAAAAATACCATAATTTATTACTGAGAAAAATTGAAATTACCGTAAAATTAATCTATAATTTCAAATTTTTTCATATAAGTAGGTCTTTTTATTGAACCTTAACTAGATTCAGCTTATTTTTACATATCATCTTAATTTTCTGGTTATTTAATTTAAGGATGTTTCTCTTTACTTGAAGCTTCAGCAATATAAAATCCAGGTTATTAACAGTAATATTCTTATTAAAAGGAGTTGTTATGTTTTTGAACAATATTTATCAGATTTTAACTTTTATCAATTAAATTTGATACACTATTATTAGGACTTAACATAACTTAATAAATTTTGTCAAAATCTTATTATTTAGTTAGTTCTTTTATTGCTATTGAATAATTTTCTCTTTCTTAAATATTCAAAGTATTAACATGTTTAGCAGCTCCTTCATCAATTGATAATATTATAGAATCTATATCAAAAATTGCTGATTCTACATTATGTTATGTATGTTTGAATTAAGTACTAGAAAATGCTGCATTATTTTAATGTGAACATTCAATTATATGAGCAGATTCTAATTCTATTATATAATAATAAAATCCAAATATTTCTCTTCTCATAATAAATAGATTAGCAGCATATTCTTTTGTATATCTACTATCTTACCAAACTCTTCCTATTTGAGAATGGTTTTCTATTGAAGATTTACTGAAATTTTCTCTTTGAAATTATAAAATGTCAAGAAATAAAAACTTAACATTATCAAGCTTTTGTTCCTATATTTCTCCCCATATTAAATTGTTAAAGACTGGTATTATTTAATTGATTTCAGCATCATAAAACTAATAAAAATCATCTATATTTAAAATATCTTCTTCTTAGAATCCCAATTTTTTTAAACACATATATGTTATCCCTGATAATAATCCATTAACATTTACTAATAGATAAGCTTTTTATTCAATTACATCTTAAAGAATAGATGCAAATACAACTCTATTATCATCTAATAATGTAATTGTATCAAATGTTTATTCCATTTGCCTTGATAATCCATTTTATAGTTTTACAAATGTTAGACTTAGATTTCTATAATATCTTGCTTTACCAGTTTAAACAAATCTTTAAATCATAGCTGGATGTTCCTCTCTTATGAAATCAGGTAAAATGTCACTAAATTACATATTATAGTCGTTAGTTTATCTGCCTATAATTTTCAAGAAATTATTTGAATGAGATTTAATTCTTAAATTTTATAAATCATCTTGTAATTAAAATAAAACATACACAATCTTATCAGAATAGAAATCAATAACTTAATCTCTAAATATATATTTAGATTGTTATATGCTATTAATCTACTTAAATTTTAAAGCTTTTTAATAACTATTATATATTCTAGAATAAAAGAATATTATCATTTATTTTAATTTAATACTTTAAAAAGATCCATATTTTTAAAGTAGTTTATCTTCTAGATCTAAAACTTAAGTAAAATATTTCATTTTGTAAATAAAAATTTTATCAGCATGCATAGCTTCACATTGTAAGAGATAGGAATAAAATTCAATTTTTAATTTAAGTATATTAAACATCATTGATGTAAGATGGTTAATTTGAAATTCGTTAATAAGATATTAATTGATATAATCTGACATTTACAATTATTAAGCAGTACAAATAGAATTAGTAAAATTTTCATTTAAATTAGCTTGTGCTCTTTTTAATAAATATTATATTTTAATAAGTTTGAGAGTTGAGACTTGAAAATTTCGATTGGTATTATCATATTTCAAGACTTTTTTATTTTATTGAATAATGATTTCTTAAATTTAAGAATCAACTTAACTTTATTTAATTTTTTTTTAAGGTCTATTAGTGAGAGACTTTTCACTTGATATAACTCTGACTCTATAATCATTAGATGAATTGTTAAGAAATCTAGTATAATTCTTAATAGATATTAATACAAATCCTTATGTCATAAATAAGGTTGCTTAGGCAATTTCATAGTATGGCATATCTAAATTATGAATATTTCTATTTTCATGTAATAATTTTGATATATGTTTAATTTTGGCATAAATAAATTATTTAAATATAGATTCAGTAATAGTGTTAGCTTATTTAACATCCAAAACATTTAAAGGGGATTCTTTACAAGAACATGTAATATTAGAACATTTAGCTTTATGTTAGGCCCAGATAAGACTATTTTAAAAGGGTTAAATTTCATATTGATAGGAATTATTAGAAAATTTAATTAATTGATGTACATACAAAGCGATAGATTATTTATTATTAATAAATATCGAATAGATTGAATTAATTTAAAATTGATAATCAGCATAAATAATTATACTTGTTAGAAGTGGCCAAATAATGATAGAATTATTTTTAAGATCAATGAAATGATAAAAGGAGTACAAAATAATGATAGTATTAATAAAGTATAAGATAAATCTTTAAGATTTAAAAATATATCCTTAATAGAGTAATTGATTAATAATTTTCAATATGGAAATTAAAAGGTTTAATGTAATTTAAGCAAATTAAGAAATATTTGGATTGGTTATAGTTCCAAAAATAATAATTTGTAATAATTCTATAGCATAAATAGTTACATCTAATGAAGTAAGCTATGATTTTTCAAAGCCTTTGATTTAAAGAGTATTAGAAGGTAGACAGATGTATATATTAAATAGAATCTCAATTTCAATAATAAAAAAAATAATAATTGCAAATAGTAGTAAAGCAAAATAAGCTGAATTTTAATTTTAAAATAATTTGAAGGTATTAATGATAGCACCTATTAATATAGTTTAAATAGGATAATGTAAGACAATAGATAATAATTGTTGATAATAAGAGGTGAATTTAGTAAGAAGGTTTTTGATAATGGAATGATTATGTGATTTATTTAAATATCTTTAATTTTCATTTTCTAAGTTAAAAAAGATTGTTAATTTAGTTAAAATAAATATGAGTAATATAATGTATGGTAAAATGATTATAGCAAGTTATGGTAGAAACTTGAATAAAAGTATTTCGGGTCTAAAAAAGTAAAAAATCATCTATTGAATACTTGTATTTTGTATAGTTATGTAAAATGAGTAATAATCGTAATAATAGATATAAAATAATGGTTAGGACATACTTACTATGAAGATAAATATCTTTAAAGGTTGATAACATTTGAATGAATCATTGATGTGAAGCATAACACAAACAATTTAATCTAAGAATGTGAAGTATTCTTTTTTTTTAATTAGTCTCATTTTAATTAAAATTCAAGCTACGAAAAAGAAAATGTTTAAGAATAAGTGATATATATTAATATATTATGTAAATATGACAGAATATTCATTTTCAAATCTGACTTTATGGAAATACATCAGGATACTAAATAAGAATATAAAATAAATGAATACTTATCCAGGTCTATATGAAGCAGCACTAGATCGTACTCCTGATTTAGAAAGTTCATTTTATTTCTTTTTAAGTGAATCTAATTCAGCTGTTGCAACAACTAATTCTTCTTAAACTTAATGATATTCTCTATTTAATTCTTAAAATTTATTTTTCCATATTTAAACATCATTAGTAAGTTTAGTTACTTCTTCATAAGTATTATTATTTTAATATTCATAATCAAGATCTTAATACATTTTTTCTAATTCATTATATTTAGATCTCCAATCTTCAATTTCAATATTTAATTATTATATTTAACTTCTTAATCTATCAATTTATTCTTTATCTTCATTATTATTAGATGCAATAGATGGTTTAAAACTCATTTATGTTCCTTTTAATTAATCATTTTCTTATTTCATTTAAAGTATTTTATTGTCTAATTCTGTAATCTTATTATTCAAATATTTAATAGTTATTTCTTATTATTAAATTTAAGATCTAAGTCGATTAGTCTCATCATTTTTTTATCTTAATTCATTTTATTATCTTTCAAGATCAAGTTATAAATTTTATAATTTTCCATCATTTTCAAATTGTGAATTTAATTTAAGTGATTCGATTTCTCTATTACGATTATCAACCATTTCTTTAAGTCTTCTAATTTCAACTTCATATTAAGCAGAATCTCTTAATTATGCTTCAAGTCTTTAATATTTTAATTTCCATTCTTCAGTTTCAGCTCTTTAACTGTTAATTGAAAATTATGCACGATCTATTTCTTATCTTAATTATGAGAGTGTAGCTTCATATTCTTTAAGTGATAATTAATGTCTACTATCAGCCATAGACAACTCTAATATACGATATCTTTTTGATATTTCTTCATTTTAATCTCTTAATCTAACAATTTCTGCATTGAGCATAGCTTCATTTTCTATCATTATAGCTCTCATCTTATCAATATCAATCTCTGACTATTATCTTGCTTATTTATCTGTTGCCATATATAGTTTATGTTTGTATTAATCTAATTCTAAAGACATATCTAACAAACACTTATTCAATCTATCAATCTCTAAATACAATTAATTAATCTATTAATATATTCAATATCATTACCTTTAATGTATCTTCTACATATGTAATTTTCTCAGTAGCACCTATTCCTCTTAATCTCATTACTTCTGTTTAACATTCTGTTAATGCCTACTCCAATTATGAACATTTTGCTTTCCAAACACTCTCAATCTCATCTCTAGTAACTACTGTTATTGGAGCTTCACGATGATACATCTCTCTAACATGAGGATGAGTAACTGTATGACCTTATGCATTCTCATTCCCTTTATATGATTGCTTATTTATTTATTTATCTCATACATAAGGAACACGAACTTATTGTTATGGCTAACCATAGCCATATCCTTATCCATATTACTAAGAAGCAGGACTATATTTCATTATATACTGTTAAATTATTAATATAACAGAAACTCATCTCATTTTTTGTTTATAATCATTCAAAATTCAATTCATTATATATTTTATGTATTTCTCGATTTAATTTAAAGTTCTAAAGTACTACCATAACATGGTTTCTTATAGACTACTAAATCTAAATCTTAAAACAAGAAATTTATTTTTATTAATTAATTGTGTAATTTTCAATTAATATATATGAATATTCCTTCAGATTGCTCTTAAATTAATGTTTTAAGCTAGAATCGTAAATTTATTCCATTATTTCTCTTTTAATTATGTCAAAGCTAATGGTTTAATTAGACATTCCTAGCTTTCCTTTAAAACAATTTTTTCTCCTGAGAAATCTTCTTTATTATAGAGTCTGACAGAATATCCTTTAGGTATTTCTATTGATTTAATATCATGATCAAAGTCACTTAATTTATATAAATGATTACTCAATATTCCTTTAAGATTCACATAACTGAAGTGACTCTCCTTTGAAATGACATTATGAATAGATAACTATACAATTAGAATTTGTATTCTTTGATTAAGTTTCAGCTAATATTATATAAATTGAATACATATGTTAGTTGAATCTTGTTAATTAATAGTTTAAGTACTTTAAGTATGAATCATATCTAATTATGGTATATCATTTACATCCTCTTTATTACAAGATTTAATACTTATATATAATTTTGATTGTTAGTCATAGTAGTTATTTATGAATTAAGAGTAGAAACATCCTCTTGGTCTAAAATAAAATTATTTGGATCTTCGACAGATTAATTGTTTTCAATATTTTGAATTACTTGTGTATTTGAAGATGTGAAAGTGTCATCAAAATTAAAATATTCCTGTTGTTATTATATTTAATCTTCATTTCTTTAATACCCATCAAAATTAACCATAGTAGGTATGGGATTGGTTTCAATCTCACTTAACTCAACATTAGTTTAAGCTAGCACTAAGGCTGAAATAAGAATAATTCCAAACATAAAAGCCTTTAATGGCATGGCAAAACGGATTAATTAATATTATATAATGTTTCTCATATAAGCTCAATCTCAATTAAATTATTTTTATCATTAAACACTAATATCCCAGGAAATATTATTTAACTACTCTAGAACATCAATCCAATCAAAATACAACTCACTATTCCAACTTATGTTTAAGTAGTAGGTATTATTTTTACTTTCATATAGCTATTATGATTTAAAATCTAAATTGTCTTTGTGAAACAATTATTCTCCCTACCTGGCATTATATATTAAACCTATATATTTTAATTATTCAATCTTTCACTATTCAATAAATATAAAACTTAATTATGAACTATTGGTAAGTCATTTTCAAATATTTAATTGAATATATTATTCTATATTATTTTTATGATTTTTTATTCAGAATAATTATATTCTTTTATAACTCCTACCTCAGCCATTATATTTTAATCTACAAACAAGATTTAAGAATCAAGTAATTAAACTAATTAAGAATTTTCATTTAATTCTGGTATCCTTAAATTTTAATTCATAACAACATTATTATCAATAATATCTTTCACAATTATTGAGCCTTTATCTAATTAAATTTATAAATATCAAGAATATACTTCCAATCATTATTGATTTTTATTTTTTAAATTGTAACAATCTTGATTCCCCTAATAATGTATATCCAGGCATTTATGAAACATAAAAAATTGCTTCATTTCTATCTTCATTAAAAATTTAATTATATCTTCCTCTATATAATTAAAAAAAACTTTCTTATTAAATGATTATATAAATATAATTATCAATCAAGTCAACTTACTTAATTCTAATATTGCCTGAAGTCTAATAATCATGTATTTTTATGCAATTTTTTTTATTAGTATCATCATAAAGATCAAATTCTAATTTAGTTTTAGAAATATGATAAAAGAGAATTAATTTAAAATTGATTATACCTATTAAAGTAGGTAAATTTAATTAAGAATTTCGACGAAAAATTTAAAATATTTCATTATTTCTCTAATTTATAAAGATTATATACATCTTAGTTAATTTTTTCTATATATTACAATGTTAATTGATTTTAGAATTTAACATTCAATAGTATTTGAGAATTAAATTACTATTATAATTCCAATACTTCTTATTCTTTACTTAAAAATGAATGAGTGTAATTTTATTTCTATATTTTTAAGATTTATTGATTGGATTAGTTAACAACTAATTAATTTTTCTCATTTACAAATTCATTTTAACAGTAAAGTATATCTAATTTAAGTTTACCCTTTAAATGACAAACTGGACATGTAAATTATTTTGATTCATCTTATTCTAATGCAGCTTAGGTTGGTTTATCTAATTCAAAAAGGTTGAATTAGCAACCTTTATTCTCATGATAATAAGGGGCAGTGAGTCTATTTAATGTTAATTGTGAGTATTAGAGTATAATTCTATAATCCTCTTTCTTCATTATGGAAGCAATAAAAAATTAATTAAAATCATAACAAAATTACTTAATAGGAAAATCATTTTATTTTAAATGTATTTAATCATATAATTTTGATGAATTTAAAATTTTCAGGCTCCTTAAGGGCCCTTAAAAGATTTTATCTATATTTTAAATGCCAAGCAGTATTAGAAATTCTTGAATTATATACATAAGCTATAGATTAATTTCTTAAGAAATATTAACTAAAAGAATATAATAATTAATTATACCTTATAATTCTAAAAACTCTATTAAATTCAGGATTCTTACCTCCATCTATCCAAAGATCTCTTAATTATTTAATATTAGTCATTTAATTTTTTTTAGTTTTTAATAACTAAACAAAATTATCATATTAATCCTTTTTCATAAAGCCTTAAATCATCTATTCATTATTGAGAATGTAAGAAATGATAGCTTTAGAAAAATTCTTAGTAATGTTTTTAGTATCATTTACTTTTGATCCTTTCTTTTTTCTACCAATTTTATATGACTCAGAACTTTCTTAGATTATACATCTTTTTCTAGTGCGTCTATTAATTTTGATTTCTTTTTTTTCATCTTTATTTTAATTCCAACTACTTTCACTTTAGACAACTTCACTTTAATCAGAATCATCTTGATTAAGTAATTTTAATTCTTCTTTTTTAAAATGATTAAGGTTAACATTGATCTATTATTGTTGAATTGAAGGTGGTCTAATAATAAATTAAGATGGAGAATTTATTTAAGTTATTTTGATCTACTTATCTAAACTGTTATTAGAATGTCTAGGCATTTCGTTTTGTTATGATTATTGTAAGAATGGATAAATTGATTGTCTTGGTGAATTAAAAAAGGAAGACAATGTTGGATTTATTTGTCTATTTTATGATTGAAATATATCTAATGGTTTCTGAATAAGTTTACTATCAAGAGAACTATTAACAAATGTTCCTATTAAATTGTTAAACATAAAATCAATATTTCCATCTAATGATACTCTTTGAGAAATATCAAAAGTAGTGTATTAAGGATTAATAAATAAGTTCGTAGAGAAAGGTTAATCAGTTGATAATTATTACACTTAAAGATCTAATGAATTTTAAACTCTTAGTCTAACCTGTCTCATTGGATCAATTGAAGCATCAACAGAGCCAATTTCTGATGGTCTTGCTCTATAAGGTGTGAATGATTTTACATTCTTTTTAAACCCCTCAGACATAATTATTTATATATGATATAATGATAAAAAAAAAGAAAAAATGTTGATAATTCAAATAGTTTAAATGTGCCCTTATTTAAGAATTACTATTTCTTTTTATAGTTTAGCTATATATTGCAAAAGAATTCTCTCTCTACTATTATATGAATCCAAAATCAGCTACATTTTATTATAAATAGCCTAAAATTATCTATTAAGTCTTTTATTTTAAAAAGGATTCTTCTTTTTTGTTTTTGTTGGAGAATCTCCTAATTCTGAATAATCTATTGATCTTATGATTAAATTAGGATCAATTAATTTTCTATAAACTTTTTATGATTGCAAAGTTGATGCTTATTAAGACACAGAAAGTCTTGCTTTACGATTCAATACTGTATCAATGCTTTTAGCCCTAGTTGTAGAATTGATAAGGATACTGGAGTGAAATGATTGCAGGTTTTTGAATTTTAATAGCTGCATTGCATTGAGATCTAGCTTTCACTTCAGGTACCCTTTCAGAATCAATAGTTTTTGACATCCAATCAGATATTGTTGCATATCTTTATCTTACTTTGAATCGAATATCTTCATCATAATTCTTCTATTTCATTTTTTTGTCTAGATAAATAATTTGTATAAATCAGAAAAATAACAAACTGATAAATATTTAAATAGTATATTGTCTTTATCAACTTAAATCCTATAATCAAAGATCATTTCTAAATTGATAATGAATTATATGACCTAAAATTATTAAGAACTATAATTTGTTTTGAATAATTTATATCCTCAAAACAGAAGATAATAGTATTAATTTGATTTATAAAAAAAGATAATGAAAACAATATATATAGATATTTAAAGAGTAAAGAAATAAGATAATATAATATAATAAAGTATTGTAATATATAATTTGAGAATGCATTATAAATCTTATGATCAATAATAACCATAGCGTGTACTATTCTTAAAACTTTAATCCATATTATTTCTTCTATACAATTGGCTTGCATTCTATTAAACTTAAGTTCTAGTTGCTTATTATTAAAGTGTTTTATAATAGTTTTAAATGATTTTTGAAGATCCCAATCCAGAAAAATCACTTTAATGAGTTTCCCTTAAAATTAACAATATTTTAATACTTAAATTGTTTAAATCTCAAATATTCTAAATAATCTTAATAGTCTTGTTAATCTTCTATCTTTTCATGACGAATTGGTTATTGATATTGATAACTAGGCTACTATTGATATGGATCATAATATTGATTTGAATAATTCCAATATGGTGGTGGTCTGATTCAGTATATATCATTACTAATAGTATTGCTATGGGGGATCAATGTTTACATGCATTCTGTTCATTATACTTTTTGCTTAAAAGCATACTCCATGGATATCCCTTGCCAATGTTTAAACAGTTGCTAATTATTTATTAATTCTTATTATATACGTTCCTAAGGTTTCTCTTCTTCTTCTTCTTCCTCCTCCTCCTCTTCTTCTTCCTCTTCTTCTTCTTCATAATCTATTACATAAAATATATATCAAACCTTCTTCATCACTCATTTATTATAAAAATATTATATTTTATATACAATTAATTTATTTCCACTCAAAAATTAGTTAAATAAAATTAATTAAGAATTTATTCTAAATTATGCATCAAATTAATTAACTTATAACATAATTCAGATGAATGCTATAGAATACAGTATCAATTAATATCTTGATCAAATCGATCTATAAATTACTGATCCTACCCTTAAATAATAAGAATATTTTGAAAGTGTTAAACACAATTTACATCATAAAAATAATAATTTTATGACTTCTGCATCCATTTTAAGAGATTGTGCAAATCATTTAATTACTTAAATTCATCAAAAAACTCATTCACAAATTAACTATTAATGTCATAATAAAATTAAAATAATCTAAACCAACTTTTAAAGACAATAATTTTGATTACTATATAATATATTATTTATTATACTACAATTAAAATTATGATTATCTGACAATTATCATAATCTACTTAATTATAAATAATATTTAATAATAGTACTTATTAATTCTAAATCAAAAATAAAAATGCAATTACCTAAAATGAAAATGAACAATAGTAAAATAGTAGTTAACCAAAACATTATCCTATAATAATCCATTTATGAACTACCAAAATAAAGTATAAAACAAGTAATATATATTGAATAGTTTAGGAGGTTTTTCCTAAAATTTTAAAATTGAATTAAAATAAAGATTAAATATTAAGAAATCTTAATCATATCCAATTATAATATTATTTAATGCAGTGAAAAATACAACACCTTATCAATAATAATAATTATGATATAAATAAAATTAATTCTAACTCATTTTTCTACTTAAATATACTAAAATTATAGTATTTTTAATAAAACTAATATACCTTACAGTTTGAATAATCAGGTTTTAAATAAAGATTTTTATTTTCATATTGATTATTATTCCTTCACAAACTAAAAAATACTAGACCTATATATTATAAACAAAAATCTTTAATTAGTCATGTCATATATAATAAACAATGTTATCCTGAAGTATATGATTTATTATTAAATTGAAAAAGTTCATATTTTAAAAGGTACAAAAATTAGAGGAAATAAAAATTGAAGGAATAGAGAAGTCAATAATATTTGCAAATGTATATTTTGAAATGATCTGTTTGAAACCTGATTCAAAGTAAAGATTAAAAAAGATTATAAATTAAAAATTCTATGGGGAGTCTCGTTTCTAGTAGTTTTGAACAAATTATATAATATATATTATATATTAATATTTGTTAATAATGATAACTACACCGAATATCATTGATTCTAAATTTTATGAGTCATAAAATGGCAGTCATGCAAATTAATAAGAACATGAAGAATTCAAATAAATTTTACTTAAATTATGGATCTAGATCTCGAGATCTTTTAATGAAGACTTTGAAGAAATCTTATAACTTGGTATCAATTCAGATATCTAAGATGTCATAAATGCTATACTTATAATTGAGGATGCAAGATTAGAACAAATTAAAGTATAAAATTATTTTATATTTTTAGAGTGATCGATAATAGATTTAACTTCTCGAAAATGAAATAAATTCTATAAAAGTATAAATTAGAACTAACAATACAAATGATGAATTAAAAGAAACTTAAAAACAATATAGAGAATTAAGTGAACTTGTAATTTCATTGAAATAATCAAATGAAGAAAAAGATCATTAAATTTAAGAATAAACATAACAAAATATGAAACTGTAGAGTGAAATAAATTTATTAACATCTAAAATTAAAAATTTATAATAAGCTTTGGTTTAGAATAAAGAAGAAAAAATTTAATATATGGAGTAATCTTAAAAATAGATTAAATAATTAATGGAAAAAGATCTATAATAAAGTAAAATGATTTAAATACTTTAAATTTAAAAAATAGAATTAGAAAACAGTCTCAAAAAAACAAGTCAAAGAAATTCTATAGAATCATCTAATCATTTAGTATCTCATAATTAAAGAGAAGAGGATCAAACAAGAATTTTAAGTTGTTCACCAAGTACGATTTCAACATATTTTTTTAAGGAACCACTCATATTGATATTTCTAAAATTGTTTTATAAAGTCTACAAAGCAGCAAAAAAGCTGAAATGGTTTCTGGATAATCACTTTCATAAATTCCATACAGATTTGGAAAATGATAATCATTTATAATAATTGTTTCATATGGATAGTTTTTAAACATTATTCCTTTAAAATTAAATTTTCAATATCATAAATAAATTATACCAGTATTAAAAGTGTTGTTAATTTAAACATTTTAATATTTATTAGAATAATTAAATATTGTAGTAAGAAACATAATTAATTAGACATATTTTATGTAATAGAGATTCAAAAAAATTTATTTGCTCCTAACTTATAAGGTTACAATACAATTTTCTATTTTTATTTTTAATCCAAAATTATAACTTCTTCTTCTTTTTTTTATGGTTTTCTTTTTTAAGGACCTCTCTTTCCTTTTTTCTCTTTCTTTTCTTCATATTCTTCTTCATCTTATTCTTCTTATTCAAATAAACTTTTTTATGTTTAACCTTACTTTGGGAAGGAGTCTTCCTCTATTATAATTGGAGCTAATTAATTATTTTATGATTGTTTTGAAAATTAAATTTATTTTGAAGGCATTCCTTATAAAGAAACACTCAATTTACTAACTTAATTTAAACTTGATTTAGATGTATCAATTCTTAAATCTTCTTGGAATTATACAAACATTTAACTTATATCGTTTGCAAAATCAGAGCAATATAGCAATTCAAATTTAGTCTTATCATTAAAGTTATTTATAATTGCATTACGAATTTAAAAAATAAGAGATTCTTAATATTCTCTTTATTTTTTAACAACTTATTAAATACGGTTATTGTATTATGGAATAATATTTCCTTTAAACTTTTCAATAGCTTTAGGATACAAATCATTAAATAAATTGGACTTTTCCTTATTTGTTGTTGATAAAAAGTTATCAAGTATATTTAAGAAATCTCCTTATTCAATAATTTAAAAATTTTATTGATACAACTTATTGGCTAACTTTATATAATTATAATATTGATACCAATGTAGAAAATTCATTCATCATAGTTTAATTCTGAGAATTAATTTCAACTTTATTTCTCAATATATTATCAAATTATTAATTTAGATGTTAAGCTTACTCTTTTCGTTTTTATATCTGTGCTGTTATATTTGATTTTTTTTCCCAAAATTTAAATATTTAATCTGGATTAGATACTCTGTCTGCAAATTTAGTTTCAATATATCTCATTCTCATTAATTCAAATCCTGTATAGTCTACTTTAATTCTTAATAATGGTTTTTTCTATCGATATGGACTAGTCTAATAATAATTTACTAATTCTTTTTCTACAAAATCAAATAATAACTTTTCTGCTAATTCTTGATTACTTATATTTTATATATTTTCAGCAAAATTTGTTAATTCACTTAAATCAACATTTTTATAAATCATAGGTCTATAACTTTTTTCTAATTTAATGCTTTCAAATTTCATTTGATTTTTAGTTAATGTAAATATACCTGCTTATTTTATTAATGATTCATATTCAATAATTGATGTTGCAACAGTACTACCTGGATAGAAAACTTAATAATGTTCACAGGTTTCTAAAGTATATATTCTAACATATAATATAAATAACAATTATACGCTTCATGTTCATGACCCCAAATTAGAAGATCAATTTTGTAATTCTTAAAATAAATTGGATCAATAAAATTCTTTTCATCTGAAAAATGTGTTCCTTTATATTTATTTTAATGAATAATTAGAATATTAAAATTGTTCTAATCTAATAAATCTAATACTAATTTCCCTTCCATAATTATTTTATGTAATTAATAATCTTTCATATAACCTAAACCATAAAGTGCAATCTTTTAATTATTCTTAACAAGAACTATTGGTTTAATACAAACATTTGATTAATCAGTAATTTTACCTATATAATTTAAATATTTAGATTCATGAAGAATATCCAAAATTGAAACACTTTCATTTCTCTCAGTAACAATATCATCATGATTACCATTAATTATAAAGATTGGTAATTATACATTAAAATTAGAACAACTGAAATTAGGCTAATAATTAAGTGAATTGATTTCCATTTAAATTCCACCAAAATTATCTCCAAAAACATGTCTTTAAAGTATATCAACACATTTTAATAAACAATGTTCTGTTGGATGTTTTTCATGAAATAAATCACTCATATTTAAAAAACATTTTACCCTCCTAAAATAATAAAATCAACATTTTATTGAGTAGCTATTTCTAGTACTTCTTCAAATGCTTCAAAAGCATCTTAATATCTATTTGATTTTGGTCCTACATTTTCATTGGCACCAAGATGATTGTCTGAAGCAACTAAAAACTTAGATTAATTTTTGAAAATCAAATACTTTAATGAAATGATTCCTATTAATTTACATAAAAAAAAATATAATAAATTCTTAGAATTAATAATTAGATAATAAATCATGAATTACAAAAGTGTATAAAGTCATATTTTATTATTACTTTTTAAATTAATAAGCTTTTTATATTAATCACTCTCCTATTATTTATAAGAAGTGAGATTTCTAAATATAAAAAAATATAAATAATACCCAAAATTGATGATATTTTCATTTCCTTTAATAAATTTATTTGGTTAATCTATAATTAATTATTATTTAATAAGTTAGATGGATTCTTCATTTCTTCTAGTAATTTATTCTAATTACTCAAGTTTTTATAGAGATTAATGGCCATACTAAAATCTTGGATTAATAAATTACATCTTATTATTTTTTGTTTTCATTTATGAAATCACTTAACTAATTTTATATATTTCTATTAAATAAATCTAATTAATCTTATCTTATTTTGATTGTATTTATATCTTATTAAATTTTATTCATTTATAATTCTATTCTTCTATAAGATTCTTATTATTCAATATTAAGTTTCTTTTTACAATCAGGTTTAAGTAGACTATTAAATAAAGTATTTGACAATTCAATTTTATTTTTTTCAATTTTATCAGATTTTTATTGATGAGTATTCAATTTGGTAGCATTTAATTAAATTGTTTTTCTATCTGGTGTTAAACTAGAACAATTATTTTTATTATTAGATTATGAAATAACTTAACTATGTTTTTTTTATAATTCATTTGTAAAACTAAGATGTTTATTTTTATCATATCTTTCACTATTTAATGTTTTTTAAGTAATTTCTTTAATTGGATGATTACCCTTAATCATATATTATACTTATGAAATGAGATTTGAGGATAAATCTTAATTTTTAAGATTTTCTTTTAATTCTTGAGAATAATTTAATTTAGTATTTTATTCAATAATAAAAGTCTTTTTAACAGATTATAATGATTATTCAGTTGATGATGCTATATCCGTCTATTCAGGTATTTAGAAGAGCATATTGTCAAAATTTTAATTGTTTAACAAATATTTATGTGAATTATCTTATTGTAATCCTGAAATTTTGGAAGTTAAAATTTGTTAGAAATCATTATTTGATAAAGCTCTTCTATGATTATTTTTAGTCTTATTCATTCAAATTCAAAATAAATAATAATAATCGATTATATATATATTATATTAAAATTATGTTTGGATATAAACTCTTTACAATAGTAAGAGAAAAGAGTGTTGTAATAGTAGAACAATTAGGTAAATATAATAGAACATTATAACCTGGATTAAATTTTCTAATTCCACTAATTGATAGAGCAGCATATGTCTAATCATTAAAAGAAGAGATTTTACCCATTGAAAAACAATAAGTAATTACAAAAGATAATGTTGCAATACATTTAGATGGAATTGCATTCATTCGTATTATTGATCCATTCAAAGCATCTTATTAAGTATATAATATATTGATATAAATAGGTTAGTGAACCATAAAATGCAATTAAATTGTTATGTCAAACCATTTTAAGATCTGAAATTGGTAAATTGAAATTAGATCAACTTTTATAAGAAAGAGCTGCTTTAAATCGTGCATTATAAAGTGGTTTAAGTAAAGCAGCAGCAGAATGGGGTTATACAAGTTTAGGAGTAGAAATATTATAAATCGATATACCTGAAGAAATTAGAGTTTCTATGTAAGCATAAGTTGTTGCTGAAAGAAATAAAAGAAGAGAAATATTGGAAAGTGAAGGAAAATAAATTAGTGAAATTAATATTGCAACAGGTGCTAAATCTGCTGCTATTAAAATTGCAGAAGGAGATGCTGAAGCTGTTAGACTTGTTTCTTAAAATGAAGCTAAAGCATTAAATTAAATTAGTGAAGCTCTATAAGAAAAATCAAAAAAAAGAGTTTTAGATTATATTCTCTTATAACATTATTTAAAGGGATACTCTGGAATTTTAAAAACATCTAAAGTTGTTGTTGTACCTAAATCTTAAGAAGGATAAGGAAATGATTTCATGAGTCTTGCTGCAATGATGATGTTTAATAACTAAAACTCTTCATCATAAAAAATTATTGAACTTCCATCCAAATTTAATGATGCAACCAATAACTCTACATCTTCTTAATAAGATATTAGTAAGTTAACTTAGGATTAATTGGATAATCTTATCAAAAAAAATGTCTATTATAATGACCCAAGGTAATTTATTCAATATTTCTAGATTATACTCAGATGATGAAGAAAAAAGAACCAATTGAGAATAATTATATAAATAAATTTATTAACATTTTTATCGTTAAATATTTATTCATAACCATTTCTCTATCAATATCTACTTCATTCTATTAAATACTTGTATCTACATTCATTTTATTTCAAATTCATATTATTATATATAAATTTACTTTTTCTCTATTTTTATTATTTATATATATAACTTACTTTTCGTCAATATATTCTATTATTCAATCAATACTCATTCTAAATTTCTTAAAATTTTAAATTTTTATTAATATCTCTAACTTTATAAAATCTTAAGTTACCTTTTTTAAATTCAAAATCCTCATTAGAAAAAGTAATGATAATCTTAGGATGACAATTTTTAATAAAAATGATTGTTTATTAGAATTCAAAATCTAATGATTTATATTTTGACTTTACAAGATAACTAATTACAAAAAGATGAAGATGATAATTATATATTATATATAAGAAACAATTGATTAAGTCAAAATTAAAAAAACTATATATTGAAATATCAATCTCAATAGAAAAAATAGATAAGTATAACGAGTTTGAATAGTTCAAAATAAGTTATTTTCGACTATTAAAGAACAACTATTTTAAGAGAAAGATTAGATTAATCATTAGAAGGAACATTATATTAGATATCTAGAATAATTGTAATTTTTTTTTTTTTTTTGAAAAATAATCAATATATAAATGGATAAAGAAAAAAACTCATTTTTTTCATGATATTTTATAATGCATTAATAAGAGTAGAGATATTTCTATTGAAATCAATAAAGATGAACTTAAAATAATTCATTATTATAAATAAATAAATTGAAAAAGTGGCAAATAAATTAAGAAATTTAAGATTAAATATATCAAAATAGTAGTTTTTGTATAGTTGAAAGAGTTGAATTTGAAATTTGATAAGAAAATCAATAAAATGTAAGAAATGATGAAGATCAAAATAGATAAATAAAATATTTATGATGATTTAAAAATTTTTAATGAGATCATCTATGATATTTAAGAAAAAGTCATAAGAGAGAGTCAAAATAAGTAAAAATTGATGATTTTCAGGAAACAACTAAAATATCTTAAATTTTTATTATGAAAATTTTCATTTATATTTGAAATATTAAATGATAGAATTCAGTGTATAATTAAAAATTATTTTTAATTTCCAACAATATTAAAAACATTAATGATGATGTAATAAGAAAAACTAGCAATTGATGAGAAGACTTTATTACAAATAATTGATAGAATCTCTATATAATTAGATTACTTTGAGTCTAAAATGTAATAAAATATAAATGTTTTAATACTTGTTGGTAATACAGGATCAGGCAAGAGCACAATTTTTAATTTTCTTTGTGGGGCTAAGTTTAAATATGTTGTTACTGAAGATGATGAATATTTAGATTTAGCTGAAAAGTCTGATTTGTATTCAGAAATGAATTCTGGAATGAAATCTGTTACTAAAGAACCTAAATATTATTATAATGAAGCTTTCAATCATTTATTAATTGACTTTCCAGGATTTCATGATACAAATGGAGAGATAGATCAACTAATTATTTAGATGATTTTCTATAAATTTATAACAAAATCTAATGTAAAAATAGCATATGTAATCACACATCCATAAAATAATTTTTTAGAAAGAGGATAAGGGTTATAATAATTTATTAATTCAGTATTCAAAGAAGGAAATATAGAAATTTCTAAATTAGCTTTGATTTTGAATAGTTATTAGTAGAATTAGTCAGATAAGAAATTAATTTTGTTAGTTTAAAAACAATTATAAGATTTATAAGATGATAAATATGATAAACATGAATGGATTTCAGTTATTAGAAAAATATAAAGTGAAGAATAATTAAATAAAGTTTTTTCAGATGAAAATAGAGAAAAACTGTGGTTAGAATTAATCACTGTGAATGAAATTTAATTCTAACCTTAAGTTTTACCCTACAGTGATAAAATTAGTACATATATTACAGAGAAAAGTAATTAAATATTAACTTAAATTTGTTAATAAATGGATTTTAATTTAACTTTAAAATAGAAAGATTTAAATGACGAATAATTCATTTTATTGTAAAGTCTTATTAATTCAATTCAACACATTCTATCATCAACTCCAGAATATATTGAAGATTGGTTTAATAAATTTATTAATGTTTCATTAGAATTGTCATAAACATTTCATTTTGAAAATGATATTACTGAAAATAGTTCAAATTTCCTTAAAATATTTAATTTCTTTTCATTTTTCTCTGAATTTATATGTGGATATACTGCATTTGAAAAGCATTGTATTTAAGTGTAATAGAAATGTACTTATTTCTTAGAAAACTTATAAAAGAGAATAGAATTGTAAAGAGCATTTGAAGAAAGAAATAGAGAATAATAAAGTAGAATAAAAGTAGAAAATTAATTAACGAATGAATAATAAATTAGAATTTAAAAAGAGTAAATGTATACATAAGAATATGAAAATAGAATAAAATATGAATAATAATTAAAAATGGAATAGTAGTTGAGAACTATTTTAGAATAGGATAAAAAAGGAATGGAAAAATAATATTAAGAATATTGTGAAAAATCTTTAGAAATTTAATCTAATTTATAGAAAATGATATAAAGTGAAAAAATAGAAAAATAATAAGTAGAATAAGATCTTAAAAAACAATTATAAGAATTATAGAATAAATTAAATGAGATGGAATAAAGAAGAAAAGAGTGGTTAGAACATAGAGCTAATCGTCCTCATCATGGTCATCATGGACCAGGACCTCATGGACCAGGACCACATCATCCATGGTTTAAAAAATGATATTAAAATTTATTTTTATATTTTGATGTTTTTATAAAACATATATACAATTATTATTATATAATAATTATAGACTTTTATAAGATTAAATAATATTAAAATAAAATAAAAGTTCTAAAAGATTTACAAAGAATTATCTTAAGTTTCATTTTGAACACTCAATTTTTAATTTGAAAAATTATCTCTTTGTTTATAAGATTTAATATCAATTCTTTATTAAACATAAGATTAATCAAAAATTATATAATGTATTCATAGTAATTGTTTAAGTATCAATTTTAAAATATGAATAATTTGTTCAAATAAAACTAATAGTTTTATTGTTATTTTTATTATTAAGTTTATATAGATAATATTTAATAACTTCAAATAGATAAGCATGATAAGCATGAGTTTTATTATTAAGTTTTATAATATCCTAAATTAATTTAGATCTTATTTGATTAAAAGTTTAGATATTCTTCATATTATTATGAAAAAGAGAAATGCGAATAATATAAAATAGTCATGATTACACATGTAATGGATAGAATAGATAGTATTAGTTAAGTAGAAATTGTAAAATATGAAATTAAATAAGTGATTATTATATAATTTTAAAATGAATAAATTGCCTTATCAACCTCTTGGTTTTGTTTTGAAATTTGATCCACCCATAATTGGATTATTATACCACCCTATAGAGAATAAGAAATTGAATAAGAAAAAGAAGAAGTGTTATGCTATTCATTTGAATAATCTAATCTTCTTAGTTGAACCTGAAGACATTGTAGAAGCATTATTTAATGAGCATTAAGAATTCTTAGATCCTGATGTTGTAAAACCTTAATAAGTACATTTGAAGATTTAATAAGGTGTATAAATTGGTGTTGCGATTAGTTGCATATAGAGATCATTAGTTAAGAAATATGTAAGAAATGGGTGAAGATATGGGTATTTCAATTTTAATCATATTTAAGGTGATGGTTATTATGAAGAAGAAGAAGAAGAAGTACCTGCACCATAACCTAAAGGAAAAGGAGCAAAAGCATAAGCATAATAACGAAGAACTAATGATAATAATAGATCATTTTGATTTTTTATATTATAACGATAATTACAATTTGAATTTAATTTATGAGGAAATAAAACCTCAAACAAGANAATCTCTTGTCATTGTTATTATAATATGAAACCATCATATTTGTCTATTGTTACCTATAAAATGAATAGATTTATAGGAATTTTAATAGAGATTTAAATAATATAGAGCAATTTAAAATATGTATGTATATATTTTAATATCCTGGAAAATATTTATTTTGGATTATATAATTTTGATTTCAAAACTTTTCATACCAATTTTATCTATAAAAGCAGGTTTAATAAAATAGAAGAATCAATAAAATTAGTAGAAATGTCTACATCAAATAAGCGATAAGCAATAAATTATAAGCAAATGGCAAAAGTTTATAGACAATGTGCAGAGACACAAAAATTGATAGATGATTTGGAGAAGAAAAATAAAATTAACATAGATAAATTCGTTCCACTTGATTATTTGGAGCTACCTGCTAAGATACCTAATATTATATCAATTTCACTTAAGAACAAAAAAAGATTTGCTTTAGAGAACATTATCAAGGATGGGGTTTAAAATTCATAGTAAAAGAACCAAAACTCTAAAAGTAAGCAAAAAGAGAAAAGTGCAATTGTAATAAATAGTGAATGATCTATATTAATAAAAATATATATAAATTTTGATTAATATTTTTGGTATTCTTGATTAAGCTATATCCATAGTAGTTGATAATTTTAATTAATATTCTATAATTTTTTTCATAGAAGGAGATAATATAAATAGATTTTATCATTTAGATATAATTTTATAAGTATAGATTAGAATGGACTGTAGAGATTAAGACATTAATACTGAAATATTAGGTTGGAGATGAAGGAATTTATGCAGCTTCCTCTTTAATTTATTTTATTAAAGTAAATTTAAGAGGAAGCTGCATTACTCATCTCTTATCATCATTCAGTAGATAAATTCTTAATATTTATAAAATTTTAATCTATATATTTTAAATTAATAAAATAGAATTCAATCATTTCTTCTTCTTTTTCAGTAATTATAGACTTTTATAAGATTAAATAATATTAAAATAAAATAAAAGTTCTAAAAGATTTACAAAGAATTATCTTAAGTTTCATTTTGAACACTCAATTTTTAATTTGAAAAATTATCTCTTTGTTTATAAGATTTAATATCAATTCTTTATTAAACATAAGATTAATCAAAAATTATATAATGTATTCATAGTAATTGTTTAAGTATCAATTTTAAAATATGAATAATTTGTTCAAATAAAACTAATAGTTTTATTGTTATTTTTATTATTAAGTTTATATAGATAATATTTAATAACTTCAAATAGATAAGCATGATAAGCATGAGTTTTATTATTAAGTTTTATAATATCCTAAATTAATTTAGATCTTATTTGATTAAAAGTTTAGATATTCTTCATATTATTATGAAAAAGAGAAATGCGAATAATATAAAATAGTCATGATTACACATGTAATGGATAGAATAGATAGTATTAGTTAAGTAGAAATTGTAAAATATGAAATTAAATAAGTGATTATTATATAATTTTAAAATGAATAAATTGCCTTATCAACCTCTTGGTTTTGTTTTGAAATTTGATCCACCCATAATTGGATTATTATACCACCCTATAGAGAATAAGAAATTGAATAAGAAAAAGAAGAAGTGTTATGCTATTCATTTGAATAATCTAATCTTCTTAGTTGAACCTGAAGACATTGTAGAAGCATTATTTAATGAGCATTAAGAATTCTTAGATCCTGATGTTGTAAAACCTTAATAAGTACATTTGAAGATTTAATAAGGTGTATAAATTGGTGTTGCGATTAGTTGCATATAGAGATCATTAGTTAAGAAATATGTAAGAAATGGGTGAAGATATGGGTATTTCAATTTTAATCATATTTAAGGTGATGGTTATTATGAAGAAGAAGAAGAAGAAGTACCTGCACCATAACCTAAAGGAAAAGGAGCAAAAGCATAAGCATAATAACGAAGAACTAATGATAATAATAGATCATTTTGATTTTTTATATTATAACGATAATTACNAGACTTTTATAAGATTAAATAATATTAAAATAAAATAAAAGTTCTAAAAGATTTACAAAGAATTATCTTAAGTTTCATTTTGAACACTCAATTTTTAATTTGAAAAATTATCTCTTTGTTTATAAGATTTAATATCAATTCTTTATTAAACATAAGATTAATCAAAAATTATATAATGTATTCATAGTAATTGTTTAAGTATCAATTTTAAAATATGAATAATTTGTTCAAATAAAACTAATAGTTTTATTGTTATTTTTATTATTAAGTTTATATAGATAATATTTAATAACTTCAAATAGATAAGCATGATAAGCATGAGTTTTATTATTAAGTTTTATAATATCCTAAATTAATTTAGATCTTATTTGATTAAAAGTTTAGATATTCTTCATATTATTATGAAAAAGAGAAATGCGAATAATATAAAATAGTCATGATTACACATGTAATGGATAGAATAGATAGTATTAGTTAAGTAGAAATTGTAAAATATGAAATTAAATAAGTGATTATTATATAATTTTAAAATGAATAAATTGCCTTATCAACCTCTTGGTTTTGTTTTGAAATTTGATCCACCCATAATTGGATTATTATACCACCCTATAGAGAATAAGAAATTGAATAAGAAAAAGAAGAAGTGTTATGCTATTCATTTGAATAATCTAATCTTCTTAGTTGAACCTGAAGACATTGTAGAAGCATTATTTAATGAGCATTAAGAATTCTTAGATCCTGATGTTGTAAAACCTTAATAAGTACATTTGAAGATTTAATAAGGTGTATAAATTGGTGTTGCGATTAGTTGCATATAGAGATCATTAGTTAAGAAATATGTAAGAAATGGGTGAAGATATGGGTATTTCAATTTTAATCATATTTAAGGTGATGGTTATTATGAAGAAGAAGAAGAAGAAGTACCTGCACCATAACCTAAAGGAAAAGGAGCAAAAGCATAAGCATAATAACGAAGAACTAATGATAATAATAGATCATTTTGATTTTTTATATTATAACGATAATTACAATTTGAATTTAATTTATGAGGAAATAAAACCTCAAACAAGATCTTTATTCACAAATCTCGACTATTGGATAGTATTCCTCTACTAAAAGAAGTAATCTCAATATTGATGATTTGATTTATTAATTCAAAATGAGGAAATCCAATTACAAATTAGCCAAACAATATTCTGAAATCATTAAAATATTTGATAACAACAAACAAACATCAAAATAACCTTTTCAATATTAAAGCAATCAATTACAAAATACAGATAGATTAAGAACTGATGAATCTTAAGAACTACTTTAATTTTAAGAAACTAAATAAAGATTGTCTCATTAAATAGATATTCATCAAATTATTAATGACACATCTCCTATTAAAATTACACCTAGACTTAATTATGAAAATTTTAAAACTTTTTAAGAAACAGAAAGAAAATCTTATGAATTTAATACTTATAATACACATTTAGCTAATTTTGGTCCTTTATCTTCAAATTAATGTGAAACAGATGAAGAAATATAATAAATTTCATAACAAAGTGTTTAAAAACTTTCAAAATTTAAAACTTTAGAATCAGAATAACAATTATAAACTTTTGTTTTTAAAATTAATAATTAAGTTGAAAAATTAAATAAAAAATTCTAAAAATAAGGATTCTTTATGATTAAACTATTCTCTAAATGGACTCTTAAAGAAAAAGCTACAAAAATGTATTTTAAATTTTTTGAACATAAAATTTAATCATATTTTGATCTTTTTTAAATATACGAGCCATCAATAGATGAAAAAAATAATGATACTCAAAATACAAATTAAAGGATGTTTTCTGATAATGTTTTAACACCAATCAATTTGAACATTTAAATTTTTTAAATTCCTACTCTTAAACCTGTTACTTAATTTGGTGCAATTAATGTAATCTATTTTAATATATATTTATAGTTTGAGGAGTATTTAAAAAAGAAAAATCAAAATATTGAATGAATATTTTTATATTGATTACTTAATTTATAACAATTAAATAAAGAATATTTTAATAATAATTCGAAAATTTTTATAAATAAATTAAAAAATGAAAATGATTCAATCATCTCAAACACTAAAATAATATATATATTGTTGAAATTAAATTCAAATGATCCAATTGGATCCATCCTCAAAATATTTTGATATTAGTTTATTATGATATCTTGGATATTCAAAATACTATTCATATTAAGTAATATTGTTTTTATTAGGATACAAGCATTTAAATTGTCCAAGACGTAATTATTCTTCAAGTGATTGTACCATGACATCTAGATCTTCTTAATTAACTTTTTATCTAAAATTTCTTGTGTTTATAGTTTAAATTTCATTAATATTTCTTTCATATAATTTCTTTTTAATTTATATTCTAAAAGCTTTTTAAGTATGATATTCAATTCCAATTAAATGCAACATATCTGATATAAGTTGAGTTTTAATTGTTGCATCTAACTCAGAAGATGAATTTAAGGAAGGACTAACATTAACTTCTAATAACCAAGGTTTTAATGTTTCATCTATCAAAATATCAAATCCAAATAATTCAAAATAATTGGTTTTATGTTCAGAAGCTATGTATATATAATAATTAGATACTTTTCCCATTACTATCAAGTAATAGAGGTTCAGCTGCAATACAAGTTTTCAATACAATATCTTAGATGGATTTAAATAATAATTTATAATTTATTCCTTCAGCTAGTAATTATTTTTTATATTCCTTATGTGACCACTTCGAAGCTTTGATTTATTATTATAAATCTTAATTATTAGCAATAAAATTAGGAGATTATTTATTAACTGAATAATTAGTTAAATGTATAAATCTTTTTTTAATATCCTTACTTTTAAGTGAATATTCTGAAGTGGCAAATCTTACCAATCCATCTTTGTACATATAAACTCTTAAAGGATCAATAGATGTAATAAGAACATAAACTCTAAGATCATATTTAAAATTATTAATTAAATGAGGATTAGATATATAATCCATTACTAAATATCTTTTATCTGCTGTTAATTTAGTTTTTTTATTAATTAATTTAATACCATTTCCTCTAGCAGATGCAACAGGTTTTTTAATCCATAAAGTTTTTTTATGAGCACATTCTCTAATCGCTTCAAATCTTTCAAAATCATATTGTAATAAATAGGTATTTGGTATAAAATAATATTCAGTTGGGAACTTTCTTTTAATTTTAGAGAGATGAATCCATAAATTATCTTTTCTACCTACACTCCAACAACCAGGAAAATGATTAGTCTTTTAATATTTCTTCATTTCTTTTAAGGTTTCTTTACTTGCCAATCCCCAATAGATTAACCAATTATCTTCATCATCACTTCTTTCAAATCCAGCAGCTTCAAAAGAGCTCAAAATACATTTAAATGGCACTTATCCATGAAGTTTATAATATAATGGTTTTTTGATTTGTTAAACTAAACATTATTAACTTCTTTTTTTTTAAAGCATTTCTCAAATATCATATAAATTGTACATGGATATGGAAAATATATTGTATATATATGTGGTCTGTATGGAGATTGCCAAACAAGTTATAATTATTATTATATACTAGTAGTAGTTGATGGTTCCATTAAGGAATAATCAATTTCTAAGTTTCTCTCAGTTAATAATTGATTACTATTAGTTTATTATAATATTTATTTTTGGTTTTTATTTCTTGCTATTAATGGTCTGTTGAGTTTTTTGGTTTAAACAACTTTGATTGTATTACTTTATGATTATGATTTAGATGTTGCTCTAGAATGAATAGTTAATGAAGATGTAGTCAGAGGTGTATAAACTGTTTATACTTTTCTACTCTGGCTTTATACTTTTTTTTACATTTTATTAATTAAAATAAAATCATCAAATTTATAACGATGGTTTATGATGCCATGGTAAGTCTATGTTAAATAAACGTTTAGTTGAATTCGATGAACCATAAAAAACAGTATTCTAATTCTTTTTATCTTATTGTTCATTTTCAAATATTTCAATTTCTTCATCCAAAATTTATGGAATCTAAAAATACTAAATATTTATTATTAAACCTTTGTTTATGATAATCTAGGTTTTTAATACTCTTAATTACTGATTGATGTAATGGGTCTTGAAATTTTATTATGCGTTGGCATTATTAAAGCAGTTGATGGTCTTAATGATGATTAAGATTAAACTCCTAATTTTCCACTTTAAATTCGTCTAATTGATGCCTTTGTACTTACTGCACTAGATGTTCTTTATAAATATTCAGTCATAAAAGCAGGATCTTACATCATTTTTTTATGTTATTAAACATCTAATCTAATATCATCGATAGCTTCAGATATCTATATTTTTTATGTCTATTTCTAAAATTATGGATGTTCTTTTAATTATTTTATTGTTGGTATGCTTTTCCTTGATTCCTCTTATTATAATTATTTATTATGTTAATTATGTAATAGTTCTTTTGAGCCTGCAAATTCTTCTAATAATTAAACTCTTAACATCTTTCCATTTAATTTAGAATGATTCAATATTTATTAAGCATTTTTTAATTTAGATTTTATTTCAACATATAATTCAGGATCTCTTAAGAGTTTCTTAAACTCACCAATACCTGCATCCTTATTTTTTAAGAATTACTAATGTTTTTGAGTTCTTTTTTAAATGTAATATTCATTTCTATCTTTTAAAGATCTCCCCTTAAATACAGCCTTATCCATATTATATTGATAATTCATATAATGCTAAATTTTAGCATCTGGATTCTTGGCAGTTTTATAACCAGTCTAATCAACAACATAGAGATTATCCTATTGCAATATAAATAATATAAACCATTTTTGGATCTCTAGTTAAATCCATCTTTGTTTTTGGAATTTTCTCATAATAAGCCCATCTATCAACTGTATTGGCCATCAGATAGAGAAATTCAAATTCTTAGATGAATCCCTTAATCTAAAGAAAATCAGTGCATCTCTTAATCCATTCTTCTAAGACACTACTACTAATAGCTTTTCCTATTGCCTAGAAATATTTATATAATTATACCCATAATAAATTGTTAATTTCAGTTGCATTACATGGTACACCTTCACTCATTAATTCCTACTCTCTAAGATGAAATATAAGACAAGCATCTTTGATATCCTTCATTCTATATAAACCTTAAGTAATTACGTAAGAAGTCCGTCATGATATAGTTAAATTGCTGCTTTAATATTGCGAACATTAAGGTGTGTTAAACGTCCATTTAGAAACTGAAATTGAAAATAAGTTAAATACCCTTGGAACTTCATGTAAAAAAGATAGTGATCTAAAAGTTGAGAATATAGTTTAAATATCAATTTTGATCTTTTCAACTATCTAAATTTTATGTTCTTCCTCTAAAATTTAAATTACAAGGAAAAATATAGGTTGCATCTACATATAATCGGATATAAGCAATCTCAAATCCTCATATTTGATTTAACCTCTTGCACTGAATTCACTTTAAATTCCATAAATTGTAAACTCTTCTAATTGTTATGTTTCTGTCATATATAAATAAATAATTTTAATAAACAAAATGGACTATGAATAGAATAATTATTAGGCATTTGAAATTGAGATTGTAGATACTGAGCAAGAAAGAATTGAGAATGCTAGACTAAGTTTTATCAGAAAGGTAAAATATTGGGAATAATGAGGTGTTTTTGATAATTTTACTTCAAATAGGATTTACTTTTATGACAACAATAGCAGCTTATTCTCAAAATACAATAATAGAATACTTAAGCTATCGACCATTCTTATTTTGGATATTTATAGTTATATTGATCTTAGTAATATTTTTGCTAATGAGTTTTTAAAAGTAAATTAAGATATAAATAAAGATTAGCTAAACAATATCCATATAATTATATTTGTTATAGTTGCTTTACACTCTCGATCTCATACATATTCATTTATAGTACATATCATTACCCTAAATATTCAAATCATTTAATAGCATTAATAACCCTTTAAATTGGCGTTATAATTTCACTTCTCAGTTACTCTTATTTTGCAACAGAAGAAATCAATCAAAATAAAGGATTAATCTATATCGTAATCACAATTACTTCACTCTTTATTTTGTTATTCCTATACTTGAGATTATCCTTGATATTTTTATTTATTTTGTCATTCCTCATTATTTTGTATGGTTTGCATATTCTAATCGATACATTACTTATTGTAAATGGAGAAGTAAGAATAAGATAATAATAATATTAGAAACATGAATTAGATATTGATGACTACATTATTGCAGCCTTGATGACATAAGTCGACATTATTGGATTAATTTCAATACTTTATCAAAAGATCCTTTCTTAAATAACAAAGATTTAAATCAACAGTAACTGATAATATAAACAATCATTAATTTCTAGTATACTATTGTTTCCACTCTTCACATTCTCTATTCTTCACTTCTATTTGATATCTTAATGTTCTATTCTCACTCTCCAATATTTCAACCTATGATTCCATTTACCTCTTAATTTACTCAATCTATGATCTCTTTATTTCTTCTTTTACTTATTCTGATACTTCCTACTATTTCTATATCTCAATCAATTTCTATTTTTAACATTCCAAATCCACTTACATTCTTTAAATTAATAACTTTAAATTTAAATATTCTAATTACAATATTCTCATTGTTTTTCAGAGCTAATTAACCCTTCTATTATCTACATTCATCAAATTCATTTGATCTCTATTCCAATAATTCAGTCAATTCATTTATTTAATCATTTAATTATTCAATATCTTAATTTTACTCTTGTATATCATTTTCATATTGCAATTATAATTAATCATAATTATTCTATGCCTACTTTAATTAAGATGATATAGTCTAATTACGTTAATTCATATTTTCTAAAGCTATCTAAAATTCTTAATTCTATTCCGAATCTTCTTATTATTATTTTTATTGTGAATCTACTTATTAATTTAATTTTTAAATCTCCTATAGTAATTTATTAATCTATTATTGATATTCCATTTTCATCTCTGATAATGACTTTCTATATTTCTAATCCAAATCCTAATTACTTAATTGATGTTATTCTTATAAATTACAATTCTATTCAACTTAAGATTATATTTCATCTTGTAATCCTTATATCAAATCTAAAATAAATTATATCAATAATCTTACTTGATTACTCTTATATTTATTAATTCAAAATGTTATACTCATATTAAAGTTAACTAATTCTATGAATCAAACACTCTTTTTCATCTACAAATTCCTTTTCTTAAGATTTAATTTATTAATCATTTTATTAAATTAATTTATGAACTTCTCTCTTCTTTTCTTCTTGCAAATCTTAATACTTAACTTTTTAAGCTTCTAATTATTATATCAAACTCTTCTCTCCTATCTTTAATTCATTTACATTTTTATCTAATTATATAATTTCTTATTTCTAAAATTCTATAGCCTAATTTCTCCTAATCAATTCATCTTGTAATTACTAGATTTAATCATCCATTAATTATAATTATTCTAAATGGGCCTACTAAATTTCTTATAGATTTTAATTATATTTCTAATCTTTATGATATAATTGCATTGAAGCATCTTTATCCATGTTCACTTTTTCATGTTAAACATACTTTAATTCAGATAAATAATCATTTAATTATTATTTCTAAATATCTAGTTATCTATTTAATCGAATTAATTGAGTATCTTTTTCTCTTAATCTACTATTAAGTTCATCATTTTATGATATAGAATTTTTTAATTCCTTAGTCAATTAATCCAAATGTTTCTCATATTCTAACATTGTTTATGTCTAATTGGATGATATACACTATAAATCATTAAATTATATATCATACTCTAGCTTCTGCTTATTCATAACGTCGTTTCCAATTATTTATTTCATGCTATTATAATTCTACTAAATTCATCAATTTTTTAATCTCAAATTCTGGATTAATAAATGTATTGCTTTGTTTCATATCCATATCAATACTTCTTTCAAATTTACTAATATAATGAGAATTTCTAAGACTCTATTATGACTTTTATAATGTCGATCCTAAAAACTCTTATTAATAATAAGAACCTTATTATAACTCTCCATAATGAGGACTTTTAGATTATGTGTTTGGAGATATTGTATTTCTTGATTTTGGTGGTGATAATGCTGGTATTGGTTTTAAAAATTATGACATCCTTTAATTCTTCTAACAGACAATTTATATTTATTTATCTCATTACATCATTAAAGTATTATATTCTTAATCATATATCGATTATTTTATTTATTAAATACAATTATATATCATTTCTTTTTATTAATTTATTATCATTCTCTTCTCCTAATTTCTTAACTCTTCAAATCTTCCTTACTTTTACACATTCCATCAATTCTCTCTCCACTCTATCATCCACTCATCATCTTTATTTAGTGACAATTTTATTCTAATCTCATTCACTTAATATTCATTGATTAATTCATTGAAACTATTCAAACATATTTTGTGCATATTATTATTTATAAATATAAAGACAACTGGTATATTAATTTTTTTATTTAATGGGTTGTTCGGTAGCAAAATCATCATAAAAAGACTCTACCAAATAGCAATAACATTAATAACTAAGAGAACCTGAAATCTAAGATTAATCACATGTTATAATACCTAAAACAACTTCTAAAAATATTCCTCTCTTTGTTTAACCAAATAGTTGTAGACGTACTTCAGATAATCTCGTAAGATTCAAAACAGAAACAGACTCCAATAATAATTTGCTCTCTATTAAAAAAAATCCTATTTATCTTAGAAGGGCCAGTTCAAAAACTTAAGCAGATTAGAGTCACGATCTATAACCTAAAGAATGAGAATCAAATCTAATTATCTGATATGGGTTTTTGTATTATTAACACATTTATATTCCAAATCATTTATAAACTTTTTATCTTCTTCATACTTTAAATCACTTAAAATAATATTTAATCAATATTTCATGCTCTCATATTTTATACTGAAAGCTTCATATCATTATTAATTACAATATTTATTCACAATCACTTTTTAATTTCAAACCCCTATTCCATATCGCTTAATTTTCACTTAACATTTCTCTTAAGACTTTATCAATCAATTTGAAAACTTTTAATACAATTAAATCAATTACCTTATTAATCAAATCATTGTTTCAAAAAAAAAAAAACCTTTAAATTCAAATTTTGATAACCATTTTATAAATCACATTTTTTTCATATAAGTAGTTTCACTATTTTCATATTTCTAAATACATAAATTATTTTTCCAATATTCTAGATTAAAGAACAAGTAATCTCACTTTTAGAGAAAGCTTCTAATTTTTTTAAAATAAATATATTAAGAAAATTTTCTTAATTTATTATATTCAACATTCATCAATTAAGATTTTAATAGTTTTCAAATAAAAAATCAGACTCTATAGTATTATTTTAGATAAAGAAAAACTAAAACAATTAATTATTTAATATAGAATTTTTGTTTATTATTAGAGAACTCAATCGATATAAATTTACTAAATTAAAGTAGAATGGATATAAGTATCAAAAAATATAAAAATTATTGATAAATTACAAATAAAGAGCTGAAAGTTGTAGAAGTAACATTGGCAAAGTTATTATTTGAATAGAAATTAAAAAAAATAAGTTTCCTGAAAAAGTGAGAAATTTGTTATTCAATTGATTTTTCAAAACTAGATATTAAAAAAGCTATTCTTCCTATTTTAAAGATAAATGATTAAAAAGGATGTCAATTTAAAGTTATTAATGGAAATATCATTACAATAACATTCATAAAACTATTTGTCTTTAATATTTAGAAATTTAATAAAAGATCCAAAATATTAAATTTAATTACTTTTATAAATAACATCTGAACTAATAGTGTCAGTATTTAAAAACAACTTTTTTCTCTTTTTATATTATTGTTTCTATTTCTGTGAATTGTAAATATCAAATATTCATAAATAAATTAAATTCTAATTATTTTTAATATAAATGAAATCTGAATCAAAATCTATATTAAGGGTGTAATAGAATTATTACAATTTTTAAACGAATTTTTATTTTTTTTTTAATTAATTATAAGAAATATGAATTAGCTTTCAGATATTTAGAAGAAGTATGATGAGAAAATTAAAGATTTTGCAACACAAATTAGATTTATTAAATCAAATACTAATATTGAAAATTATTTCTAAAATATAAATCAACCTTCAAGAATTATTTTATTTTTAGGATTTCGACTTAATGTTTTTGAATAATATATTGATAATTTAGAAAGAAAATCACTTAAATATCATGGAGAATTTATTACTATATATGAAATTAAATAAAATGGAAAAGATTATTTTTTTATAAATAGTCCTCACTCTCTCCTTTTTTACTAAAATCTAAACAATTTTTAGAAGATATGTGCTTCAAAAATAATTTTAGAATAAATATTACTTACTTTCAAAAAACCTATTCATGTTATCATTAATTATACATAAATTTTAGGAAATGATTCTAAAGAAAAATAAGAAATGCTTCTAAGTCTTGAATTTCTTAAATTTGGAAAGGTTTAATTAAAAGAATAAAAGATATCATTTATAGAAGAAATCTATGATAGATAGAATTATGTTTATTTGAAAAGTTTGAATCCTAACAATTAAATACAATTTAAAAGTTTAAGAAAAGAAGAAATAATAAAGTCTATTATCAAAAATGATGATTTTGTTAACATTAAATAAGTAGAATTACCTTAAGATATATCTTATGGTGCAATGACTGTTACAATGAGTAAATTACAAGAAAAACTTATTAAAATTATTAACAAAACAATCGAAAATTTTTAATAGCAATTGTATTATTTATAATAAATTCCTAAACTTGATGAAGAATAAGATTTAAATAACTCTATTAAACGATATTTATAAAATGTTAATGATCAAATTAAATATGAATAAAAACCTTTACTAGAACATGTAGATCAAATATTTGACAAAATAAATCAAGTTAATTAAAATAGTGGAAATGAACTCAATTAAAATTTGAAAAAATTAAATCGTCTTTATTTCGATGTTTTCTTAAAAGATATAAAATAAACTTTTGAAGATATGGAAATAAAACAATTTTAACTAAATCTAAATTAAATCTCTTAAATTTAAGAATTTTTACTAAGATATCATAAGCATTAATTCAAAAATGTTGTTATTATAACTATTTAGAATTTAGTACTTAATGTATCTTTTTGGAATTAATTTAGCCATATATTATTGGAAAATAAACTTTATCAAATGAAATAAATATCTCATTCAGTTTAATCTGAACCATAAGGTGAAGGAATGAATAAAGGAGTATTCTTTTTTGGGAAAAGTAGAGTAGGAAAAAGCACTTTAATTAATTTAATTTAAGATCATAAATGTTTAACTGTTGAAAAATAATATGTGATTTATGTTATGTTCTAAAAGCTCAAAATAGAAACAATGCAGTTTTTAAAATAGAGCATGGATGTATGAGTGAAACATAAAAAATTTCAGGTTTAAGAATAGATGATATTTGGTATTTTGACTGTCCTGGATTTGATGATAATATATCTGAATATGCGAGGATAGCCCATAGAATTAGTTTATATAATTATTTAAAAAAATTTAGATCAATTGTGGGATTTTTAGTAATAGATGGATCTATTAGAGATGCTTAAATTATTAAAGATAGTATAGATCCTATTTATTTATTAATTGAAGATAAACACTAATTATAAATTGAACATAATAAATGGCTTTCATTAATATTGGTAAAAACTAAACCTAATACAAGAAGAGATTATATTGAAAATTGGTAAAATGCATATCATGGGTTATTGGAAGGCAAATATAGTTTTTATTAATAAATGTATTAAAATGATAATTCATGTATTGATTTTTAAAGTCCAGAATATTTGTAAACAAGTATAAAAAGTTAAGTAAAGAATTTATTTTAAAATTATTGGGCATTAGAATCTAAAGGGAAACCTTAACTTCCTGATTAATAAACAATAGAAAATTATTTATTAGGTGTTAAAAATTAGATTATCAATATAGTTTAAAATTAATTATAAAATAGAGATAGAATATCTCTAAAATTTGAATTATATATGGAAACTAAATTGTTTTATCTAATTGAAGTTGGAATTACTATGTTAAAGCATAAAATTGAGTAGATTTTATTTAATTTATCAAACTAATTGAATTTTTACATTCTTTATAATAGGGATAATATTGAAAACAAATAAAAAGTTATAGAATAATTACTTAAATTTCTTGAAGATGAAATAAACTAAAATAATGTTGGAGGATTTTTAAATAATTTACAAAATTGGAGCAATGAAAATCAAGAATTTGGAGATAAAAATAAATTTCTGAGTATGTTGATAGATGATATTTTATCTTGTTTAAAACTTTTAAAATACTGTAAGAATAGATAAATTGCACCAATTTAGATAAAAACCGAAACTATTAAGAAGAATATGAACTAAGCAATATCTTATATTAAAACAATTATAAATACATATTCAGGATTACAAATAGCTTTTGGAATATCTACAGTTATTATTACCATAGCAACATTAGGATTTGCATTGATTGCAGAAGGAGCTTTAACAGCATTGGCTGCAACTGCATTGAGAACAGGAATTACCTCAGCTGGAGGAGGATTTGTAACAGGTACTTTAGGAATTTCAGTTGAGATATTCTAGAAGGGAATATTATCACACTATTATAGAAACTATTTAGAAGAGTAATAAAAAAAATGATTTAATTGATTTGTTAATCTATAATAATTATATTATAAATTTGTACTATGTATTAAATATAATATTATCTCTTCTACTTAAAAATTAGAATTTATTATATTAATTTGATAACTCTAAAATACAGGGTGATAATGATAATTTAAAATATTCAAATATATTTATACAAATAAACTGATATCATAACACCAAAACTTTTGTCGCATCATTATTACTTTAAATTATTTTAAAATTAATGGGTTGTGGATCTTCCTAATCAGAAACATCTGAATTATAGAAAGGAAATCATTCTTAAAAAACTAATATTTCTTCACCTGATTCTAATGAGTTGGCTGATAAATAAAAACTTTATTAAAGAGGTACAATTTCAAATAACTGGAGGAAACTTTTTACTCAAGAAGTAAAAGTATGAGCAGGCTATTTCTTTATTTGATAGAGTCTTAGAAATTGATCCAGAATTTGCTGATGCTTACTATTCAAAAGGTAACTTTATTAATTATATTCAGCAATTGTTGCTTTTGAATAAAATAAAATAGAGGATGCCTAAAAGTTATTAGATATAACATTAGAAAAATAACCTGAACATGTTTATGCGTTAAATGAAGCAGGTTTTTTTTATCAAAATTAATATAGGGTGTTTAATGATAAAGTAAAGAAAATTTCCAGAAGCCTTAGTTTATCTTGAAAAAGCATTTACAAAACAATAAAACTTTTCAGAAGTTAATTATAGTTTAGGTATATACAAATTTTTTGAGTTTATTTTAGCATATGCTTTATCTAAATTAAATAGAAAGGAAGAATCTTTAAAATATTATGATTTAGCTATACAAGAAGACTCATAATAAAAACATTTTTATATTAATAAAGCTTCTACATTGATTGAACTAAATAAATATGAAGAAGCTTTAAAATGCGTTTCTGAGGCTTTAAAATTAGATTAAGATTATGTAGAAGCCTTAATTATTTAAGGTACAATATAATATAATAATAATATAGGAAATATTTATAAAGGTACAAAACAATTTGAAAAATTGTATAGCGTTGGCTTAGCAATTTTGAAATTAGATAATGAAAACAAATTTGCTTAATTGATGAAAAAAGAGGCTGAATAAAATTTAAATATTTAGCCCACTGAATAACAATCTGATACAAATATTTCAATAGATGACAAATTAATTTTAGGTATAATTAATATTGATTAATTAGCTCAAAATTTGGTTTCAGAAAAAGAATTTGTATAAGCAAGAAAGATTATTGAAAAAATTCTTTAGAAAGATTCTTAAAATTATTAAACTCTTAAATTAAAAGCTTAGATCTTAATTGAATTAAAATAATATGCTGATGCATTAGATAGCTTAAATAGACTATTAGTATAATAACCAAAAGATATAATAGTTTTAAAAGATAAAGGTATTATAAAATTATATAAGAATAGCATTTATATTAGAAAAGTTGAATAGATTAGAAGAAGCATTATAATGTTATACTTTAATTATAGATGAGGAAGCAATGCTTGCAAAAAATGAGAAAAAAGGTAGTTATATTTATTTATTTTTTAAGCTGATCTATATATGAAACTTGGAAAAGTCAAAGAAGCTTCAGAAATATTTGAAAGTCTCAATAAATTACCAAAATTAGATGATCCATAAGCATATATTCTAAAGGGTAATAATTTATTTAATTATTTTTTTAGGAAAGTTATTATATTCCTAAGAGAAATTTGAGGAAAGTATAACTTTTTTATCAGAAGGACTGTTAAAATTTTAGAAAAATATTGACATAATGTAATTGCTTGCTCAGAATCATAAATCATTAAAAAATGAAAAAGAAGCATTGAATATACATTAATAAGTTCTAGAGATTGATAAATATAATGATTGTTCTAATTTTGAAAAAGGTAATATTGATTATATAATAATTAGGTGTAATTTATTATGAATAAAAATACTATAAGAAAGCATTAGATTCTCTAAATAAGATAAAAAATCCAGAATTTAATGAATTATCTTATTATTATTTTGGAGTTTGTTATTATAAACTAGAAGATTATAAAAATACTATTAAAAATTTATAAAATTATGTGAAAATTGGAAGAAAAGAATTATAATAAGCTTATTTTATAGTAATATTAAAAATTAATGTTTTTAAAGTTAGGTGGAGCTTATTTGTAACTTTTAAGATTTGATGAAGCAGAAGAAAATTACCTAAATTGTATTAAATGGGATCCTAATAATGCTGAAGCTCATTTTTAATTAGGAAATGTTTATAAATAGGATAAATAAATTGAAGAAGCAAAAAAATATTACGAATCAGCTCATAATCTTTAACCTTATAATGAAACATATAAATAAAGTTATGGTATGATTTAAATATTAATTATTAGAAACATTTATGAATGAAAAAAACTATTTAATAGAATATAGTGATAGTTTATTATATACTTTGACCACTTTGATAGGAATTTGTTAATTAGATCAAAAATCATAAGATTACGAAAAGTAAAAGAATGAGAAATATTTGGGTATGTTACTTCTATTAGAGACTTATTAAAAGAAAAGATTCAATTCAATAGATCAACATTTTGAATAAATAAAATAATTAATAGCTAAATCATATGATATGTAATATACAGTAATAGATGATACTTTATTTCCAATAATGCAATTTTGGCATAATTAAAAGATTTGTAAGAAGAAGAAAGATATTCATGATTTTGTTAGTTCAATTATTAATACAGTTAAATTATTAGTGAATATAAATAGTGAAAAAATACTTAATGTAATTAAGAGTGAAAGATCTTTGAATAATAAATATTGTATGGAATTTGCTGAAAAATGTGAGCATGAATTATATAAAAAGAGGAGTGGATGTTTTGGTTTAGTAGATGGAATTAAAATTCTTGGTTTTTTGTTAAAGTATCAGAAAGAATTTACTAAAGAACGTATGTCATTTTAAGAACTTATCCCAACTAAATATTAAGTGGAAGAAATATAGATATTTCATGATTCTTATTATAAATAATGAGATTAAGGACTTTTTGACTAAATTTTGTTATTTTATTTGAGGAATATTTGAAATCAAAAACATAATAAAGATAGTTTAATATAATAAATATATGATAAGAATATAGATTCATTTGCGTTCGAGATATTACTCATTTCGTTTTAAGTATTATAAAATTTGGTTTTCATCTGTATATTCTAAAGCTTGTAAGTAGGTTTCATATGTGAAAGTATCCTTATCACACATTAAAGTAGGCAAATCAAATATTATCAATGAAGCTTAAGCTTATATTTAAAGTCTTAACCATTCAATAGTTGATTTTGGCAATCCTTTTTTCTCTTTTATGTTTTAGTAGATTTAACCATAAAGATAAGTATAACATATATCTTTGATATCATCATCAATAAAATCATTTAAGAACCATTCTACTTTGTCTTTTCTATTTTTATCTAATTTTTCTGCTTTAGCTTTTGCTGTATTGAGTAATAAGTTTAATTCATTTTAAACTAATTAATTATCTTATTTAACTTTGTTATAATAATCTTAATATTCAAAACACGTTGTAATATGATCCCATTCAGCTAAACCAAATGAGTTTACTTTAGATTCTAATAGAATTTCAATTTCTTTTCTTAATTGTAACATTCTTTTAAAGACTAAAAATAAAGGAATAACCCAAAAATTTTATAAACCATTAAAAAAATTAAGACATTTAGCAACTGTTTAACCAACAATATTAAGTGCATCTAAAGAACGATTATATTTTTAAGAAAATAAAGCTAATTGTTAATTTGATCGTTTTATTAATTATATGTAATTTTCAGCATTACTAACTCTACTTTCATCTAAATTAGGTTTCTAATTTTAATTATCATCTAAATTAGATCTCTAATTAAATTAATTATCATCTAAATCAGAACTATAAATAGCTTTATATTATTCCATAGCATTTTCTGATTGTTAATATAATTATTATAATTCATCCTAAGTTTTTGAAACTTTACTATAAACTACTTATTATTGTTTCATTTAATCTGATTTAGATAAAGAGGCAAATCTTTATTTAGTTTAAATTTTAATAGAATTACCTTAAACTGAACACACTCTTGTTCTTATTTTATCATAAAAGAATTAATTTTTGGTTTTAGATTAAGATAATTGTTATGAAGAAGAATTTTAATTTAAATCTGAACTATTATCAATGATTTTTCTAGAAGAATCATAACCAGTATAAATAGTAGTATTTTATGTTTGATTTCTATAACTCTTTTATCCATAATTTTAAGATTTGATATTAGGTTTTGGAAGTATTTTAGTAGATGAAAAGAAGTTATTAAATTTATTATTGGTATAAGTTTAAATCATTTAACGAGTTTGATTAGATGATGATTTCTATCTACTTTAAACTGATTAATATCTATTACCTATAACACTTTTAATATTATCTTAATGCATTCTTTACATATTACTTATTTTAGTAATCAATGATTAATTTAATAAATTTTATTCAGTGGTTTTTGTATTTTTATTACAATTGATTTATTAGAATGAATTAATCAGAGAATTGGTATCATCTTTACTACTAATTCTAGATGTAGATCTACATTTAACATCAATTCTATTAAATTTAATTTGATAATCTTTCAATATCTATTTACATGCATTATCTTCTCTAAATGCTGAATGATATGGAATTTAATTCCATTCAATAGGGTTCTCTGGATTTAAAAGTGAAGAAATCAAATTCTATACAGTTGGCTTCTTATTTGTAATTAATGATCCTATATCTAAACGACCACCTTGCAACCATTCTGTTATATGTCTTTATACTTCATTTAATATATAGGTTCCTTGAGTCATTACCAAATATAATATACCAAGAGACCATTAATAAGATGATCTACAAGGTTTGCCTTTCAAAATTAATGGATTCCAATATACACAATAATTTTCTATTCTCTTTTTTAAACCGAAATCTAAAATAACTATTGAATCACCATTCTTTATTATATTGTCAATTGTACAATCTCTAGGTTAACAATAACCTTGATATAAATCATATCCAAAATAAATCAATAACAGTTTAGACAAATCTCCATTTATCAATTACCATTAACAAACATTCTCTATAATCATATCTGTATATGTATTTGTTCTTACTATCTATAAAATTGATGGCAATAAACTTATTTACGGTTTTAATAACTTCATCTCTCTATAAGGTTTAATTCTATGATAAGATTCCAAAAATTTTAATTCTTCATCCAAATACCTACAATCTTTCCATCTAACAATAACTATATTCTCATCTGTTAATTTCAATCTACCCTTTAATGCTTACCATTATTCACATTACCATATTGGAAATGTCACCGTATAAGGATGATTAGCACTCATTTTATTTTATAATTTTATTATTTTTGTTACAATTAATATCTAATAAATTATTATTATTCAAATTTCTTTCCAACACTTTCCCATCATCTTTCAATTTACAAAAAACTCTATTTATATAAATAATCTAAATTTTATTTATATTTTATTATTATTATTATCATTTAACTAATTTATTATTTACTTAATCTCTTTTTTAATACACTTTATCATTATTTCTCCTCTATAAACATCATCATTTTATCTCTCTGCAATTTAATAGTATTTCTCTGCCAAAAATTAAATTCTTAATCCTAATCTAATATTCTCTATTCTTAATAATTTAATACCAATAACCTTCACATTTTAACTTTGTCTAATTTATATTTTTTAAGCATTTCTAAACTTTAAAATTATTGTCTATTTTATCATTTTAATAATCTAATCATTATCCTATTACTAATTAATCAAACTAAAACTCTCAATTTTTATATTAGCCTAATTTATAATTAAAGATTTATGCTAAAAAAATCAATATTATTTTACAATTTTTTCAAAAATGAAATATTAAGATTTAATATGGATTTATTTAAATTCTAATTTCTAAGCTAGTCTTCTCCATATTGGATTAGCAAATTTTAAATTTATATCAGATTTTTACTTAATCATATTATAGGCAATCTTAAAGGATAATAGATATAGAATTAAGGTAAATTTTTATAAAAGAAAAACAATCTTTTTTTGATAGCTTCTGTTTTACTTTTTAAGGGTGACCCATTTGTTCAGGTTTTCATTTAAAAATTTAAAAATTGATTAAATAATGAAATAACCATACTACAATACCAAAACGAATTTCAAGAATCCTTTTATTTAAATATTATTTCTACAACTAGATCTGTTAATAAAATACATTTTACCCAAAATTTATTTTTTTTAGTTTTTAAATAAAAAACTGAATGGTTAGATATTCTTATTCAATGAAGTCAATTAAATGTTAGTACTTGCATATTATTTATTAAGTTAAGCTCTATTTATTAATTGATGTATATAATTAGTAAAAAAAATATAATAATGGATTAAATTCAGACGTGTGAAGGTAAGTTATTATTTATTACTTATCATTTATATAAATCTAATCGAATTGGAATAGAGTAAAAAAGTGAAATAAAAGGTGACATATATATATAATTCACAGATATGTTAATAACACAAGATATTAGAATATAATAAGTGATGTAAGAGATAAAGAATGAAACTAATATACAGAAAATAGAAAGAATGTTAGAAAATATTAATGTATAAAATTACATAAAGCATTAGCCAGAGGAACAGAGCCCTAGAGATATTGATGACAATTTAAGTCATACTTATAAATAAAAAAGACCAAAACTTTTCTAATTCTAAAAATCAAATTTCTCAAAATTTATAGAAGCAAAAGCTAATGAAGATACTGATACTTTTTCTTCTAATAAACAATTAATGTGTAGAAAAAGATTGTATTCATTAGCATCAGATTCTTGTTGATATTATTATTTAAACATATCAATAATTTTTTCATCCTAGAAGTTCCAAGAAAATGTTTCTAATTAACAATAAGAAATCTTAAAGAAATTAATTTTCTGATTATTTTTGATCTTTAAAAGTGACTTTAAATATATATAAATATAATTATTGTCACAAAATACTCTTTTACTACATCTTTATAAACATCTTAAACAATTTACAGTAATCTTAGTTTAATTTTTATTAAGCAAAAAAGTGATATTTAATGAAATGTATATTTATTATATTACTAAATTTAATTATATCTTTTATATTGAAATAAGTTTGTATTGAGATGTAATAAATAGACTAAAATAAATAAAATATATTTTATCCTATTGGATTGATTTAAATAATAACATCTAGAATCTCCTTTAGACCCTTTAGAAAAGTATAATGTAACAGTATCTTTAATAAATTTTTAAATTGTAGATTTGATTATGCAGATCATTTTTTAATTATTTTTGATCAGAATAAAAGAATGAAATATATCCTATTAAAATAAAAATAACATTCTTGTTACAATAATACTTTATTTAAACTAAAATAATAATAGATCAAAATAATAATTTGATTTAACATATGTTTGACAGTATGACTAAAAAGTGATGTAGTCTTTAAAATAATTAATAAATAAATAGATGAAGCACTTTTTGTATTACAAATTAATTAAAAAGAATAGTAAAAATTAGTTTAATGATAAAATTAATTTAAGATTTAATATAAAATAAGTTGAAATAGAATTAACTAGAAATTATTTAGGTTTTGATTGTTTAGATTTTCAAAAATGATTGGCTCTTATTGTATTTCTTTGTATCTTACTAAGAATTTAAATTTGCTCTCAGATATGTAACTTAGTTGATTGTATTAAAAAAAATAATTTTCAGAATAGAAATTATATAATTTTTGGATTTCATTTATTGGACAATTATTTAGAGGAAGAAAAGATAAATGTCATAAAGAACACACTTATTATTAGTAATGGGTAATTGAAATATTAGATTAGCATAGTTCAATCATCACTTTAAGGAGCTTCTTAATTAGATTCATCTTTTGGTACTCTTATAATTAGAAGAGGAACCTAATGATCTTTGACTTAATCAAATTAATTGAAGTTTCTTTAGTTGCCTTTCATTTGATTAATCCATCTAATTATGAGATATTAAATTTACTTTAAATATTCTTTTTGTACAATTGTGTATTCTTGATAAGCTATTTAGAGATACTTGAGATTTGATGCTTTAAGTCCAGATGATTCGAATTCTAGTTCAGGGAATTTTCTAGTTAAGATTTTCATGTCTTATTATTTAGTGATATTTTTAGGAGAGAGACATTTTTTATCTAATTTTTTAGGTAATCTCCTTCTATTTTCTTCATTTTCCTATTCTTATTCTACTTCTAATAGTATTTTATTTAGATCAATAAAAGAAGAGAAACTCTAATAAAATTCAGAGTCAATAGGTGTATTATCTGGTACTTACTCATCTTCTACTTTATTTTAATGATTATCATCATCAAGTGATTTCATAGAATTGTTAGGTCTTTCTGCAAAACCTACAGCACTTTAAGCTTTACTAACTTAAGATTAGAAACTAATTTCTGGTAATTCACTTTTTCTGGATGAGTTTTTTAGTGTTGTCGAATCTTAGTCATTTTATTTTTCAACTAATAATTATTATTCTTTTTTTTCTTTTGCTTTTTTTCTAATAAGTTTTGCTTTAAGACTTCTTTCTTGAATAACTTTTTAGACATATTATTTGCCTCCATTGTACAATTAAAATTATTAGTAAATCTTTCTAATAATTTAAATGATGTATGAATATTTGAGATAAATCATATCATTAATTAATTGATCTCGTTCTTTTTGAGAATAATCTTTAAAAAATGCATATTATAATTCTTTATTGATATCTCTTATCTTTTCAAATCCTGATTGTAAAGATCTATGACGATGTTGGATTCTATAAATTAATAAATGTATAAATGTATTTCTAACTAAGGGACTCCAATGCATAAATATTTTAAAAAATAAATCAGTACTAAATAAGAAATCACATAATTCTTTTTTTGGTTCAGCTATATTAATATTTAAAAATAACTCTTACTTGTAATAAGATGAAAATTATTATATAAAATTTATAAACTTTTACTAATAGAAACAGCATGATCTCCATTTAAAATTAATTTGATTCCCTTAAAGAAAAAAGAATAATCAAAATTAGTAGGTAAGGCATGATAATTTTAATTAACTTTTTATAACCAGATATCTACAATGTTTAAAGTGTTAAACACCTATATTGCATCATATACTCTAGTTTAATTAAATACTATATGAATAAATTTACTAAGCAACATGGAATTATTAATGATTGCACAAGAAGCTTCAATAAATTTATAATTCTTAAGTTAGATATTTGAAAGTAACAATTATACAATTTCATCATAGCCTTAAATGTTTTACCAATTAACATTTAATCCAAATTTAGACTAAACAAAGTTTACCCATTAAATAACAAAAGGATAATAAAAATGTACAATTTCTTTATTTGGCATATCCAATTTCAAGGATTCAAGTTCTTTTTTTAATTGTTATCCTTTTTCATTCTTAAATGCAAGTTCATAAAATTTATGGATTGAGATATTATCAATATCCGAAAAGAGAGCTTATTTAAATTATGGTATTCTAAAATAAGAGAGCACAGCAAATTTAACAAAAAAATCATGTTCTTTATTTGAACAAGAAGTATCAACAACTCTTTACAAACATAGAGGCATAATTTTAATCATTAAAGTAAGAAATAATTAAGCATTATGAATACGTTCTACTTAAGTATCAATACTCAAATGATCTAAATCCATATCATCTCTATATATAAGTTCACTAAGCACAGTAAAACATATTTCCTTAACCATTTCAGTTTCTTATTTTGTACTCTATTCTAATAAGTATTTCCATAACTTAATTTAAACTGATTAACTATGTAACATATCATCAACACTTTGATATTTTATATTATGATTTTCAGCCAATGTGGATAATATATCATTTTTTATTTTCTCTGAATCCTTTATTTTCTTATCCCTCATTATTTATGAGAGTGTCTCAACTTTAATTTATAATCCAATGAGCCAATCTACTTCCTTATTCGTATTATTTTTAGATTTCGCCTTTTTCAATAAAAGAGTAGACTAATTAACAACTCCAGTCTCAGTTTTAACTCCACTCGATTGACTAACATATTAATTAGATTTAATTATGAATATACCTGCCCAATTTCCTATATAGGTACCATCTGAAATTAATTATTCATTTAATTAAGCTTCTTGAATTAAAAGTGTATCAGTCTAGGCAATTTATGCAGTATTATCATAAAAGAATTTATTAAAACTAATATATGTACTTCCGATTCTTTTATATTCTTCTTGTTTTGTTTATTTATTAGCATAAAGCAGGAAAACAAAGGTAGTAATTTGGAAATCATCAGCAAAGATATCAAATTCCATCGATGGAGAATCTTCAGTTCTGAATTCCCAAAGTATTTCATTCTTAGCTTCTAAGGCTTTTTTTGTAGAGACATGTCTTTGAGATCCTCCTTTAATGTGTTGATATTTATAAGGTAGATCATCATTGGATGAATAAGTTGGATTCATATATTTAGGAGAGATAGCTGATTGAGATTCATTTTCCTAAGATTTGATTTTCAATAGAAAACTATATGCAATATCACCCAATTATTATTCTAGGATACAACGTATATTTTTGGTATTAATTTTGAAATGTAATCGTTGAGCAACCTTGATATCAAAAATAATAGAGGATTTGTTCTAAATTAATGAAGAGGTATTACACTGAATAAAATATCATGATGTTATGGACCACTTGCAATTTCATATATGGTATATTTGATTCTATAATGAACTTTATCTGAATCATCAAGGATTTGCTTGGTAGGATATTTGAAAATTGTACAAGTGTAAAGAATTGAGTGTGCATACTTTGAGGATCAATATGTAAATCAAAGGCAAACGATTATGGCCACTATACTAAAGAAGTAATATTACATGCGGATTTTTTGTATATCTGATCATTGTTGTCTTATGAACATGTTCATTCACTTTAACTATCACATATGCACTTTGCTGCTGAATATTTTTAACCTTTATACCAGAAATTACCATCCTAAACACTAGATTCTGTTATCCAAATCTAATGTCATTAAGATGCTACTTTCTCGTTTAATGAGAATAACATGCAGTTCCCATTATAATTTATTATATTATGAATTACTCAATATTTCAATTTTGCAAATTGTCTTAATACTACTTTCTCTTCTTAAACAACTTCGAATCTCTATCTAACCATCTACTCTAATTGATTTACTAATTAAATCTCATTTCTTCTTGACTATGTACTTAAATTATACTCACTCTCAAAAGTTTAACATAAACTTTAAGCTTAATCTAATAATTATTCATTTCTTTATTATTTTGACAATGCAGAATTAGAAACTGCTGATTACACTCCAATACAAGCCTATGACTTATCTAATTTTGCTTATTATCTTTCATATTATTATTATAATCTAGCTAATACTTTTTTCACTTTCTCTTATTAGAGATTAAATAATCCAACACTTTAAGCATTAGATTCTGTAAATTAATTAAATGACTCTTGAATTGTTGATCTTAAATCATTTAGTAAATGTTCCACTTACTATAATGAACTTAAATCAACAGATTCTCCTTAATTAGCCAAACCTATAAATGCATTAAAAATTGGAGCATAAATTCCTGTTTTATTTATATCAAATGATGTTTATAACATTCTTTGACTTACTTTACTTAATTCAGAAAAGCTTCGATATCCATTTGATATTCCTTCCAATATTGTCAATGCTTCATCTATTGAATGTAATGAATCTTCATATTATCTACTTCTCTTCTTAAAGTATCCTTATTCTGATTCTGCTGTTGTCAATATTGTGTTTAGATGTTACTAAAATGTATTCTCTTATTACTAATTCACCTACTATTATTCTGTCGTTCTCATTTTTAAATATTGGCATGTACTTAATTGAGCATTTGAATCTCTCAATGTACTCTTGGCATTTTGAATCTCTGCATTTCTAAATTCATATTCACTCTAACATTCATTTTATTCCAAATTGAAGATTTAATCATGATTTACTTATTCTTCATTTACAGAATCTCTAAATTATGTTAGAATGTTTAAAACAGCATCCAATGGAGAATGAGATTTTATCTTCATTTCCACTTCTGCCATTACAGCTGTCATCGATCTCTACTTTGTGTAATTAAGTCTATGTTGATTGTTTGTACATGACACTATAACTATAATCAGCAAAAGACCAAAGATCTTCATTAAAAAAAATACGCAAAAACGATTTAATTTATTTCAATAAATAAATCTAATCAATTGCTTTCTCTATTCCTATCATTCAAATTCTTATCCATTTATACTTCTAAGTGATCAATGTACCCGAGAAAATCAATGATTAGAATTTTCAAACAATAATCTTCCTTTTTTTGAATGTTATAAAGAAGGAAAATTAGATTGTTAAATTTACATTATAGTCACATATTATTCTAATTAAAATATTAACCTCAAATATGTCAAATCTCTAAGTACAACTAGTTAAGAAACCTGATGCCAAATATCCTAGAGTGAATGATATTTTTTAAGTAAAAACAGTATCAAGTCCAAATGGAAATGAACTTAAAGATGGTGAAGTCCTATTAGAAAATTTGTACTTTTCAATAGATGCAGCAATGAGAGTATGGATTAGTGGGTATTAATATAATATTGAATGAAATTAGTGCAAAGACTTATGTAGATCCAGTCCTTCCTGGAAATACCATGTTTGGTTAAGCTGTATCAAAAGTTCTTGCTTCAAAAAGTGAAAAATTCTAAAAAGGAGATTATGTGATTGGTCTTGTTAATTGGACACTATATTAAATTATTAGTGATACTAAATTACATCTTGTTAAAAGAGGAGGAGATATTGATGATTTAACTGGATACTCATTATTAGGTCCTCTAGGAATTAGCGGATTGACAGCATATATAGGATTAGAAGCTATTGGAAAACCAAAAGAGGGAGAAACTGTAGTTGTATCTGCAGCTGCTGGTGCTGTTGGAGAAATAGCTGTCTAATTGGCAAAAACTTATTTTAAGTGTAAAGTAATAGGAATTGCTGGTGGACCAGAAAAATGCGATTATGTGAAAAAATAATTAGGTGCTCATGATTGTATTGATTATAAAAATGAAAATCTCAGTAAAAGATTAAGAGAATTAATACCAAATGGAATCCATGTTTATTTTGATAATGTAGGTGGAGAAATGCTTGATGAAATATTGATGCATATTACAGATCATACTAGAATTGTTCTTTGTGGAGCCATTGCTACCTATAATTAAACTGCAGGTATATTCATTCTCATTTATATCATAGAACCATATAAAATCAAGAATTATCCTAGATTAATTATTAAAAGAGCAGTCATGCAAGGTTTTCTTTATTTTGATCATCCAGAATTATTCAAACCAGGACAAGCAACCATTTCATAAATGCTCAAATAAGGATAAATGAAAGTATATTATATCATACAATTTTTAGATAAGATATGATGTTTAAAATGGACTAGAATAAGCTCCAAATGGATTGGCTAAACTCTTATTAGGATAAAATCAAGGAAAAGTTGTTGTCAAAGCTAAATCAGAACAACCTAAACTTTGATTAGTTGAGTATATTATAACAAATGTTCGATTAATAATATTATTTTATTCATTAATATCTATTAAATTTAATATTGTGTATTAAAATTGACTCATATTCTAATTAATGCGTTCATTTTAATAATTAATAATAATTATATTAAAACTTAAAAAAATTACAGCATTTTGTTTGTCTAATCAATTTTTTTTTTTTCATTTTTATTATTATAACAGAATTCTGTTAATTTTATTCTTTAATTAATATTATTTAATAATTTTTTTTATTACATAAATTATAAAAAATTATTTTTAAAAAATTGTCAATTTCTAACTATTTTAAGTTAACATATAAATGAAATTAGTATAAGTCACTTCAAAATAAAAATATATATCAAGGAATTATGATTCTAATTCATGAAGAAAATTTATTTTATAAATTAATCTAAATAAATCAATTTATTTTACGTTAAAACATAAAATAAAAATACTCTTTATAGCTCGTATTATTTCAACATACATTTTTAAATAGTTAATCAATACTAACTAATAAATTATTTAAAAGCTTCGGACTTAAAGCTTGTAAATATTAGTTAATTTTATTTACATGACATCATATTTAATATATTAAATACTATACTTTTTAGGATTAAAAATTTGCATATTTAAATAATTAGATAAAGCTTATTCTGGCTGAATTTATGTTTAGAGAACTAGAAATTGTGACTAAGAGGGAACGTTTAAATTCTTAGTTTGAATAACACAGAAAAAAATTCAAAATTGCTGGTAATAGCATATTAATGGATGAAAACTTTTCCTCTTATGAGTTCACTAAAAGACTAACAAACGAAAGTAATTCAATTATATTATTTTTAGGTGATAGAACAGATCATCCAAGTATCCTAACGAAAATGGGTTATCAAGTAGATTCGTATAATTAAGAATCACAGATAAGAAATAGAAAATTATCAATTTCATCAAATTAAAAATAAGATCAAAGGCTACCTAGTCGTCAATCAAATAGCAATTCTGTGGCATCAAGGAATTAAACTATGGAAATAAACAAATAAAACTCATATGTGAAAACTAATGTTTACAATCATTATGGTAATATAAGAAAAACATTTTGCTATGAAAATTATGATTAAGAAACATATAGTGATATTTCTTAAAAGTTCTTAAGTGAGAATACACCTAAAGCCTATAACAAAAATAGGCCTTCTGAATAATTGATTTCAACAAAAAGTATAACAACTTTGATTAAGTTTAAATTTAGAAGAATTAGAAGATGTTTTTAAATTATAAAAGCCTTGTTCAGAATGAAGAATTTATGCAAGTATAGATTATTTATAAATTAGATTAAAAAATACAACTTGGGATATATAGTAAGAGATTTTGAAAAAAAATTAGAAAAGTCTTAAATTTAATGAAAGTCTAACTGTTATTAAAATTAAGTAATGGACTTAGATGGTATTTTCTAAAATACTTTCATTAATTCAACAAAGAAAATTAGAAAATTGCAAACTTAATTTTATTGTAATTATAATCATTTATATATTTCTAGGATAATCCTCAAAACATGTCATAAATAGAAAAAGATTAAGCTATCATAACAATAACCAATACTTTTACTTTTGCTATGTAAAATTTAGTTATAATGACATCTAACTCTAATTTATTAAATGAATTATAAGTCATAATGTATTAAGAACAATTTTTTGAATATAAAAAGAAGTTTAGTAAATTTGTAAGTCAAAGAGTCAGGTATATAACAAAAGATCATTTGTAATTAACTGATTAAGAGAAATAATTAATTTTATCAGAATGTATCATTATCAATAACTTGATTCCAGGCTTAATAAAATTAACAGAAAGTTTGGATATATTGAGATGTGATAAACCAAACATAGAATTTTTAATTAGATGTTTGATTTCCTTAATTCAGTATTTTTTTATAAAAAATTTTTCTAATATTCCAAAAATTGAATTTTAGAAATAAAAAATAAAATTTACATAATACTAATTGGGAAGGAAAGAATCATCAATGATTTTGATTAATAATGATTAAATTAAGTCTGAAGATCTAATTTATGGAACTTATAATGCAGAATAATTATAAGAAATTTTGAGTAAAAATAATTGGTTAGAAGGAAATACTTAGAAAATGAAAAATGTAGTAACTAATTTAATCGGATTTTTCTGATTAATGATTAAAGATTTAAGATTTGTAGATAAATTTGATTATGATTGAATTATAATTATAATACTTTCATAAATTTTTTAATATCATATCAATTAGAAACCTGGAAAGTATCCATAATCATCAATTTCTTTAATTTCTTTTGGAAGGATATATTAATTAATTTTTGGAAATTAAAATTTAAGAAATTGATTTCCCTCAGCCAATTTTTGAAAAGAAACACTAAATGATTAGGAATCCAAAATAGTTAAACTTATTGTAAATACTTATCCTGAAATTAATCGAAATTATTCAGGTAGTTTAATAAAATAACAATAAGGAGCTAGTTTCTCAATGGTTGTATGATTGATAATAGTTTGAAATTCATAGGCTTTGATTGTAAGATCATATCCTAGATGAATTTTATAGTGACATTTTAATTATTGTTATTGATAATCAATATCTTTATTTTTATATAAGAAGGGTTGATAAAAACCCAAGAGTTCACAAGTTTGTTCAACAAGGAAATTACAAATTAAAATTTTATTATTTCTCAAAGGTTTAATGGTTAAGGTTCCATCAGTATCTTTAGAGATCTATTCATATCTTTTAACTGTTTAAATTAATTTATTCTAACTTTGTTTATTACTTTATGATTCTTTTTTTATTTCAAATGTTTATTAAATACATTAAACAAGTTTTTATAGACTATTAATAGCCAAAATAATTTAAGGTTTTGCAGAGTTGTACTTTTATATAAGTTCATTACTTTAAATTTTTTATAAGTTTTAGTCATAGGTACAATTATCATGTAATTTTTCAATAATTTTTTTAAAGGTTTCATAATTCAATTAAGTCTTTAAGTTGATACATGAATTGTATATATCTTTAATTGAATTATTTTCATTTAGCAGAGCAATGGAATCCTACAATTATTTTTCAATATTATTAATTCTGCTTATCAATTCTTATTTATATTTGAGAAAATGATCTAAGATTTCTTGAGTTAATGGATTATTAATAGCTTTATTGATTTGAATATTTTTTTGTAAAAAGTCTTAGATTTGTAGGAGTGTAAAGATATAATTAGGATGTTATTCATGTTATGATTTACATCTGAGACAAATGAGTGAATTATCTTTACATTTAGGATTCATACAAATTTATATGATCGGCTTTTTATCGTGTTCATATTTTGGACATTAGATTTTTGAACCTTATTATTCTAAAGTTAACATATTAAAATTAAAATGAAATACACTTAATACATATTGAAAAATCTAATTCCAGAATGGATTAAATTATACTTAAACTTCAAATATCTAAAGACACATTTAGCTGTGGTTACAAAGTTAAAGAAGTTGTTAAGAAAAGCCAAAAAATTAAAACCAAAAGATATCTATTAATAACTGAAACATGACGTAGCATCGAATTAATAACTATTTGAAAAGTTAGAGTAGGATCGAAATAATTTTATGCAAGTATTTGATGAAGAAAGTGAATAAATTTATAGCTTTACGGAATGGAAATATAGAGAATTGTTAATCTTTTTTGAGAAATTAGACAAATAAATGAAAATTATGGAGTAAATGGCAGATTATACTTATGAAGAATAGATAATAGTAACATGGAATATGGGTTAGAATATAAAGTCATAACAAAGTTAAGAAGCTGTTGAAGTAAGTGTTTATCTGAAATAAAAAGAAGAGCTTTTATAAACAAGTTTTAAGTTTTATAATGAGTGTTAATAGTTGTAATCTTATATTTCTTTAAATTCAGAAGGAATTCGTAAGATTTTGAAGAAGTATAAGAAGCAAGAGCTAAAAGGTATAAGGAATAAGGAAATTGAAATTTAATATTTTGGGAATGTATAGTAATTATAAAAGAGACTAAAAAAATACGAAACAAAAATCAATATCCTGAAATCAGATACAGAATCTCTTATGATAAATCATTTTTATGCTGATGAGTATTTGCATTTTATGCTAATGTAGTCCGAGTGAATGTCGAGAACTTATAAGAAAATATACAGAAAAAGGATAAATCAGTTTAAAAACAGTCTTTTATTTTGGATTCTTTGCAGGAGCGGCTGTTATGATAATTCTCATTATATTAGGAATGAGATATGATGGTCTTTTAGATCCGAATTCAGATAAGGTCTTTAATAAAGCTTTTCCATGTTTTAGGGGTATGGCTTTATTCATAATTTATTATTGGTTTATAACATTGGATTTGGCTGGATGGAATTATTTCAATATTAATTATAAGGTCTATTTAGGATTTAATCATCATTTCTCTACAGTCTAAGAACTATTGCAAAGAGTTAGTATTTTTACTGCTATATTCTTAATTACTTTTTTATGGTATTGTATTGCTGTAGAAGATTCCCTAGGTGATTTATCTAGAGCTGTCTAATTATTTGATATAAGATATTTACCAATAATATGTTGGATTGTAACTATTATTTATGTATTTTATCCTACAAATAAATATTTTAATCCTTAAGGTAGAAAATGGATGTATAAGATGTTTTATGGAGCCTTATGGGGTCATTTTATAAAATATGAATCTAGATATACATTCTTTACAGATTAATTTACATCCATGATTACATCAATGAGAGATTTTGATTATACTCTTTGTTATTATCATCATTTTGTAAATTTTTAATTAATAATAGATATTTTATGGTAAAGAGCATGAAGGTGAATGCAATTTCTAAAGAAGATTTACTGCAGCACAAGCAAGCATAATTCCTTATTTTTTAAAATGCATTTAATATTTAACTAGAGCTAGAGATAAAGGAAAGTTTTTATTTACAGATGAAATGTACAATTTTATTAAGACTTTTATTGCTATGTCAGTTGGAATTCTAGCTTATTTAACTAGATTAGATCTAGGTTGGAAATATTATTGGATAGCAGTAGCATGTTTTTGTTCTTGTTTTGAATACTATTGGGATTTAAAAAAAGATTTTATGTTTTTTGAAAAAGGAACTAAATATAAATTCTTAAGAAGTGATTTAGGATATAATAGTCCATACATTTATTATACTTTGGGAATTTTGAATTTCTTTTTAAGAATAGCATGGGTATTGACAATATCACCTGATATGTATAGAATAATTGGAATAAAGAATGAAATGTTTATTTTAGGTTTTGGATTTTTAGAAATGAGTAGAAGATTAGTTAACAATTTTCTTAAAATGGAAAAAGAACATATTAATAATTTAAGATCTTTAAAAAGTATTTCAGATATGAAATTTCCATTTAAAGAACCAAAGGATATGGAATTGGAAGAAATAAAAAGTGTTTATGATGTGGAATCTATATCGACTCTTCCAAGAATCAGTATTTAAGAAAAGAATTATGATATATAAGAAGATTAGTAATTGGATTCTAATGACAGAAATAATTTAAAATTATCAGAAATAAATCCAAAAATTGTTATTAATTAATGTGATGATTCAAAAGAAGAAATTCATAGTCCTATAAAAATGTTATAATCTCCAAAACATTCAATGCTAAGTAAATAAAATAAAAAGGTTTCTTTCTTAAATTTATAATTTCCATTATAAGAGGAAACATTATAATAATAATAATAATAATCAATAATTTCTAAAAAGCAAAGTATTTTGGTAGATCGGTAATTTTAGGATATAAAGATTCCAAGAAATATTTCTTTTGAAAATTATTTGAATTTTAAACAAAGTTTAAGGAGAATAAATTCATTTAGGTTAACCTAATTTTTGGAATAGCCTAAAGAGACTTAAATAAATGTCCATGATTATGTTGACATTCATCCAAATATGGATTTAGTGGAGAAAGCAAAGAGAGAAGAGATATAAATGTAATCTAAATAAAAGTAATTGAAAAATGAAAATAAATAATATTTAAAGGTAAATAGTTAACAAATAAAAATAGATGATTGAATAATATTATGAAAAATATGATATAAAATTGAAACATGAGTGATGTGTATATAAAATGAAATATAATATAAAAATAAGAAAGGTTTGAGATGTGATTCAATTCTAATTAGAAACATCAGTATTTTAATAATTTAAATTAAAATGCAAACAGAGAAACCTACACCAAAGACAGAAGCTGATTATTAAGCTATGGCAGCATAACATACAGATGAAAAATTATAAGAAGAAATCATTAAACTACAGAAGAGATTACAAGATTTGAAACACAGTTGTGCAAGAGAAGGAAGTTTAAAAAAACAATATGAAGATTAATTAGAAGGTACAAAGAAGAGAGTGTAAAATATATATATTATATGAAGGGGTAATATGACAACACTACCATATTTGGTAGCAAACATAGTAGAAATTTTAGATATAGAGGCAGAAGACAAAGATTAATAAGATTAATCTGTGACAGATGATTATGCTAATATATCTGGAAAAGGTGTAGTAATTAAGAGTACAACAAGACAGACAATCTTTTTGCCAGTCACAGGTTTATTAAATGCATCCTAATTAAAACCTGCAGAATTGATTGGTGTTAATAAGGATGGATATATGTTGTATGAGAAATTACCGACAGAATATGATGCAAGAGGTAAATAATTCAAATCTAATTATATTAGTAAAGACAATGGAAGTAGATGAAAAGCCATAAGAAGATTACACAGATATTGGAGGATTAGATAAATAAATTGAAGAATTAAGAGAAGCAATAGTTTTACCTATTGTTCATAAAGAAAGATTTGAAAATATTGGAATTAGGTATTTACATCATTTATATTTAAATAGACCACCAAAAGGTGTATTAATGCATGGACCACCTGGAACTGGTAAAACTATGATGGCAAGAGCATGTGCTGCTTAAACTAAAGCCACATTTTTAAAGTTAGCTGGACCTTAATTAGTATAAATGTTTATTGGAGATGGTGCTAAAATGGTTAGAGATGCATTTTAATTGGCTTAAGAAAAAGCACCTGCTATTATATTTATTGATGAATTAGATGCTATTGGTACTAAAAGATATGATAGTGATAAAAATGGAGATAGAGAAGTATAAAGAACTATGCTTGAATTATTAAATTAATTAGATGGTTTTAGTCCTGATGATAGAATTAAAGTATTATTAAGATTATATATTATATTAGGTCATTGCAGCTACTAACAGACCTGATATTTTAGATCCAGCTTTATTAAGATCTGGTAGATTAGATAGAAAAATTGAATTCCCTTTACCAAATGAAGAGGCTAGAGCTTAAATTCTTAAAATTCATTCCAGAAAAATGTCTGTTGCTAAAGAAACTGTTAATTATATTGAAATCGCTAGAAGTACTGATGAATTTAATGGTGCATAATTGAAAGCAGTCTGGTATTTTTATTTTATTATATATTCTCAAGTGTTGAAGCTGGTATGATTGCTTTAAATAGAGGGGGAACATTCTTGATTCATGAAGATTTCGTTGAAGGAATTGCTGTTGTACAAGCTAAAAAGAAAAGTAGTTTAAATTATTATGCTTGAATTGTATTCCAACATATCAATATTAAAATCTAAACATATATCATACATTTATATTTATTGCCTTAAAACTCCAATTTCTTTATATGTGAAACCAGTATTTATTATTGTTATTTAATAATAATATTTATAAATATATGGAAACGGAATAAATTAGCAAATCATTTACTTATATTCCCACTGAAGAAGAAAAACAAAAAGATCGAGAAAAATAATTTTTACATCCCAAACTTAAATGGATTGCTATAATCCTAGCATTACTTTCAGTTATTCTCTATTCAATTGGGTTCGTATAATTTACCACATTTTAAGAGCATTTATCCAAATCCATTTTGAATTAGACTCAACAGCCCTTTATTTGATTGCCTCTCTATGTTTATTGCCTCTAATCTACTGCTTATTTAAAGTGTGTAAAAAACAATAAGATTTGTGAGTAATCAATTTTACTTATATTTTATATTCTTAATTAACTTAATCTTTATATCAGTTTCTATCTTTTCTACCTTTTTAATCAATTGGTTTGCAATAGAAATAAAATTAAATGATTATCGGCATCCTTATATATAATCAAGATATTTAATAAGATTATTTAAAATTAGTTCCTCATAAATATTGTAAAAAACAATAATGAAAACTTGCCGAATAAGGAGTCCTTGGTAAAAAATAAGAATATTTTTAACTCAAAATCTTTGAAAAATCTTAATATTTGCTTTTTAATTTAATAATTGTAGAGCTTGATTATTTTTTATTATTATTTTAATGTTAAAATTCAAGAATTAACCCTGAAATATTTCTCAATAATTTTTTGAAAACTCATTTACAAAATTAATTATTTTTTGTTTTTATAACAAACAATCCATCATTTAGAAAATTTTAATTAGGATTAATTTTATTATAATCGTTAAATGTGTTCTATATACGAAATTAAAGATTATGAAAATTAAATCATTTTCCGAAACTGTGTTTTCCAAATTCATATTTTAATTTTTTATTAAAGGCATTATTTTTATCAATAATGGATTATTAATTTTGAAATCTCTAAGAAAATGTAGAGTATTTAAATAGTCATAATTAATAGCTAATAAATCTAAAATTATATTTTTATTTTAACAATTTTCTGGTTATTTCTCAAAAATGCATTCCTTTATTCTCAATTCTACAAAAAAAAAGTATTTTTATTTATTCAATATAATCTATTTATCTATTTTGAACAAATTTATATTATATATCAATTTATAAAAATAATTTCATTAAATCTTGCAACCAATTTAATGTTTTAATGGTTTCATAGATCTAATTTAAATTTTATCATTTTTTCTGGTTTGTTCAACTTTTAAGGGTTTTTTACTTCATTTCAATAGGAATTAAATTCTGAAATCTTGAACCAATTTGATACTCTTCAAAAGAACTATTTATTTTGTCCATATTCTAGTTAATATTTTATAAAAAAAATTTTCGGTATGATTTGATAAACACTAATTGTTTACAATTTTAAAACTAAAAAAAGCTAAATTTATTTTTTTGATATTTCTCAGTTTAATCAAATAATCAAGGAAGTTCTATTAATAATATTAAATTACTTAATAACTTTTTTTGCTGATAAAAAAAATTACAATCTTTGCATTCAGAATCATCAGGCAAGGGTATATTTTCGATTTTCTTCCTTTAAGATTTTTTATATCTATAATTCAAAATATTAATAATTATGATTATAATTTCCTAATTCCACATCACTTTAAATTAAGAACATAATTTAGATTGTTTTATTTATGTTAAATAAATATATTATTTCAAAATTTTGAATAAAAATTTAGTTAATGAAAAATAAATATGAAACTATTTTTACTATGTTTTCTTTTTGATCGAATGCTAATTTATAACAAAGAGTATGATAATTCACAATTTTCATTTCTTGTAGAATATAAAAATTATAAAATATTATATTATTTATTCATTATTGATATGCACTAATCGGTTCTCGAATGCTAGTTCGAACGTCATCACAAAAGTTAAATAATAGGAGTATGCGTTAATAAATTATGCTAAAACAAGAGACCTTTTTGTGTCGGATGCCAATATTAATTTCATAAAGACCATCTAAATGATTTAAAATTTTTTGATGATCTGAATGATTGGGTCTTACAGAATTCTCAACCTGCAGCTGATCTTACAACATATCTAAATGAATTAATTGAGCTAGTTAAATCGATATCTTAATTGATAGAAGCTACATAATAAGCAAATCAACATTCTAATTTTAATCAAATGAGTTATACAAACTTAGAAAATAGTATAAATAATTTAATGAATTTATGGAGTTGTCAAAAAAGTGTTCTTCAACTTTTATAAGGAATGCTTTCGATTAAGATTAAAAATTAAATTAAACAATTATGTACATTTTAATTTTCTCAATAAAGTAATTATAATCTTATGTTTAGTAATAGTTAAAAATATCTAAATTAACCCTCAATAAATATAATAATATCAAAATGTAACTATAAAATAGACTCAAAGATAAAACACATAAGGTTTTAATGTTCTAGAATACTAGAATGCTTAACAATCATTAGAATAAATACCAATTAATTAAGCTAAACCATTTCGAGGTATAATTAATCTTATAAAATAAAGAACCTTGTCGAGTATAAAATAATTTTCAGAATGGCTAATATTACAAGAACTAATAGAATTTCCCAAATAGGTCAATAAGCCCACGTAGAAATGATGTCCAAAATGTAATACAAATTCCATAATAAATTAATAATTAAAATAAGAAAACAAGATATTGAAATTCTTATTAAGTTTTTAACTATTTATAAATATAAGTAAAAAGATACTATACATATATAATTTATTATTAATATTGAATTTTATATTTTGATAATTTAATTAGGATATTTAGTACTACTGAATATGATGGACTATTTTACAAAAAGTTGATTGTACAATTATACCTATATTTAATTAAAATGGCTTTGTAAAAAGTAATACATATCAATTATCAATACTTGATGGTGAAATTATATATAAAATGATAGAAGAATTTCAAAGAGGTGAAATGTGGGATTAGATTGATGAATTAACAAAACTTAAAAAGAATCCTATAAAATATTTGTCTAATATTGTTAGATTATTAGATAGATATAGAGTAGGTCATTTTAAAACACCATTTAATGATAGATGAATAATATATTAATACATGCTTAAAATAATATGTCATCTTATGTATATAATGTAGGTGTAAATGTTAAATTAAAGAATGCTAAGTAATTCTTATATATCAAATCAATAATAATTAAATGAATAAAATGGAAAAATTGCTAATGCTTTGTGGCAAATTAATACAAATTGAAAATCCAATTAATAATCAAATTAATTAAGAAGATTAATAAATTATATGATAAAAATATTTATACTTTTTTATTATTAATATGAGTGATATTTTAGTGAATTAACTTAGTAATTCTAATCTGATTGTACTATATACAGCTGGAGCTGGAGCATAAGCTTTATGTCATTTTACACTTCATCCTGGATCATCAAAATATGCCCTTGAATCTTCTAGTTTCTATGCAAAAGGTAGTCTAGAAATGCTATTAAATTAATCAATCACAAAATTTGTTACAAAATAAGTTGCAGAAGATATGGCACTCAAAGCATTAATTAGATCTCATGAGATTTAAATTAAAGAAGATAGTTTTGATAAGTTTTAAGTCATTTTATTAATAGATTTAATTCTACTTTAGGAATTGGAATTACTGCTGCTATTCGGTCTGTTAATGATAGATAAGGAAAACATCATGCATTTATATGTCTCAATTATGGAATTATCAAGTTCACTTATTATTTAGATTTAGTTAAAGGAATTAGAACTAGAGAACAAGAAGATTAATTCATTTCAGATGTTGTATTTCAACTCATTCTTAAACATTCTAATTAATAGTCCATTTCAAATGAATAATAATTCTAAGACTAATCCATTTCAAATTTAGATAATGCTTCTATTATGTTAATTAATTAAGAATCAATGAATTAAAATCTAATTCAATCATTGTAAACTTCACCCAATTTATTATAATCTATACTATTCACAACTAATCAATATTAACTAAATCCTATTATTCAAAATGCAATCATAATGAGTGGATCATTTAATCCTATTCATGATGGACATATTGAATTAGCTTAAAAAGCTTAAAATCTATTATAATTGAATACATTCTATTTTGAATTATCTATTATTAATGCTGATAAAAAAGATATTACTGTCTAAGAAGTAGAAAAGAGATTAGAATTAATCAAAAAATTTCATCCTAATATTATATTATCCAACAAAGCATACTTTAAAGATAAAAATCAATTTCTTAAAAATGGTGCATTTGCTATTGGTATTGATACTTATAAAAGACTTGTTGATCTTAAATATTATAATAATTCCATTTAAGAAAGAGATCTTTCTCTATTCTCATTTTTACAAAATAATAATAAGATAATTGTAGCTCCTAGATACAATGATGCATAATAAAAATTAGAATCTTTAAATGATTATGGAATTCCTAAAATATTAGAAGGGAATGTGATTGAGTTGAATGACTTTAGAAATGATATCTCTTCAACTAAAATAAGATAAAGTGAAGGCAAATGAAATATTTTGATAAATTAATTTGATAATTATAAGTTAAGATTCATAATTCTAATTTATAGTTTTTTTATCTGTAAAGATCAAAAAATTATTGAACATATATATGTTTCTATTTTTAAGTTTCAAAAATCTTTATGAAATAATTTAATATATTACATATAACGAATGCCGATTCTAATTATTCATAATTTTAGAATTCACATAATAATTTACTGGATATTGAGATTCTTATTAATTTTAGCTTATTATTGTTTTTCTGTCACTCTCATTAAATTTATATTTATTTGTCAATCTAAGAAATGCATTAGATAGTTTATCTAATTGATCTTGACTGTTATTACTAAATATAATAGAATTAATTTATTTTCCTTTTAGTAAATATTTATTAAAACTATTTACTAATCTATCAATAGGCTTCTAAAGTAAGAGAAATGATATTAAATGGATACATAAACTAATGAAAACTGTTAATAATAATCCTAATATAAGTTATTTAAGCAATTATTAATACATTTCATTAATCATATTTTTTAGAAGAGTAATATAATTAATATAAGCTTAAGAATTGAACTTCAATAAAATATAGTATTCATTTGTAACTCTCTTTTATCTGATGTACCATAATTCATTTTATTTTTTATTAATGAGACAAATTGTATTGGGAATATCAAGTTGGCAATTTTCTTGTGATTAATTCTATTTGATTATTTGATCCACATCTGTTTAATTAAATCCAAAAATAGATTCATTTTAAAGAAAATAAACTTCAGTTGTTTATGGTGTATAATAATGGCTTATTAATATTCTTCCAGTTTTATCAATGACAAGTAAATCTAAATCATCATAATTAAATTAATAAAAAGAAGAGAAATTAAGATCTATAGCCCCTATTCCTATTATATTTTCATTTTAATCATATATACTAGTTGTTCCTGAGATGTAAACACCTCCTAAAAAATTTGCATATGGTTCAGAAATAATGAAGTTATAAGAATTCATTAATTCTAAATGATTTTAAAACCATTTTCTTGATGAGGGTACATAGCCAGTAAAATTAGATCCAGGACATGTAGAAAAATAACAATCACTAGATATAGATGTAAAATAGATATTTAGTTCTATTTAATAAGCTAAAGTTGTTGAAAGTAAATTTGAAAGTTTTTGAAATTCTTCAAGATATTAATTTTTTTTAAGAATTTCTTTAGAACAATCAAAATTTCCATAGCAATATTGACAATAATTAATAATACTATTTTGGATATAATCTTCTTAGAGGCATTTTTCTTAATTCCTCTAAAAATTAATGTTGGTTCTTTAAATCAACTGATACAATGTATTTATATTTTAAATTGAATTCATTCCTTGAGTAATTTTGTACTATAAGTTGTTTTAATAAATTTGGATATAAGAATTTGTTTATCCATAAATAAAATTCATAATAAGTTTTTCTTCAGCATCTTTTTAAAAAAATTGAAATACTCCTTAAATATTTAAAAAGATTATCAGACCCAAAATGTTTAACACTATAATCATAGTTATCAGTTAGATTACAATGATTTAACTTCGAATTCTCCAAGTTTTAANGTTAATAATAATCCTAATATAAGTTATTTAAGCAATTATTAATACATTTCATTAATCATATTTTTTAGAAGAGTAATATAATTAATATAAGCTTAAGAATTGAACTTCAATAAAATATAGTATTCATTTGTAACTCTCTTTTATCTGATGTACCATAATTCATTTTATTTTTTATTAATGAGACAAATTGTATTGGGAATATCAAGTTGGCAATTTTCTTGTGATTAATTCTATTTGATTATTTGATCCACATCTGTTTAATTAAATCCAAAAATAGATTCATTTTAAAGAAAATAAACTTCAGTTGTTTATGGTGTATAATAATGGCTTATTAATATTCTTCCAGTTTTATCAATGACAAGTAAATCTAAATCATCATAATTAAATTAATAAAAAGAAGAGAAATTAAGATCTATAGCCCCTATTCCTATTATATTTTCATTTTAATCATATATACTAGTTGTTCCTGAGATGTATAGCTAATTTAATATGCATTTCTGGTATAAACACCTCCTAAAAAATTTGCATATGGTTCAGAAATAATGAAGTTATAAGAATTCATTAATTCTAAATGATTTTAAAACCATTTTCTTGATGAGGGTACATAGCCAGTAAAATTAGATCCAGGACATGTAGAAAAATAACAATCACTAGATATAGATGTAAAATAGATATTTAGTTCTATTTAATAAGCTAAAGTTGTTGAAAGTAAATTTGAAAGTTTTTGAAATTCTTCAAGATATTAATTTTTTTTAAGAATTTCTTTAGAACAATCAAAATTTCCATAGCAATATTGACAATAATTAATAATACTATTTTGGATATAATCTTCTTAGAGGCATTTTTCTTAATTCCTCTAAAAATTAATGTTGGTTCTTTAAATCAACTGATACAATGTATTTATATTTTAAATTGAATTCATTCCTTGAGTAATTTTGTACTATAAGTTGTTTTAATAAATTTGGATATAAGAATTTGTTTATCCATAAATAAAATTCATAATAAGTTTTTCTTCAGCATCTTTTTAAAAAAATTGAAATACTCCTTAAATATTTAAAAAGATTATCAGACCCAAAATGTTTAACACTATAATCATAGTTATCAGTTAGATTACAATGATTTAACTTCGAATTCTCCAAGTTTTAAACTTATTTATTATAAATTTACTGCAAAGCATGTTTAATATTAATATTTTTAGAAAATTTTTATTCATATTTTGAATTAAAATATAAAATTAATTATTTCAATAATTGGTCTTTAATTAATCATCTCAATTCTACTTCATAATAAGAAGTTCTTTATCGTCTAAGCGAAATTTTATCTTATTAAAATAATCATTAAGCATATGTTGTTTAGTTGATTTTAAAGATTTTCTTTTCGCGGTATAAAAAGATCCCAAATTTTCAAGTTTACTTTATTTCACATTAAATTCAAATGAATCTAAAAAATGATTTTAACAATAAGAATATTAAGAAGGCTTAGTTTTTTCTGATGTTTCACTTAGAATATAGTCTTATTTTTCACCATACTTTTCTTACTTTCTTTATTTTTTTAATGCCTTTTTATTATTTTTCTTATTCTTTTATTTATTTTTATAACTTTAGATAGTTCTTGATTGTAAAAGATCTGTTTAAATCTATTTATCAGCAATTTATTATTTTTTGATTATTCTTTGTTAATCTACAATCTCAAATGTTTCAATTTTGCAATCTTCACTAACTTTGATAGGTTCTGCAACTTAAATCTGTTTTTTTTTCTATTGTTATAATTTTAGAGACATAAACACATTTTTGGGGATTGCTATAAGTTTTTAAAGAAATTCCATTTTATATTTTATAATAATGCAAAATTAATAAATTAATTCTGAAATTCAACTTAATATATATATCTATGTTAATAAATGATGAAAATAAATGTGAAATAAAAATATATTTAAAAATAGGATTAGTATGTATGTTAAAGAGTAATTCAAAAACTACTTAAATAATTTATTTTAAAATATCATTTATCAATATATTACTATTACTATTATTTCTGTTAGCTTGATTATCTAGTGATTTTTGTTTTCTAACTAATTTGGGATTTTGAATCACTAATATTTTTTTCTGACTTATTTATTTACGAATCAGTTTCTTTGTAATTAGACCTTTTAATAATTTTATTAGGATTTTCTGATATTATATTTAAATATCATACCTTCTGGTTTTGGAATGGAAGGTACTTTAATTCCTATAACACCTTAAGGAAAATTTTAAAGAAATTTTTCAATTCCACCACTCAAGAGATAAACATTTTCAAAGCCTTTTTCTGCAAATAATGTAGCCGATGGGATTCCGTTCTTTTCATCAAAATGATAAATAATTATATGTTTGTCTTTTTAGTTTTTCTACATGAATATTTAAATGTACAAATCTATGAATTTATTAAGTTAATTTGTCTTATCTTAGATTAGGAGCAGGAAAATTGACTGCTTCTTTTATATGATAAAGTTCAAATTCATCTGGATCTCTTAAATCTAAAAGTAGAAATTCTGATTAATCTGTAATTCCCAACTATTCTGTGGCATATGTAATTGCAGAAACTTAAGACACCTCAGTAAATCGTGTTTTTTAACTATATTGACTTTATGTATCAAATTATTATAATGGATCTTATTCTTATTGTTATTAATCTGCTAATTTATAAATCGTTTCTTATTCTGTATTTTCCTTTCATAATATACAAAATATACGCTTATGAAGTTAAATACAGTTGAACACTTGATACGTTTAAACAATTCAGATCTTTTTTTAGCTATTTTTGAATTACTTACAACTTCAATATCTCTCACTGTTGGTCCTGTATTTAATGTTTGTTTAACATGATCATATTATTTATTCTTTGGTACTTTTTTATCAAGGGGCTTAATTATTCAAATTCATATATACATTTCCTTTTCCTTTTACATAACCTATTGGTAATTTGTCCATATTAATTATTTCAAATAATCTGTTAACTAATATAATAAATTTAATGAAAACATATTAATAATTTTAAGAATAACTGTTTATATGTAAAATAACTATTATTTTTAGAAATGATGAAATATATAGGAAAACAAAAAAAATAGATTCAAATAATCATTAATACTTTTTGAGTATTTAAATTAATGATAATTCTTTTATAGGTTTAACTAAAAAGTCTGCCATTCCAGAATTGATGCACTTTTCATATTCTTATTAATCTGTATAACCACTACAGCCAATAATAATTTAATTTGGAAAGCTTTATTGAATAATTTTAGATGTTTATTATCCATTCATTATAGGCATTTCAATATCCATAAAAACAATTTTATAACCTTAACAAGTACTACAACACTTTTTTGATTTAATTTTATCTAATGATTCTTTACCTGATAAAGCTTAATCAATATCAAATTCACTTAAAAACAAATGCTTTTTATTTTTATACAATTCTTATAACATTCCTTTGAATACAACAATGTTAAAACAATCATCATCAACTATCAAATAATGAAGACATATCTATTAAGTTGATTAATCTTCCTTTATATTTGAAGGTCTTTTTTAAATACTAGTAATTTCATCAACTTCTTAAGGCTATATTGAAATTTCACGGACTCTATAACTTTAGACTTTTTTTTTCAAAATTAAATCAATTTACATATCAAAATAAAAATGGCAATAATGATTATTTTTTTCATTTTTTGAATCTATATTAAGTCCTGTTGATCCAATATTTTAAGCAATCTAATTACTTATGACTAGTCCTAATCCAACACCTTATTGATTAAGCTTTCTACTTTCTTCAGAATTAACTTTTGAGAATGCTTTAAATAATTTTAACTAATCTTCTTCTGAAATTCCAATTCCTTCATCTTTAACTCCAATTCTTATAGTATTTGATCTTACCATTTCAAGAATTATTATTATTTTTCCACTTTAAGTAAATTTGAATGCATTGCTTAATAGATTTATTATAATTTATTTAATTCTATTCCTATCAGAATATAAAGATTATGGAACAAGTCTATTATAATTAATACATAATTCTACACCTCTTAATTTAGCTTTCAATTCAAACATTTTTTGACATTCCTCAATTAATGATTATAAATTAAAATGTACTTTTTCTACTTTAAATTTTCCATTTTTTATTTAAGCTAAATCTAACAAATCATTAGATAAATTTAAAATATAATTTGAATTATCTAAGGCTATTTACAATTATTCATTTAAAATAGGATCTTTATGAATTCTATTTTATTTAAGAACACATTCTAACATTTAAATAATACAATTTAATGGAGAACGATATTCATGACTAACAAATGATAGCATTTTAGACTTTTGTTTATCATATTCTTTCAAATATCTTATTTTTTGTTGATGACTAACATCCCTACAAATTATTATGATATTTTAATTTTTACGTAAAGCTAATGTAAGTTCTAATAATTAATTATTCTCTAAATTAATATAAGTTTGAGATGTTTATATTAATTAATTTGTAAAAACTGTAAATTTTTAATTCAATTAAGTTTAAACAACAATACATTCTTATTTTTTAGATTTTAATAACATATCTATAATATATTTAATTTTGTATCTTTAATTCTTTTCTTAACCCTATTATATATCTAAACTTAGATTTCTTTATTATAAATATGCTTAATCTTTAATTTCTGTAGTTTATTTAAAGAGATATAAAGAGGGTTATCTTTAGAACTAAGAAACAAATAATAAATCTTCATTTGGTTCTCCATTAACTAATTAAAATGTATTTAATCCATCAATAAATTAAAGCACTTCTTGTTCTGTCTCCTTATTGAATAACATTTTAGTAGCCTGATTTATATATTTAATTGCATAAGGGAAATTTGAAGAAGTGGATTCTGGAACAAGCAAAATAACTCCCTCTTATAATAATTCTAAACATTAAATAGTTGTTTCCTAAATACCAATATCAATAGTAGCTGATGTATCTCTATGACCTAAAGAATTTAAATTTTAATCTAAATCATATTATGAAACATTTCTTTTTGAATTCAAAATTTCTTATTTATTTGTATGAGTTATTTCTGTTAAAATCTATGCCATATGTTATTGTTATTTCTTTGGTAAAGTAGAGTTTAAGTATATTGATATTATTAACGATGTCAATAATTATGGCTATTCTTTATCAAATTCTATTCTTATATATGAATATCCCAATAAAAATATTGAAATTATTACTTAAAATGCAAATAATTGAGCTTTTTAACCTAATTTAAAGTCTAAAAAGAGATATTTTATTATCATCTAACCTATTATTATTTACGAAAAGGGTATTCTACCTAAATTATGAATATTCATTATTATCAAACAAATCATATCTAATTCTACACAAATGATAGTTCCTTACAACATGAACTTATTAAAGGCATTTTATAGAAGTATTAATACAAATGTAATTGAACTAATAATTATTAATTGTATCAAATTGAGGAGACAAGCACTTTCAAATTAGTTATATATTGAGTATGAGAGTATCATGCTTTGTAAGAAATTGACCATAAAGCATTTTTGATTTAACATAATTTAATATAAATATACATTTTTACTAAGTTTCTATTCTTTTTCATATTTAAACATTTAAATTATTTCTAAGCTCTCTCTTTATTTTATATACCATACTTCCATGGTTGCTTTTATAAATATAAATATTAAACTAAAGCTATTATCTCAAAATGTTAAAATGTTTATATTTATTCAATTCAACATTGTCAATATTCGAATCGGAAAATTGACATTTACAAGCATTTAGAAAAATATTAGAGAAATTTAAAAAAAATTTTGATAATTAAAAATATTCCTGGAGAACATAAATATATATTTTAATTGATAATATTTTGTTTTATTCATAATATANGAGATATAAAGAGGGTTATCTTTAGAACTAAGAAACAAATAATAAATCTTCATTTGGTTCTCCATTAACTAATTAAAATGTATTTAATCCATCAATAAATTAAAGCACTTCTTGTTCTGTCTCCTTATTGAATAACATTTTAGTAGCCTGATTTATATATTTAATTGCATAAGGGAAATTTGAAGAAGTGGATTCTGGAACAAGCAAAATAACTCCCTCTTATAATAATTCTAAACATTAAATAGTTGTTTCCTAAATACCAATATCAATAGTAGCTGATGTATCTCTATGACCTAAAGAATTTAAATTTTAATCTAAATCATATTATGAAACATTTCTTTTTGAATTCAAAATTTCTTATTTATTTGTATGAGTTATTTCTGTTAAAATCTATGCCATATGTTATTGTTATTTCTTTGGTAAAGTAGAGTTTAAGTATATTGATATTATTAACGATGTCAATAATTATGGCTATTCTTTATCAAATTCTATTCTTATATATGAATATCCCAATAAAAATATTGAAATTATTACTTAAAATGCAAATAATTGAGCTTTTTAACCTAATTTAAAGTCTAAAAAGAGATATTTTATTATCATCTAACCTATTATTATTTACGAAAAGGGTATTCTACCTAAATTATGAATATTCATTATTATCAAACAAATCATATCTAATTCTACACAAATGATAGTTCCTTACAACATGAACTTATTAAAGGCATTTTATAGAAGTATTAATACAAATGTAATTGAACTAATAATTATTAATTGTATCAAATTGAGGAGACAAGCACTTTCAAATTAGTTATATATTGAGTATGAGAGTATCATGCTTTGTAAGAAATTGACCATAAAGCATTTTTGATTTAACATAATTTAATATAAATATACATTTTTACTAAGTTTCTATTCTTTTTCATATTTAAACATTTAAATTATTTCTAAGCTCTCTCTTTATTTTATATACCATACTTCCATGGTTGCTTTTATAAATATAAATATTAAACTAAAGCTATTATCTCAAAATGTTAAAATGTTTATATTTATTCAATTCAACATTGTCAATATTCGAATCGGAAAATTGACATTTACAAGCATTTAGAAAAATATTAGAGAAATTTAAAAAAAATTTTGATAATTAAAAATATTCCTGGAGAACATAAATATATATTTTAATTGATAATATTTTGTTTTATTCATAATATACCACTATCAATAAAAATTGAAATGTGTTTAGAGAAGGTTAGAGAAAAAATAATTTAATCTTAATTAAGATATTAAATTGCGATATTTATTAAATATTTACATTTCTAATATCCCTCAAAATTTCTTAATTTAAGAGATATAACTAAGTGCCATAAAGTAATAATTTTAAAATTATTATTGTGAATAAATTTGGCGCTTTTTTTTTTTTTTCTTTGTAAATAATTAAACTTTAAACAATGTCTAAGTAGAGGAAATAACAATTTCAAGGTTTTAATTTTGTGGTCTGAATAATAGGATAAAAATTTGAAGATAAAATGATTCCAAATGAACAAAATATATTTATTATAATAAACATACTTTACTCATAATTGTTTGATTCAGCAATACAATATATTATTTCTTTCATTTTTAAACGGAATAAATAATTATTGTTTTTTATAAAAAAATTTTTGTTATTATTATATTTATGCAAACTATAAACTATATGTATTTCTATTAAATTATTTTAATTACAAAATTGTTTATAAATGGCAACATTTAGTTTTCATAATTTTTTAAAATTGAATGATTTTGAGATAAAGTAAAAAATATTAAAAAGTTTGCTCATTTATTGAAATTAATATGTTTTAGAGTCATAAATTTGGTGTTCAATTCATAAATGAGCAAAGAATAGCAAGATTTTAATAAATCTTCTAAATAGTATAATGATATTTTAAGACAAGTATTTTGGAGTAAATATAATGATAAAAAAAAAGAATTAAATTTCATGAATGGACTTTACGTTACTTTTTAATTTAATTCATATTGTTAATATATTTTTCTAATTCCCAATAACAATCCATTTGAGTGAAAGAGAAATAAAAAAGAATGTTGGAACAAGAGTTCACATTAAATTTTATGAATTTAAAACTCGTAATAACATTGATAAGGGTTGGAAGTTCAGAAATCTATTATTATTGTTTTTATTAATAATAATAAATCAAATTCTTATTGAACAATCTCGATCGATTGATTGATAGAGAGCTACTCGTAAAAAATGGATATAAAGAGAAATAAAATATTCATTCTATAGAATAATGAAGAATATAATTAGCTTTAGAATAAATTGGAAATAGATCATTCGTAAAGTTGTCATACATAAAAATAAGAAGGTTTAATAATTGATATTTGTAGAATTACTTGATTCTATTAATTTGAAGGGCTATATTTTTTTAAAAAATTTTTATTTCGATTAAGTAAAATCTAGGAAAAATGTAAATAATTATCATCAGCCTGGATTCTTTGTCGAAAATGATGGATAATATATTTCTGATGTAAGAGTTTGAAAATTGATTGAGAATAATAATGAAGATATACAATTTATACTTAAAAAATAAATTTATGATATGAGACATCAATACTTAAGTAAAGAATTCTTAACTATAGTCTTATTAGCCACATGACAACTCTTCTACTAGATTTTAGAGTTGTAGATATAACTGACATGGTCTTTTCTCAAAAAATTATTACTAGAGTCGTTATTTATAATCATCATACCCTAAAATCCTAAACATCTTCAAAAAGTCTTCATTATGAGTATATCTAGTTATGTGGGCTATATTCCTTAGTTTGTTTCTCAATCGGTTCATCAATTTCAGGAATTCTTGGCCTCTAATTTCTCCCAATATTTCATAAATTAGATTTCTTTATCGACATGCAAAAGATACAATAGCCTTTGCATAATTTTTTTAGATATTGGTAGATTTCACTAAGTAATTAGGTTTTTACGACTTTTTTAAGTGGATTTTTTTTCCTAACTTTGTCTGAATATGTGTATCTCTAATTTCTTCTTAGTTGCTTACCTAATCAAGTTTACTTTCAGTTTCTGAGTAAGTTTTCTTTTAAATATCTTCTATAGATCGATTAGCTTCAGGAGATAATTTATTTTCTAAAATTTATGTTTGTGTCTATGTTATATAATGTTGTTAATTAACAACAGGAAATTATTATGGCATTATCAAATATTAGTATCCATAAGGATAAAGGAGATGTTGTGGTACAAAAAAAGCATTAAAATTTGTATTAAACATATAAATATTATAGAATAAATAAACACAACCGTAAGACTTAATATTGCCGATATTAAATCAGTTTATTCGCTTAAATTAAGAAATAATATTCAATAATTAATTAAATAGGATATATTTACTCATTACTAGTTTAAAGATCTAAGATTTATTATAAAGAATTTTAAAATAGCTTAACAAATAATGTTCTTATAATAATTATTCAAATCCTATTAAAATTAAAGTTTATTGTATTAGAAACATAAATTGTCCAAAACTGATTATAAATTTATATAAATGTTAAATAACAGAAATAAAAAGTTTAATGAAGAAACAGATTCAGAAATTTTTAATTAAAATAATTTCTATAATTAAGTAAAGAATTTATTATTTAGAAAAAAAGAGGTATTTCAAATAATACAATTAAGTACGGAATTATAAAAGGAAATTTAATTACAGTTTAGTGAAGAATTATACAAGTTGAAATTTATTTTTAATATTGATGTATGAAATTGAATTAGAATGATTTAAAATATATTAGAGATTAAAAAAGAAGTGATTAAAAAGTATCAGAAATCAATCAAAAATTTAAAATATTAAAGAATAAAGAAAATCTTAAATAAAAGAGGAATTATAAAAAATAACCTAAGATGATGTAAGTTTAGAATAATTAAAAGTGAATCAGATAAAATAATTGTTTATATAATTATAAATTTGTAATGAGTAGTAATTAAAAAAAATGATTTTAAGAGAGGAAATTCAGTTTAAGAATTGAATAATAAATTGATAGTAGTAAAAAATTAATTAATCAATTGTATTATTAATATCTTAAGAGTTATTATTCTTTTTCTTATAAACTTCTAGACATAACTAATAAAAGATTTTAAAGATCTCTAATTTATGGATTATCTTTGTTATTCCTTTTATAATTTTCAAGTTCTCGATGTAATCTTTCAATTTCTAAATCTTTAATTTCTAAATAATCCATAGCTTCTTTTAATTCATCTTCTTTATTGTTAGTTTATTGCATGTGTAATTTAATTTCATCAATTTAATTGAGAACTTCGATTAATTACTAATCCTTAGTTTATAATTCATTAGTTAAATCTTTTAGTTTTTTTTAGGTTTATAATAACTATTATTTAAGTAATGAATTATTGTGAGTTAATTCTTGAATTTCAAGTGTTAAGGTTTCATAACATTTAGTAGGTCTTTTTTAAGATCCAGTATTTTTTTTGTTTAGTTTTTATAATTCTTATTCATAAGTTCTATTCATGTTTTGAACCATTTGCAAATTGATATCTTTATTTTTCATTTAATCATTGAGACTTGATAATTCACTTCTCTTTGATGTCAATTCTTTTTATGATTTTTATAATTATTTTTAATATTCTTTAACTTATTAGTCTTTCTTGATTAATAATGCTTCAGCTTCAGTTGATGTTTCTGTCAATATTTATATTTTATTTTTAAGAGTAGCCAATTCTATCATAACATCTTATTTAAAGGATGATTCATCAAGTTTTTTAAGACCTTCAAACTTCTTTTCTAATTAATTATATCGTTATCTTTCTTGGAAATACATTTTTTCATAATGATCATAATCAGTTTATATGTTAATAGATTTCATTTCTTTATTATATTGTTAATTATTCTTCAATTCAAGAGCTAATTATTTTAATTCATATTTATATCTCTCAATAATCTAATAATAATAATAATAGCTAAATACTTTAATTTCACCTTCTCTTAGATGATTAACTAATGTCATAATTTAATTAAGAATTGTGAGTATTTCAGAAGAGTTACATTCTTCTTCGTTTTCTAAAATAACAGGTAATTGATTATCATCTGTTTCATCTGATAATTATTTGACTTCTTCCCAATATTCATTTTAATCTTATTTGAATTCTTCTAAACGTTAAAAGAGAATTTGCAATTATTATTCCATAAATTTATTTATGGCTTAAAATTTTCATAGCAATCTTCCAAAAGAGTTCGAAGGATTTCTTCATGAAATAAAATCAGTAGTTTAAACAAGACAATAGACATTAAATGAAAGAATTCAAATGGCATAAAGAGATTGTATTGAAGGAAAAAAAGAATAAGACTTTTTAAAGTGTCAAACTAAATTATCAAAGTAATTAGAGAAGAATGAAGCATTATTTTGTATTACCAAATGATTTATCAAAAGAGTTTAAGATGATATATTGGAGAGAGACATCAGTCTANCAATTTCTAAATCTTTAATTTCTAAATAATCCATAGCTTCTTTTAATTCATCTTCTTTATTGTTAGTTTATTGCATGTGTAATTTAATTTCATCAATTTAATTGAGAACTTCGATTAATTACTAATCCTTAGTTTATAATTCATTAGTTAAATCTTTTAGTTTTTTTTAGGTTTATAATAACTATTATTTAAGTAATGAATTATTGTGAGTTAATTCTTGAATTTCAAGTGTTAAGGTTTCATAACATTTAGTAGGTCTTTTTTAAGATCCAGTATTTTTTTTGTTTAGTTTTTATAATTCTTATTCATAAGTTCTATTCATGTTTTGAACCATTTGCAAATTGATATCTTTATTTTTCATTTAATCATTGAGACTTGATAATTCACTTCTCTTTGATGTCAATTCTTTTTATGATTTTTATAATTATTTTTAATATTCTTTAACTTATTAGTCTTTCTTGATTAATAATGCTTCAGCTTCAGTTGATGTTTCTGTCAATATTTATATTTTATTTTTAAGAGTAGCCAATTCTATCATAACATCTTATTTAAAGGATGATTCATCAAGTTTTTTAAGACCTTCAAACTTCTTTTCTAATTAATTATATCGTTATCTTTCTTGGAAATACATTTTTTCATAATGATCATAATCAGTTTATATGTTAATAGATTTCATTTCTTTATTATATTGTTAATTATTCTTCAATTCAAGAGCTAATTATTTTAATTCATATTTATATCTCTCAATAATCTAATAATAATAATAATAGCTAAATACTTTAATTTCACCTTCTCTTAGATGATTAACTAATGTCATAATTTAATTAAGAATTGTGAGTATTTCAGAAGAGTTACATTCTTCTTCGTTTTCTAAAATAACAGGTAATTGATTATCATCTGTTTCATCTGATAATTATTTGACTTCTTCCCAATATTCATTTTAATCTTATTTGAATTCTTCTAAACGTTAAAAGAGAATTTGCAATTATTATTCCATAAATTTATTTATGGCTTAAAATTTTCATAGCAATCTTCCAAAAGAGTTCGAAGGATTTCTTCATGAAATAAAATCAGTAGTTTAAACAAGACAATAGACATTAAATGAAAGAATTCAAATGGCATAAAGAGATTGTATTGAAGGAAAAAAAGAATAAGACTTTTTAAAGTGTCAAACTAAATTATCAAAGTAATTAGAGAAGAATGAAGCATTATTTTGTATTACCAAATGATTTATCAAAAGAGTTTAAGATGATATATTGGAGAGAGACATCAGTCTAATGTTTTAAGACTTAAGAATAACTAGGATAAGGAACAAATTAATGTAAGGCAGATTCAAAGAAATTGTTAGAGACTATATTTGATTCATTTAAAATATGAATTTTATGGGTTTTAAGTTTAGACTTAAATGTTATAATATTTGTTATACAAAATTATAAAATTAAGAATTAAGGTAATAACTATCATTAATCATCTTCATCAATTCTAAATTTATTATCTTCATTAGGATGAGGAGTTGCTTATCTTGTCCCATGAGATTCACTATTCACCTCACCTTAAAAGTTCTCATATTTTTTTATTTATTCTTTAAATTATATTAATTTAAATTAAGTTTTCTTTCGATAACATACAAAAATAACTACACTAAGAACAAAAGCTCCTCCTAATGCTATACAAATTATAACCAAAATATTTTATTAATACGATAAATGATCTTCAATTATCTTAATCTATAATTTTGTTTCAAATTCACAAACTATTAAATCTTTACTTATAATCTCATCTTTATATTCATTCTTTTCATTGCATTCACTCAAAGTAGCTTATACATCATAAACAAAAATCTTAATTATCAATTTAACAATTACCTAACCTATTAATTATTCATCATCAGTTATACAATTTATTTAACCTTAAAAATTTTACCATTTATATAATACTATTTAATTAGTATCAACTCCAAATAACATATTCTTTGTTTGATTCTTGTACCAATTATGAATTGTATCCCCTTTTTCTTCAATATTTACTTCATGAAATCCTAATAATACTGCATTTGATAATATGAAGGGATAATTATTAAATATTCTCTATAATATTTTATATATTGATACAGTGAATATATTTGGTAATGAATGTCTTATTATATTATGAGTATCTACACCTTTTAAGATTGCATATTTATCATTAATATAAACTTTTTCAGCATTTATTTTAACTTTATGTTAACTCTCCAAAAACCAAACTCCTTTATCAAAGTTTATTTCAATATCAATGAATATAACATGTTTCTAAGGACGAACCAAAATACTCAAACTTTAATCATTATTCTAATCTAATGATATTCCATATTCTATTGGAATATAAGATATATTCTAATTCTAATTAAATTATGTATCACTTGTTATTTAATATATATGAACTCCATCATTCTTTAAAAGATATAATATTTCACCATTCTCACCACCCAATGCAATATCAATAATAACTTATTTCTCTTCTATTGTCTTTTAATAAATTATTGATTTATTATTTCTATCTATCTAGTAAACTACTAAACCTTTATTACTTGCCACATATAACTTACCCAAACTACTTAGAACTTTATTAATTTCTATTTAAGTGATATTCTAAGCTACAACTGTGTTTGTTTCATCTAAAATTAGAACTAATTTTGCATAAAATAAAATTGTTAAATTAGTTTCAATACTATAAATTCCTGATTAATATATTTATGTCTGAAATATGTATTAATTTAACCCTATTGTATTTATAATATCCAAAGATATTAAATCAAATTCTACATAATTATTCTATTCTGTAATTAATACTATTGAGGTTTTCTTGTTAATTGCTCCAAGAATTTAATCTGACAAATTTGTATACATATCCTAATCTTATTTTATTATTTGCTTTGACATATTTGTTGTTATTTAGATATAATCATGTGTCACTGTACATAAGGATGTTTTGTTATTTGAAGTTATTGTACTTTTCAGAATTGATCCATCTGGGTATTGAAATAACATTGCTTTTTCATTTATCTATAAATCGTAATGTTTTATTTCCTATGCTATTCCTAAAAATAATACAATACTTTGATTCAATATTATTGCATTATCATTCAGTTTGTTAATTTGATTTCCTTATGCATTCACTATTCCTAATAACAATAAAATCATTTTATATTATTATGAAAACAAACATAAATAATCTAAGCAAATAGAATGAATTCATTTTTGATCTACTAAGCATCTCAAATCTAATAAACTGAAATCAAAATATTTAACAAGAAACTAAAATTATCAATACTGAAGATAGAATAGATAAATAGGATTTTAAAATATCAAATGAATTAAAATACAATCGAGCAAAAAGATATAAAACCTTCTTAGAGAGTTCCTTACTTTGAATAGTTTAATAAATCAATATCACTAATATCAAAATTTTCAAGAAAAATAAAATAGAGTTCTTCTATTTTATATATATATTATTTATATCTATAACATTATTTATTCTACTCTACCCATAGATCTCTTCTTTAGAATATTTGAAATATTCATTTTAAAAGGGGAAAATCTTATTTCGATGTCATAGAAATAATAAATTTTAAAGAAGATAAATTGATATAATTATAAAATAATTTGAGATATTTGAAATATTTATATGAGTTTTTTACATTTGATAATGACTATTTATAAGTGTAATGTTGAATAAATTTAAATTCTCTAGATAATTTTTTTAATAATTAGATGAAAAGTATAAAAAATAAAAGAAAAAATGACAAATTAAATATGTAATCGGTATATATATATTGTTAAATTATATTAAATATACTAAATTACTCATTGTTTTTTAAAAATATTTAATTTCCCCCAGAATCCACCTTTTTTTGGTTCTTCTAATGTTGGATAAGTTAAGTATGAATGTGCCTATAAAATACATAAAGTTTAAATACAATATCTAATTAAATTGGTTTAGGTGGAATTGGTTACATTAATTATACTAAATCAGCAGGTTTATAAGATAAGACATTTTCTAAAGTAATTTATTCAGGTGAATCTAATAATTCAAATAATGTTTTTTAATTTTATTTATCTTCAAGACCAATATCTTAAATTTCTTTTCCAATAATTTTGACTTATTCTTGTTATAATTTGAGACCATTTAATTTACTCTTATTTTAAATTTAAATGGATAATGGTATTAGCAATTTTAATAAAGAATGAGGTTCTAATTTATTTTCTACATATTTTCTATCAGCTATTCTTGATAAATCATCATGATATTTTAATAAACTATAAGCTTCTCTGTATTTTTCATTTGTGAAATAGAGACATCCAACAAAGAAACAACGTAGAGCCTTACAAAAGAATTCTTTTGCATCTAAAATTTTGAAAAGTGTAATATCTTTATTAAAACGTTCTTCATCCATAATTTATCTAAGAATTTATGAATAATTATCACAATATTTGATAATTTCTTATGGAGTTGTTAATTTAAGTTTTATAGCCTTTTTAGTTTATAAGTTTTAAAGATTATTAACTCCATCCTCTTTAATAAACTTTTCTGTGTATTATTTGATATGTAATTCATTTCTATCTAAAGTAGCTGATTATCTTTAATAATTAATGTATCCTAAAACTTTTAAATGTATATCTTTTTCTTATTCAGATGTTGATTAATCCTTATCCAATTTTACATATTTAGATGCTTCATCATAAAGTGAAAATAAAGTTGTATATGAATCCAAATCACCAATTAATTTACTTTCTTAAATTTTAAGAATCAATTTAACCACTTTTTCATTCTTAATAGGTAATTTAGTATCTTAATATTCAATTTCAAAAACTCCTTATTATTAATTCAATTTAACTTATCGTTATTCTTCAAGCATTTCTTCAAATTTAGCAATCATAATAGGATCACTTTAATCTTTTAACATTTTAGTTAATTCATCAGCAGATAAAGTTGCCAATCTTTTAGCTTTTGCATTACAATATCTAATTTGTTGATTTAATTATTCTAATCTCTCTTAATATATTCCTGAACTAAATTAATCACACACTTTTATAATTTATTCGTAAATAGTATAACATTTTGCAAATGATTCTAATGCTTTTTCCCATTTTTCAGTTTCAAAATGATACAATCCTTATAAATACCAATTATATGCTTCAGACTCTAAAGATGTTCTCTTTTCTGTTCTTTATTCACATATAGTTGATAATTCTTTTGAATATTAAACTGCTCTCTTAAATTTCTTTACCAAGTAAACCTTTACCTATCTTTTATTAATTTTCTTGTTGACTCCACTATTTATCAATTATTTCAATGTCATAGCATGTGCCCAATTCTTTTCTGCTTAATACAATAATACTTATAAAACACGTGGATCATTCTAATTTCAATATATTTTAAAGTACCTTAATCACATCTTAAATCACTTTCTTTTGAAATCTTTTTCCATGAGTAAATTACATTTGGTGTCTTAATTTGTTTATTTTATTATAGCAATAAGTTCTGTATCTCTAATAATCTCCATGTTATAGTCCGTAATTTCTTTATGTTTCTCGTATTCTTTAAAATACTTGTTAAAATAAATTGATAAGATACCATACAAAGAACCCAAATTTTATAATTATTCCTATTATTCTTCCTCTTCCATTTATTACATTTTTAATTAAATATTAAGTTTACTATATTAAATTCACTAATCATCTTAATATATTTATTTGAATTCTCTATAATCTCATTAAATTCAATCACCTATGTCCTCTAGGTTCTTTTATGAATTTAATTAACCTTATAATCAGATTTTATATTATCGTATACTCTAATTGAATTAGAATTCCTAGGAAATTATATACTTGTTGCAACTTTTCAATCTGTTATAATCAATATATTTTTATTCTTATCTTTTCAGCCTGTAATTCTCTTTCAACTCCTTACAAAGAAATTTAAGATCTTAAATCTATATTTAAATATCATATTTTAAACTTCATTTATTAATTCTTCTTACTTTATTTCAAGAATTTCTTATTATTATTTTATATGCATATTTTGTTAATTCTCTTTATAATTCATATTAATTTAACTTTCTCTTGAAACACATATAAATCTAATATATTATTTAGTTATATTTAAAATCATCTAATTTATATGAGTTACCACATAATTGCTTTCTTAGATTGGATAACTTTCAAACTGAATCCATCATTAAAGTATTAGATTTCAATATTAAAAAATAAAAAAAATAATCAATTTTATTAAGCTTTCCAAGGTTTGACAAAGAATTATGATTTTCTCTTATATTGTAGAAATAATAAAACAGTTATTATTACCATGAAGAATATACTTCCATAAAAACATGCCTTCACAAGTGGTTCTGTATTTAAATATGAATGCTCTGCAAATGATATCACTTCTTTCACAGCCTATGATCTTAAATTATTAAAAATACTATCGTAATTCCTTCATCTGTAAAACAATTATATTTTTTATATTCATGAAATATTCTATTCTAACCGTCTATTCCTTTTAAACCATCAGCTTATGTATAATAGATTATACCCAAAGCCATATTACTCATACATAAAATAAAGGTTATTATCAATTAATATTCAATATGTTAAAATTTTGTAAAATCTATACTGATGAAAGACACATTTCTGAGTAAATAAAACAAAAATGAAGTTATTAATAAAACTGTTGTTAAGATTAATGAAATTTTACTCACATAACGACTGTAAGAATTAATAATTTCTCCCTGTAATCTCATATTTTTAATACTATTTGGATCTACAATATTACATTCTGGATTTGTTGAATTTATTGTAATTCTACTAATTAATTATAAGGTATAAGTATCGATGCTATCAATATAATCTAAAAAATAGGGTATGCTTTAAAAATTGGTAAAATCATTATCATCATAAACATTTAATTAATAATCTGAATCAATTATTTTTGAGTAATTATATGTGTTTCCATATTTATCACATCCTTTTTCTGGTACAATTGCTAAGGGATAATATTTACCACTTTAAAACTGAGGTTATACTTTAGAATTAAAACACATAGAGTTTGGATGAACACCAGGAACAATTTGAAAATTGATTAATGGTGTAGAACCGTTACGATACTTATTGAAATATTTTGACCCAATTTTAATCTATTTTGCAGTTTGTGTTTGTGTTTCAATTAAATCTGTAAGTGGACATTTAGAATTAGATGATGAAATGCAAATTCCAGCCGGACATTTATAATAATTAGATGGACATTCTTAATTACCAACCCATTTCCATTATTTAGCAAATTCAACGCATAACATATTACCCTTCCAATATTAGAATTATTATTTTTTATAATAAGGAACACTCTGACAATCAGATTTGAAATGAGTAAAACAATAGGATCTATCTTTTAATTCCCCATTTGAACACAGACAACCTTTTTAAAATATGATTTTTTACCTGAATTGACCCCTTCCCAAGTACCAATAGTTGTAATTTCAAATCCATTTGGACAACTCTAATAATGTCTATGAAGTCGATTTATTTGGATTGTATTTTAAATATCAAGTATTGGAGATGAAGCTAGGTTTTCTTAGAGTGTTTTTAATGTGGCAGAAGCACTGGCTGGATTTTTTTAAGGTTTTTATTGATGGTAAACTTGAATCATAAGAATAAGAATGAATGTGGCATATATAATTGGTATTACAAATATTGGAAGTGAGAATGGACTAGGCTCATCATTTAATATTTCTGATTAAACATCTATATAATTTTTAGTTTTTTTTTACTTTATTGACTATCATTAGAAAGGTTGTCACTATTTTNATTAATGAAATTTTACTCACATAACGACTGTAAGAATTAATAATTTCTCCCTGTAATCTCATATTTTTAATACTATTTGGATCTACAATATTACATTCTGGATTTGTTGAATTTATTGTAATTCTACTAATTAATTATAAGGTATAAGTATCGATGCTATCAATATAATCTAAAAAATAGGGTATGCTTTAAAAATTGGTAAAATCATTATCATCATAAACATTTAATTAATAATCTGAATCAATTATTTTTGAGTAATTATATGTGTTTCCATATTTATCACATCCTTTTTCTGGTACAATTGCTAAGGGATAATATTTACCACTTTAAAACTGAGGTTATACTTTAGAATTAAAACACATAGAGTTTGGATGAACACCAGGAACAATTTGAAAATTGATTAATGGTGTAGAACCGTTACGATACTTATTGAAATATTTTGACCCAATTTTAATCTATTTTGCAGTTTGTGTTTGTGTTTCAATTAAATCTGTAAGTGGACATTTAGAATTAGATGATGAAATGCAAATTCCAGCCGGACATTTATAATAATTAGATGGACATTCTTAATTACCAACCCATTTCCATTATTTAGCAAATTCAACGCATAACATATTACCCTTCCAATATTAGAATTATTATTTTTTATAATAAGGAACACTCTGACAATCAGATTTGAAATGAGTAAAACAATAGGATCTATCTTTTAATTCCCCATTTGAACACAGACAACCTTTTTAAAATATGATTTTTTACCTGAATTGACCCCTTCCCAAGTACCAATAGTTGTAATTTCAAATCCATTTGGACAACTCTAATAATGTCTATGAAGTCGATTTATTTGGATTGTATTTTAAATATCAAGTATTGGAGATGAAGCTAGGTTTTCTTAGAGTGTTTTTAATGTGGCAGAAGCACTGGCTGGATTTTTTTAAGGTTTTTATTGATGGTAAACTTGAATCATAAGAATAAGAATGAATGTGGCATATATAATTGGTATTACAAATATTGGAAGTGAGAATGGACTAGGCTCATCATTTAATATTTCTGATTAAACATCTATATAATTTTTAGTTTTTTTTTACTTTATTGACTATCATTAGAAAGGTTGTCACTATTTTCTTGCCAATCTTATTTGTGAAAATGTAAGGATCTGCGAATTGATAATTTCATCTTTTATTAATATGATATGTAAAACTTAATCAAGTATTTAAAGAAGTATTGAATAAGAATAATAATCAATTTAAAATATTTGAATATTTATAATCTATACACAATATATGCTCATTTATGACATTTTCTAACTCATAACCCAAAACTACATATAAACCTATGTTTGAATATCATCTAAATAACAAATGTTTAACGTTATCTATTTAATTAATAAATTAAATGTAGAAGACACATTTTAAGAACCTCAAAGACTTACTTCAAAATAAATATGCCTATTAAGAAGTCAAATCTAATTCAAGGACGTCCTCTATAGCTGAAGTCTTATAGAATATCAAAAAAAATAAGGATTCAACTCCTGTCTCCATTATGAAGGAAGAGATTATTAATTTTACTAAAGCTATAGGTTTTGGAGGATAGGCACCTACCTCTAAATCAAAATCTAAAGAGAAATAAGCATTACCAAAGAGTATTGACAAGTAATTATATCATTTTTGATTTTAGAAAACCGATACTAAGCAACGTAGGTCCACAATCAAAGGGAAATAGTCGAAACAATAGTTCTTAGAGTAGGAATACTTCTGCTCATTCCATCATAAATGAAAAGTAACTTGAATAATAATGATAGTACAAATCGATCAATTGCTAGGGATCCAAAAATACCAAAAGGATTTTAAACAGGAAGATTAAGAGAAAGATAAGATATGAATTCGATTTTAGAATAATAAAAAATAAAAATACTCAATTAATCACAAGATCAATAAAAATAAGTACTCAACAACAGCAATGTAAGTAAATAAGGAACCATAGATTTAGTTAATTTATTAAAGCAACAGTAAAATTAAAAATAATCACAAACAAATGAGACAATAAATGAAAGTAAAAATTATGGGGAAGAATTTTGTGGATTAAATAAAGGTCATTTCATTTATAATTATGTAATTGGAAAAGGAGGATTTGGAAAAGTATGGAAAGTAGAATTAAAGAAAAGTAGATAAATGTTTGCAATGAAAGAAATGATGAAATCAAAAATAATAGCAAAAAGGAGTATAAACTCTGTAATGAATGAAAAAGAATTATTATCATCATTAAGACATCCTTTTTTAGTTAATATGTGTTATGCATTTTAAGATAGAGATAATTTATATTTAATAATGGACCTTTTAACAGGAGGAGATTTAAGATTTCATATTGGTAAAATGAAGAGATTTAAAGAACATTAAACAAGTATAAATAAAATAAATTTAGAATTCTTTATTGCTTGTATAGTTAGTGGATTAGAATATCTTCATAATAATAATATAATACATAGAGATATTAAACCAGAAAATATAGTTCTAGACAAACGAGTAATCATAAAATTGTAATTAAGGGTTATGCTAGAATAACAGATTTAGGTATTGCAAGAAAAGTTAGACCAGATAATTAATAAGATACAAGTGGTACTCCAGGTTATATGGGTAATTAATTTAAAATAATTGTTTAGCTCCTGAAGTAATGTGTAGATAAAATCATGGAATCGCAGTAGATTATTTTGCATTAGGAATAATAGCCTATGAATTTATGATTGGAAAAGTAATCTTATTATAATTATGATAAAGAGACCTTACAATGGAAAATCAAGAAAGGAAATTCGTGATTAAATTCTAGCTAAATAGGCATAAGTCAAAAAAGAAGATTTGCCAAATGGTTGGTCAATTGAAGCTATGGATTTTGTAAACAGAGTATCAATAATAATAATATAATTTAAGTTATTATAAAGAAAACCTTAAAATAGATTAGGATTTAATGGTCCTTCAGAAGTTAAAAATCATCCTTGGTTAAAAGGTGTACCTTGGGATAAATTATATCATAAAACTATTGAAGCACCTTATATTCCTTTAGTATTTACTATTATAAACAATAGAATGTAGAAGATATGTATCGATAATAAATATCTGATGATGGAGAAGAATCTTAAGACGAATTAATAAAGGAAAATTAATTATTATTAAGAAAAAATAGTGTTTAAAGTAAGAATAATTAATTAAACAGATTTATTTGCTGGTTATGGATATGATTGCAATTAAGATCCTACTTATAAAGTTACAAGGAGTACAGCATCAACACATAATACAAGTTAATAAAATGAAACAATAAAATTTTGAATCAATTAATTCATAATATATATTTATATTATTAAAATAATACATTCACAATAACAAAATTAAAAGCAAAATTAAAAATGCAATAAAAGCACAAAATAACATGCACCATAGTTTCTTTTTTCCTGATTTTTATTATTCCTAAGTTTTAGTTAATTATTCTTATGTTTTGATCACATTCTCTTTTGTGTTTGTAACATTGGTTTCTATCACATCAAAATAAGTATCTTAATGTTCTATTTCTAAAGCTAAATCTTAAACTATTTTATTGATTGTTTGTGTTTTATATTAGATTTAATCTATTTCTTCTTAATTTTATTTAATTATTTAATTATGCCATTCTATGTGGTCAAATTGTTCAAATGTTTAGATATCCATCATTTACAACTATTAATTATTATTAAGACTTTATTAGTTATTTGAAGGATTGTTCAAAGTAAAATTTTGTACATCTTGTTTTGATGTCATTTTCATCATTCTTTCAATATCCTATAAAACTTCCTTCAAAGATTCACGTCCACAATCATTAATCATATTTTTATATAACTGTTGATGTCTTTAAAAATGACTAGTATACAAATCTCTTAATTTCTTAGTTTTATTTCTTTGCTCAACTCCTCTCGAAGACTTTGAGTTATTGTTTACAATACTTGCTCCAATTTAATGATATTGTCTTTTATATTCAAATGTTCTAATTAAATTGCTTTTAATTATAGAAACATTTGATGGACATTGTGTTATTCAATTTCTGATTCTCCGGATACTTATAATTCGTCAACACTTTATTAGTAGCCTAAGAGTTATGTTTTAACACTCTAAGATTAATAAGTTAAAGTACCTCATATAATTAATCAAAAGAGATGTTATTGTTCAATAATGATGTATGAAGATGACTCATTTAATTAAATATTTAATCAATCACACCATTACATTCTTTTCCCGTTGACCCATAATCCTTTCCTCTTTCCTTACTAAGTATTAGTATATTCTCCAATTCCATGCTATTTCCCATACTCCCATTAACCAGAATATAATCGAGAATCAGCTAACTAAATTACTAATATGATTACGCCATCTGAGTGTTCCAAAACCATGTTTTTTATCATTTTTATATTCACCTTCATATAAAGTTCCATCTGCCCAGGTCATTTTACCTTTTCCATCCATTTAATCATTTAACCATTCACCTTCATATTTTCTACCATCATGCCATGTATAAGTACTACAATCTCTTAAATTTATAATACCCAATTCCATTAAATTGATTGTTTTTAAACTAACCTTCATAAAGAGAACCATCAGGAAATTTATAAACACCATATCCTTCACGTTTTCCTAATTTAAATTAACCTGTATAACTAGATTAATCAGAGAACAATTCAAATCCTTATCCATGCTATAAATTTTCAAACCAATCTCCTTTATACATAGCTCCATCTCCATGGTAATATTCACCATATCCATGATGTTAATCATCACACCATAAACCTACATAATAATCACCATCTGGATAAATCATTCTACCCTTTCCATTAGCCATTCCTCGAGAAAATTAGCCTTCGTAAATTGATCCATTTTTCATGATTTAAACTCCTTTTAATTTAATAACTGAATTTTACCTTTTCCATTTTTTTGAGAATTCAACCATCCTCCTTAATACAAGCTTCCATTACTTAATTCATAAAATCCATAAAAATAAGCTTCTGATTCTTCTACTTCAAAGGGAGCTAATTTATCTAATAATTCCTAAATTAACATTTATTGAATACTTTGTATTAGGTAGTTTAGAATTCTTAAGATGTTAATTTAGCCTCCTTAACATCTGGTCTATGAATCTCTAATAGTAATGAATCATCCATTTATCTGGTTTTGGTCTATGATAAATTCTTCTCCATATCTCCTTAATTCAAAGGTTCACCTGGCAAAGCTCCAACCTCTCGAATTGTCTCAATTTTACTATTAAATGTCAGTGGAGGTACATCACTTAAAACTGTTATTTATTCAGAACATACACATTATCCCATTATTTAATTTATTTTATATGAAGTATATAACTATTAATTTTTCAAGATTTTCTTATCAAATTGGTGTTTGTTTTTACTTCTTATTCCATAATATGTAAGATTCTCATTTCCAAATTCTAGTTTTTCTTTATTTATTACTCAAATGCTTATTTTATTTATTGTAACTCATCTGTTTTTACTTAATAATCCTTATCCTTTCTCTAAATTATTTAATCTACATACTAAATTAAAATAAATACTTAGCTGATTTATTTTCCATTGCAACTCCTGTATTTCCAAAGAGTTATTATTAAAATTATTCATATGATCTAATTACCTTTTATAATTATCCATCTCTAATTAATTTTAGCTCACCTACTACTCTAATTATCTAATTTAATACTCATTAACTACCTTGATTTAGATTCATAGTGTAGTAGAATTTATTCATAGTCTTTTATTTTATCATTTAAATTAGATATTTAAGTTTCAAATAACTCTTTTTCTGCATTTGATAACATATTATGACTCTCCTCTTAGATTTATCTTTATTCTAAACGTTCTCTCATTTCAGAAATCTCTTGCCATAAATTTTGATATCTTGAACTTGCTTATTATAATTCATTTTATTAAGATTGAACTTATTATATGTAAGTATTCTAATATTATTAAATAAGTTTATACTTCAGATTAGTCTTTTTAAATTTTTAATATACTTATTTATTCCTTCAATTAAGCTATAGTATTATTGAGAGAACTTATAGTTTAGTGATTATTATTTAATTCTTGTTTTATTTATTTTAAATCATTTTCTAATTAATTAATGTAAATAATATATTCTACTTTTTGAGTCTAATCTTTTAATTATTTTTCAAGACTCTATATCTTTTGATTTAGAAGATCATTCTCTTGTTAGAGAGAATCTTTCTAATTCAAAAAGCTTTATGATTTGACTTCCAAGGAAGTTATAGTTTCCTTTAATTATTAAAAAGTTTAATGATCTAACTAGGTATGTTGTAATTATTATCTGAGATTATCATTGCTTATTTGTAAAGTAAGTAATTTGATTTCTGCTTGTTCTAATTTATAACTTAATTCTCTTTATGTATAATTGCTTTTGGTATTAGAGGAATTCGGATGATTATTAATGTGTAAATTATGGTTGATGTTTGGGTTCATATTCTCTTTAAATTGCTTATTTTATGATAACAACAAATCTTAATATCTTTTATCTGATTCTGATATTTAATATTAAAGTTTTTTATTTTCTTCTTGCTAATAATTAATTGTGTGATTCAATTTCGAATTATCATTAACCAAAACAGTGATTTTTTGTTGTAATTGTTCCATTATTAATTTGAGTTTATCATACTCTGAATTTCTTTGCAATGAATTTAATTAATTTTTAATCTAAAAGTTTTCTTCCACTAATGAATTAGATAATTACGCAGAAGATTTGATCACTTAAATGAGTTAATCGAATTAACTCTAAACAACTTTATCAAACTATTTTTTAAGATCTTCTAGTTAGCAAATTGCAAATCTAAGTTAATCTTTCAAAATTTCAAAACTATTTATTTTGATTCCTTTTGGAACAGTATTAATTTTTTTATCGAAATGAGTTTCTTATGTGTAATTCAAGGTCGTATTAAAACTAGTAGAATCTAATAATCTATTAGGTTAGGTTTTATTTGGCATTAAAGTGGCAGTAGATCCAGATTTGCCTCTAACTTAATAGAAAGAACTTCTTTGACTTTGATTAACAGGTAAATCTTTGATTGGAGATAATTAATCAATAATGCTCCTTGAATATAAGAATTGGAATATTACATTCTCATTTTTTAACAACTCATATAGTTAGGATTGAGATGCTATTTTTAAGGTGGTGTAACTGATGATTAACGTACTTAATAGATAGTAGCTGGTTTTTGAGTGAGTTACATACTCATATATTGCTGTTATAAAAATTTGAATAATTAAATTTATTTTTGGTTAATGAAAATGAAAACAAGATCAAGCTTGGTTGGCAAGTCTTTGGTTTCTTTCATGGTTTTCATCTTCAACTTAATTGAATCTAGCTTCAACCATCTCTTCTAATTAAGCAACTAATTAGATTTCGTTTCTTCTGGCTTAGGTGGCATAATTATATTCATTGGCAAAGGTAGAGCATAAAGCTTAGGCTTAATCCCAAAGTTATTGGTTTCTTTAGAGTTTTCCTGAAGCGGTTTAGGCAATAGCAGATTGAGTTCCGATTTATTAGTTCAATGAATCAAGCTTATTTTAAAGTCTTTCGTTTTAAGCTTCAAGTCTAGCAATGGTTTATCCTAATCTATCCTTTTAGTCATTGAAAGCAGCAACTGAAACAGCGTTTGATTCAGTGAAATCATTGTAAGCTTCTTAGATGTTGGCTCTCAATGTTTCCAAAAGTTAAGCAACTCTTTCAAGAGCTGATTCATCAAGCTATCCTTCTTAAGCAGCTAATTAAGCAAAGGCATAGAAGACTGGTGCAAACTTGGCAGTTTCCTTGATGTTGAAGGCAGTTTAGAGCATACTCTTTGAAACTCTGCTGATTTCAGCGAATGATCCTGATCCACTGTAAATTGTGGCTAAGATATCAGATGCTTCATCAATAGCATGGAGAGCATCTTCATAATCTCTTCCTCTTCTCTTGAAATATCCAGCTTCTGTTTCAGNCGAATTATCATTAACCAAAACAGTGATTTTTTGTTGTAATTGTTCCATTATTAATTTGAGTTTATCATACTCTGAATTTCTTTGCAATGAATTTAATTAATTTTTAATCTAAAAGTTTTCTTCCACTAATGAATTAGATAATTACGCAGAAGATTTGATCACTTAAATGAGTTAATCGAATTAACTCTAAACAACTTTATCAAACTATTTTTTAAGATCTTCTAGTTAGCAAATTGCAAATCTAAGTTAATCTTTCAAAATTTCAAAACTATTTATTTTGATTCCTTTTGGAACAGTATTAATTTTTTTATCGAAATGAGTTTCTTATGTGTAATTCAAGGTCGTATTAAAACTAGTAGAATCTAATAATCTATTAGGTTAGGTTTTATTTGGCATTAAAGTGGCAGTAGATCCAGATTTGCCTCTAACTTAATAGAAAGAACTTCTTTGACTTTGATTAACAGGTAAATCTTTGATTGGAGATAATTAATCAATAATGCTCCTTGAATATAAGAATTGGAATATTACATTCTCATTTTTTAACAACTCATATAGTTAGGATTGAGATGCTATTTTTAAGGTGGTGTAACTGATGATTAACGTACTTAATAGATAGTAGCTGGTTTTTGAGTGAGTTACATACTCATATATTGCTGTTATAAAAATTTGAATAATTAAATTTATTTTTGGTTAATGAAAATGAAAACAAGATCAAGCTTGGTTGGCAAGTCTTTGGTTTCTTTCATGGTTTTCATCTTCAACTTAATTGAATCTAGCTTCAACCATCTCTTCTAATTAAGCAACTAATTAGATTTCGTTTCTTCTGGCTTAGGTGGCATAATTATATTCATTGGCAAAGGTAGAGCATAAAGCTTAGGCTTAATCCCAAAGTTATTGGTTTCTTTAGAGTTTTCCTGAAGCGGTTTAGGCAATAGCAGATTGAGTTCCGATTTATTAGTTCAATGAATCAAGCTTATTTTAAAGTCTTTCGTTTTAAGCTTCAAGTCTAGCAATGGTTTATCCTAATCTATCCTTTTAGTCATTGAAAGCAGCAACTGAAACAGCGTTTGATTCAGTGAAATCATTGTAAGCTTCTTAGATGTTGGCTCTCAATGTTTCCAAAAGTTAAGCAACTCTTTCAAGAGCTGATTCATCAAGCTATCCTTCTTAAGCAGCTAATTAAGCAAAGGCATAGAAGACTGGTGCAAACTTGGCAGTTTCCTTGATGTTGAAGGCAGTTTAGAGCATACTCTTTGAAACTCTGCTGATTTCAGCGAATGATCCTGATCCACTGTAAATTGTGGCTAAGATATCAGATGCTTCATCAATAGCATGGAGAGCATCTTCATAATCTCTTCCTCTTCTCTTGAAATATCCAGCTTCTGTTTCAGCAGCACTCAATACTGAATTTAAGTGTTCTTAAGCTGAGAAGTATTATTATTAGTTAACTTCTTATTAGTTAGTAGCTCTAATCTTTGAGGTTTAAGCAACATTCAAAGCAGCTGTTGAATCTCTCAATACATTGCTAGCATCTGTGACTTCACCTCTTCTGAAACCATCTTCAGATTCACATTCTGTAACTTAGATGTTGTAAATTTCATCATGGTTAACTTATTCTGTGTTAACTGCATCTCTGAAGTCTCTCAATACGTTCAATATTGCATCAAGTGGTGATTTATTTTTCAATTTAGCTTCAACTTCAGCCATGACTGCTGTCATTGATCTCTTCTTGGAATAGTCCAAGTTGAATTTTGTTGTAGCACTTGCAACTGCCAAAATGACTAATAAGCACAAAGCAACTCTCATTATAATTATTATTCTTTTTTCATTTCTTTTCCTCTCCTCATATATTGTACCAAAATATCAAAAACGGATTTTTTTATCAAAAAACAACTAATTCTTTCTTCAAACATTTTTACAAATATTATCTGTCCAACCCTCAAAATTAAATTACTCATCCATTCTGTGAGGTTATAAACTATTCTTCTTTGTTTTGTTATTGATTTATTGATAAATTCTCATAGCTCTTTTTTGTACAAAATCAAACAATGTCTCATCTACTTTAAAATATCTAATTCTTAGTCCCTCTTGAATTTCTTTATCCTCATTCATTCCAAAAATGTCATATCATTTTTAATTCTCCATTTATAATATCTAACCTTTTTATATTATACAATTATATTTTGAGGAAGAAAAATAAACCCTAATTACAATCATCCAAAAAATTCAATTGAAAATTGGATGTTATTTAATATTGAAATATCAAAAAAATCTATCAATCATGTTTTTAATAAGACTATATACACAAATACAAAACTATTGATATCTTAAACATGTAATCTTTATAGAATGTTGTCTAAACATTAAGATTTTCTTTAGGATGCGGCATCAATTCTGTTTTTTAAGTTTCCTAAAAAATTCAAGCTATTCTCAATATATTTAATGTACTTCATCTAAATTTTTAGGTTATGCTAACTTTATTGTTAGAGTTTCTAAATAGTAATTACTTTTTTCTTTAAGAATTTTTTATGGAACTTACTCTATTTATTCAGCTTGAACAGAGACCTCTTCTTTAATTTCTCTAATTTCTTCTTAAACAGACATTTTTAGGCTACTTTCTTAAATTCTTTTTTTTAACTTATTCGTTAATACTATTAATTGAGTTTCTTTTTTTTTCACACTTTGAATCATTGATGAAGATAATTTATCATTTAACATTTCTAGTTTTGTAATTAAATCAACTTATAATTTCTTTTTTTTATGGATGGATTCCTACATTAAAACATTCTAATTTGCTCTTTGCATTTATTCTTCAAATTTAAACAAATCTCTTACTTTACAATGGATTCAGATATTATTTATTATCTTAACTTCCTTCAGGCAGTTTTCAGTTTTGGAGTCCTAATAAATAAATTTAATATACTTTTAACTTTTGATAACTATTTCTATAAATTTTAATCAATACAAAATATTATTTGATATCATTTTCGTCTTGAAAAAGACAAATATTGTAAAATTATTATGAAACTGAGTTTACTATTAAAATAAAAATTAAAAATAAATATATAAATATTGAAATCAAAAATTTTATTCTTCAGGTATTTTAGGACAAATTTTTATAAATAAATGTTTTTTTTTTAATGAACAAAAAGAAGATAGATTACTTGATAAGTCAATCAAATTTTATTTATAATGGTTTTAAGCGAAAAAAAATATATTAAAATACAATAAATAATTCTATAGCTTCTAAGTGAAAACTCAGTTTTTTATTTTTAGAGATATTTATGCAGTGAAAATAGATAATATTACACATATCAGTATTGATGGATGTTAATAAATTTATAAAATAATTGAAATCAGATAAATTATTCTATTACTCTATTAAAAAATATTCAAATTCTATTTAATACATATAATCAACAGCATCGGCTTTTTTTTTGAAGATACAATTATTTACTTATCAAATTAATTATAAATGTTATTTTTAATATTATTTATTGATGAAAAATACTGTTTGTTAGACTACTTGACTTGTTGATTGTCAAGAATGTCTATTAAATATTTTTAGATCTGAAGTAAACTTAAAAAAGAGTTTTTATTTTCTCTATTCACTATTAAATTCATAATTTGCCACAACTAACAATAATATTTGATGACAGCAATAGAATAATTAATAAAAAGTACTTTAAATTAGCTATTGAGATAGTTTTTTGATTATGGATGTATTAATATTTTCCTTCATTGAGAAAAACTTTAACACAAAATTATAACAATTAATCTATATTTATTTATTTTTCTTTATTTAATAATTATAATTATTTTATAAAATCAGTTCATATTCTGTGATTTCTATCATTTCATTAAGATGAAAATCAAGATAGCTATTTATTTAAGCCTTAAGTTTCGAATTCTTTAAAGGATAGAAATTCGAGAGCAATATTATTCGCAAATGTATTTTAAAATAACATGACTTTCTAACAAGGTGAATGAACATATTTGTTTCTATATAAAATTAAAATAATCCTAATGTGATAGACAGAATTCTGTTATTTTAAACAGTTTTGAAATATATTGTTCTAATATGATAAACCATCCAAAATCAAAATTACAAATAAATAATGATGTTAAATCGCATACTGCTCTTAAAAAATTATAAAACTAAATACCTAATATCTGCGATGGTGGAATTTAGCTAATTTAAAATGTTTTAATAAAAAATTGCTTAACTTCACTTCTTCTACATCAACTTATATTGAAACTTTGTTTTAAGGAACTTTATTTCCTATTAACAAGGGTTTCAAATAACACTCTTTAGAGTAATTTAAAACTCTCAAAAATTCATTTTAATGGCAATCTAAATATGAATCCCCTTTAGCTTTATTTTACAATGTCTTTTTAATATATGGTTAATGCTTTTTACATCAGGATATAATCTAAAATCAGGTTTATTTATGTATGAAAAGCTTGCTTGAGATTTTCTTTTTTTAATACATGAATTATTTTTAATTTAAGTCACACTTAGTTAGCATATAGAATAAGTTAGTCTTCATGAATAAACATCATTAGGAATAAGGATTAAACGAAAAAATTATAGACATTGATAAATTAGTTTTATATTTAATAGTTCTTATACAATGAACTTAAATAGATAAAAATATATAATTATTTATAATGAAACATTAATCATTGAGTAACGATATTAGGAGGGTAAAAAGAATTGAAAAGAATAAAGAAGATTAGTTGAATAAATTAATAAGCAATATTGGATAAGAAATATAGTAAAAGTAACAATATAAATTATAAAAATAGTATAGATGATCCATATAAATATTTAATCAAAAGAAATTATTCAATTGAAGATAGAACTAAAATAAAGAGAGAGAATGTTTAATAACGTAGACCATAAGGTAGTATGTCCATAGCTGAAATTTGGACAAAGAAGATGAAAAAATAATGTGATAAAATATTAGAGGAAATGAAAAAAAAATAAAATAAATCAATGTAAATTTAATTATTAACATAGACTTGATTTATCAAAATAATAATCAATAGATAATAGATAAATTGAAGATTCCTTATAATGTATACAATTAATTAAATATCTAAAGCTCCTAAGAATGCTAAATAGATTATTGAACAATTGGGACTAAAAGCATTAATGGGCAAAACTAAATATAAAAACAAAAATAGATAAGCAGTCTAATCTCCATAACTAAAATCAATTTCATAATCTTAAATTGTGACTTAATCTCCAGAACCAATCAGAAATAGATTTGCTTCCAATTTTCATATTGAGCCAATCCAATATTCACCTATTAAGCAATATCATCATAACAGTCAAAGTACCAGCAGTAGTACAAAAAATTTGTATAACGTAATAATATTAGCAATAGAATCAATAGCAATTTTAGAAAGTATAGTATCAATAATGAAATTAAAAGAGAAGTAAATAAATGCATTTATGAATGTGATTCATTAATTTAAAACTATAAACATGTCGATAAGTATAAATTATGATAAAATTTAAAGAAAGTTGAATTAACCCTAAAAAAGCCGTTTAGATATTTTTGTTGAAAAATAGAGAAAAGAAGCATTAGAAGAACTTATATTTATTGAAAGAAATAAGCCTAAATAATTATATTGATCGTTATTTTTATATTTAATTTTCCATTATATTATTTATCATTGATTATAGATTTACAATATTACATCCTTACTAAATTTCAGTGAAATAATAAAATGCTAGTTACCTCTTATTATAATAAAATATAAGTTGAATTCAAATAAGGTTTTCCCTTTAAATTACGGATCTAGGCTAAAATTTTAAGTTTATTTATTCTAATTTGTAAAATGAATTATAATAAAATCTATTTTCAAGAATTGCTTATGTTCAAAGACATAATCTAATAATTTGAGATTTTGGATTTTAAGAGATTTAATTGTGTATTTTGCAAATAAATTGGTTTTTATTAGTAAAAGAAACAATTGAATTTACCTATTTTGGATGTGTTTGAGAACTAAAATTCATTTTAATAGCAATAATTAATATCGTTGTTATAATTAAAAGATGATTTTTATCAAAAGAAATTGGATGTTTTTAAATGATGAAGAATTGTAAACAAAATTAATTTTTGGTAATATCTTTTTTTTTAAATTGATTATATTAGGAATAAATTTATAGTTTTCCATATTTGGTATTTGTAGATAGATAGACTTTATATTTTGTTAATTAAAACGAAAAATTGAATTGTTATAAACAAATTCAAGTAAAATAAAAGTAAGGTTATCAAATTTCACTTGCAATAGTGATTACTTATAAATGGTTGAAAAAAAAGGAAAAAATTATTTGTTATTTGTCTAATGAATATTGAGAAAATTAAAATAATAATAAATATACAAATAAATATAATATAAAAAATAAATGCATGAGATAGAATTGTTTTTTTTAATATAAGTTTGGAGTAGAATAAAATTTCACACAATTAGGTGAAATAAAAAATATTTTAAAAAAGATTTTCAACTGTAATTTGTATATAAGTAGGAAATTACTAATTTACATTTAATATGGAAGAACTGAATATGGATCCAGAAGACTAAGCACTTTAAAAAACGTCAATATTTAATTTAGCATTGATTGTACAACAACAGTAATGATGGTTTTGAAATAATGTTATAGATTGTAATTGATTAATCTTGATCTTTTAACAGCTAGGATTAGTAAAAAATTAGATAAGTGCTTTTGAATAAAATGATCTTAGATAAATTTTATTGAAATACAATTGTTGAATATTCATCAATTATAATAAAAAATGGCAAAATAATAATATTTAAATTAATTAATTATTATTTTATATATTAAACAATTATTAAAATAATGTGTAATATCTATTTCATTCATCTTCAAGTGAAAAGTTTATTTATTGTTTTATTTTCTGATGAAATATTTGTTTCTTAAGATACAATACATTTTTGAGTATTCAAAGCAGAATATTTAGCGAAGGTTTAGTAACAAACTATTTAATACATTGATTCTTGAGGTTATTTTTTTAAATAATTTGTTTTTTAAATATTTATTTAGTATAAATTAACAGATCCATCTTCTAGTCCTGCCACAAAATTGATTCGATCTGGATTAAATTTAATAAATAGCACTTTAGCATTAATTTAATTATTTGTCTATAATTTTTCACATATATTTTGATTAGAGTCAACTTTCCATAAAGTAATAGAGTTTACCTAATCACATTACTCTCCTGTAAGCAAGAAATCTCCTTTTGGAGATAATTCAAAAGAGCAAAGTTTGTCTATAATTTGAATTTCATTAAAATTTTTGAATAAAATAAAGTTTTATTCATTAGATAACTAATAAAACCTTAATTCAGAATTACTTTGTAAAGTAAAATATTGGGAACTAATATTAAACTAGATCCAATTAAAGGAATCAATTGATATTTATTTCACTACTTTCAAACTTTATGAATTTAAAAGGAATATCTAATCACATTACAAGAAAATTAGGAAATTTCCATCTTATGAGTAGATAATTCTTTTAGAAATTATATTTCCTGGCATATCTCTGCATCTTTCTTATTGAATTTTGTTAATATTTATTAATATTATTTAATTATATTGTTTATTGCCTAAAGCAAACCAATTTCCATTCTCTGAAAAAACTGGAAATTAATCTGAATGATAAAAAGCTTTGAATAAGCGTTCTTCCAAATTATCAATGAAATCAAATATTACATGATATTTATCATAATAATTTCTTTTTAATAAAATTAATAAACATTTAGAAGTTAAAGCAATTCTAGTTATTTAGTCTATAAATGCATATTCTTTAACTATAAAAGTCTTATCTTCATCAATTTTACTTATATTTATAAACATTAATTTTTCATTTTCTGCAATTACTAAAATTTCTTTTGATTAAAATTATAACAAATTCCCCTAATAATTTACTTAATGAATCTTTTATAGATTTTACATCTCTTGTATTTAAAGAGAAGAAATTAATTTAGCCATATATTTATTATCAGGAGAGAAACAAGCAAACTAACAATTTAAATCTGTTCGTTTGAGGATTTCTATTTAGAGGATTGAAGGATTTAATTTAATAGAGGATATTTCATTTTGATCTACAAACATAAATTCTAATTTTGATTCTGAGGAATTAAAAATTTATTAATAATAGTAGTCTGATACATTCCAACATCCCAGAATTTAGGTTTCTAGATTTTCGTTTATTTTGTATATATAGATATTTTTATTATGACAAAATACTATTTCTTAATCATCATGTGAAAAACATATTGATGTCACAAGCCCAGTTTAATCATAGAATTTAAGTTCATCTTCATTAAATAAAGATATTTAAGACTATTCTTTATCCTTAATTAATTAGATTCCACTGCTAATTGAAATAGCAAATATATCTTTATTTTAACAAAAAGCAAATCTATTAAAATTATTCCCTACAAAAATTTCCTAAGAATTTTCTTGATTTTGAATATTAAATATATATATTAAATTGCATGTATCATTTGGATACATTACATATTAAAGGTTTTCAGAAAATTAAATAAGTTATTTGCATAAAAATGTATCTAATAATTAGTTGATTTAAAAAGTGTCTGGTAATGTATTTAATATTTCATGTGAAGCATTTTTAATATTCCAATCTCTAATGGTACAATCTTTATATAAAGCATAGATTTTATTTGAATCTTAAGAAGATACCTTGAATATGATTAATTCTTATTCTTTATTTTCATTTGATTCGGATATTTTAACAGTAAGTATTTTGGGTTTTTAAATTTCAAAATTTGTCGTATTTGTTTGATAATTAATTTCCCATACATAGATACTATATTTGTCGTTAGCTGAAGAACAAGCTAAATATTATTTATCTTTGGTTATTTAGGGTTATTCAGGAAATTTACATCCATTATATTCTTTTTTAATCTTCCAATCTTTGGTTTCATAGATTTCTACTTTATCTTTTTTAGTTAAAATAGCTTAAGTTAAATCAGATGAAAAAACGACTTTTTTTACTTCAAAACGATCAAATTCATATTAAAACATATATTTAAAGTCTTTTAATTTTTCGAAATTATGCAGGGTAGTTTAAAATGTTTTTCTATTTTCATATACATCTAAATTAGTAGTACAATCACTTACTTAATATAAAAATTAACCATTTGGAGAAAGGAAAATGTTAATAGATTAAGAACAAAAAACCCAAGATCTCTACCATTTATTATTTTCTTTTTCTATTTTGAATAAATTTCCATTTTTATCCAATATTAGACAAATATTTTTGGATGTTATTATTTGTTTAATATCTAATATCCAATTTAACATTATAGATTTTGTTGTTTTATAATTTAGAATAGTCAATGAATTTAATTATTTATCAAAATAAATAAATTCATCATCTGAAATAAAACTGTATGATTCTGATCCTGAATTTAGAGTAATAGTTCTGTCATTTTCTTATTGTTCAATGTTATCTAAATTCCATTTTAATAATTTATATTCACATAATGCTACTAAACTTTAGTTTTTAGGAGAAAAGCTAATAGAATCTAAGGGGAAAACAAATTTATCTATAATATATATTAATTCTGCTGCTTTAGGATATTAAATATCCCAAAATATTATTGTTCCATCTTAACTTCCTGATATTAAATATCTATTACATTAAGAGAATTCTAAACAACAAACATCTTTTTTATGACCTTCTAGTTAACTCATAAATCTTTTATCTATAAAATCCCAAAGAAAAATTTGTTAACCACTTGCAGATGCAACAAATTAACCATCTTATGAAAATTATATGGCCGTAATCTCTTAAGAATGAGCCTGTTACATTTCTGATGATTCATTCTAATTAATACTCCATAATTTAATCAGTTTATCATCACTTGCTGAGGCTAGAAATTTGCCATCATGTGAAACTGACATAAAATTGATTTTTTCTTTATGTCCTTTTAAAGTTCCAACAATCTTTTTTGCTTTCTAATCCCAAAAATGTATATTATTTTTCAATGTGCTTATTGCAAACCATTAATTTTAAGGTAAATAAATAAAGCAGCAATCACCATGATCAACGTCAGTTACATTCTTAAATTTTTCTCGAGAAATATATTCCTTATACTTTTCTTAATTGAAATTCTTATTTTCCAAAAGATCAATTAAATCAACTCCCTATTTAGAATTATATTAACTCAAAACTATTTTAACTATTTAATTTTATTCTTTATATTTAAATATTTAAAATGAGCTTTAATCTAAAATAGCTAAATATTGCTATTATTTCCTATCTTGCTCTAAAAATATTTCTACTTATTTTAACTTTGGATTTTCATTAAAAATTTAATACCTATATATGCATATAATTTTTTTATCTTTTGTAATTTAAAATAATCTAATCATATTATTAGAACTTAATGATAAACCTTCTCCATTACTTGTAAATTTAATACTACAATTAGTTATTTTTTCCTCAAAATCAAATGTGTCACTTATTTTAAATTTATTCTCTGTAAATTCAACTAATTCAATTTTTGATTCTTATTATATTAAAATGTAATTTTTTTCTTGACAAAAACCTATAGCATTGACCATCCCTGTATATTGATGTAATTGTTTTTTATCTATGTCGAAAATAAAGAGTTCATTTTAATTAGATGAAAAAATAAATTGTTTTTCTTTAACAGATAAGAAAAGTTCTTGTATTATTTTATTCTCGTCTTCAGGAAATGCAAAAACTATATTAAAAATATCTTTAATTATAATCTCTTTTTACTCTTTTAATGCTACACCTATTTCTCCATTTTCTTAAATAGAAAAGCAATTAACATTTTCATGATACCCAAGTAACTTACTCTTTTTTAAATCTTCGAAATCCCATATATATACACTTTTTTAATTCTATTCAATTAATATTTGATCCTTTAAACACAACTAAATTGAAAGCATCGAATAGAGATTAAATGATGACATAATTGTTTTGTTTATATAATCCCAAATCTACATCTTGTCTTAATAACGTATTAATAAGAAATTTATCTTATGCTCAAAAAATTGTAATTGTATAGCGCCATAATATATTTTAAATTAAGAATTTGTTATTTCCTCCAATTCGTTGTTATATATACATAAATAGTGTTCATACATTTTATTTTCAACAAAAGCAATTAAATCATTAGATGATATTGCTCCACATGTGAAATCCTTTGAGTATGTTTATTCAGCTTATAAAAAATCTAAATCAAATAAAATCAATTGTGAATCTTCTTATAACAACATATGCTTATCATCAAATATAAAGTTGATATCTTCAATATAAATATCAAAAACTTAAGATCCAATAAATATAAATTTATTTTAAGATTCCATCCATAATTCTAAAACCTAATTTCCAATTAAAGCAATTAAATTTCTATTATATGAAAAAGTTGCTTTTTATGTAATTAGATAAGTTTTCTTTCTATCTGTAATTTCCTATGTTGATAGATTCCATAAAATAAGATATTCACTAGAAATAGTTATGAGAGATTTTGAATCTTAAGTAAATATTATTTATTTGAGATAAACATATTTTTCTAATTCTTAGTTATAATTTTTATATTTACTCAAATCTCCTCCTAGTAATTTTTCATAATTGTTATTTTTACTCAAAATTGTTATATTTTCAATGGAATGGTCTTGAAGTAAACCAATAATGTTATTATCTAACGAAAATTAAATTTACTAAAATTTAAATTAGTTGGTTTCAAATACTTTTTGTAGTTTTTTTTATTTAACATTGTAGATTAAAATTATTGTTTTTGAAAATACTAATCCTATTTATTAACCATCAGGGGAATAATTCATAGATTCTAGAATTATATCATTCATACTAATTGTTTCTTATAAATTCATAGATTTTAGAATTTCATCATTAAAACTAATAGTGTCTTATATTTCAAATGGATTTTAATCTAAATTCCAAATTAAAATATTTTAATTATACCCAACAGCTAATAAATTTTCACAAGGTGAAAATTAAAAGTCTAAAATTTATTAATCTTCATTTTCAATAGGTTATGATATTTTTTGATTTTAATTCAAATCATAAATTATTATAGAATTTTTTTCATTAGTAAAATAAGCAATAATCCAACTATTTGCTTTGACACAAAACTTTCTAATTTACAATTCAAAAGTTTTAATTTATGGAGCCTTATGTATTTTATTTGTATTTATTCTTATTGTTTTATAAAAAGCTTTTTCTTTATGCATAATAAATAGTTTTTCAAAATTATTTGATATTATATGATTTTTCCAACATTTAGCATTCCAATGAAGTTAACAAATAATAGTGACTGTGAATACTTCCAAAATTTGAAATTATTGAATTACTTAATCATCATTTAAAAAAAAAGATATTTTAGTGCCATCCTTTGAAAATTGTAATTAATTAGGTTGAAGATCAAATTATATTGTATTTATTTGTTATTCTTGTAGTATATCTATTATACTAAGTTTTTTTTCATAAACAATTACAATTATCCTTCCTTAGGGGGAAATTTTTACTTCAAAGCATATTTACTTTTTCTCTTAAGATTACATTTAAAACTAATTTATATCTCTAATAAATATTTGTTTTGAAGCGTCTAAAATTAATTTTCTATTATCTTAATCAATCAAAATATTTTTAATAAAGATGTCAGGAAAATTCAATATACTTGTGATTTTATTTTGTGCCATATCCCAAACATAAACAATTCTAGAGGTCCCAAATGCAAGCAAATTTCCATCGTTACTAAATACTATATATTCTATTTATCTAGCTTAATAATCATAAATGAATTGATCTGAAATATCTAAAGGTTTGACAAAATTCAAATTTATGTAGTTAAATAAATCAATTTTTAGACTATCTTTATTCTATATTGCAATTATTGGTTATGTTGGATGTATTGAAAATTTTTCATAATATCCATTTGTAATTGTAATAATACATTCATCACTTTTACTATCTTTTGATAAATCTAAAACTAAGAAATCATATATCCCCTATACATACAATTTTTTTGAATCCTAAGAAATTTATACTTATATTACTTCATCTTTTAATTCGACTACTTTATTACTTTTAATATCTTGAAGATTTGTTATATCCCATTTTATGATGGTTTTATCATCACTACCAGAATATATAAATTTAGAGTCAGAAGAAAATGAAAGTGTATTAACTTAAGCAGTATGCTTATCTAAATCTGAACAATGTTCATAAGTTTATGCATCCCAAATCTTTATTTGTTTTTCTTTTCCTGCTGATGCAATATATTTACCATCAGGTGAAAATTACACTTCTAAAACGCTTTATTTATGTCCAGCAAGAAATGGTTTTTCTTTACAAATAACATTTTACCAATTTGCATTTGATAAATCAGCTAGACTGAAATTACATGAATTAATTTCAACATTTTCAAATGTTGATTCACTTAAATTACAATCAAAAAAGCTTAATCCAGAAATATTTGTATTGGCCAAATGTATTTTATTAAAATCTTATGATCCCAAATAAACTTTCATTTATTTTAATAAATAAATACTATTTGAGGCTGAATATTTATAATCTTTATTTATTGCTGACAGTTTCACAATTTTAATCAATTTTTAATTCAAATTCTCAACTTGAATTAATTTTTCTTTAATAAAATTTATTGCTCCTCGATAATTATTAGTTGAAATATTAAATTTAGTTTAATTAAATAAGGATTTTTATAAAATTTGTTTATTTCTTATTAAACACTAGTCATCATCAAATTAATCAGAGTTTCTTAATGATGACAAAATATCAAAGATGTATTTTGCAACATAAAATTCTTAAATTGATTTATGAGTAAATGAAAATTTACTTCCCTTTACACTTAACAATATACTACTTCTAATTAATTTCTTATATTCGTCTTCAACATCAAAATATTACTTAAGCCAATCCTCAACAGCTTCTTCAATTTTATAATTACTTTCTAAATTAAGTTTACCTTGTGGCTTGTAACCTATTTATGATAAATCTCGATAAGTCATATCAACAGCTAAAGAATATGAAAACTGATAAATATCTGATGCAAAATTTTCATAATTAGTTATTTTACCAATTTCTCTTTGCTTTTGTATTTGTTATTCATGATAAAAGTTGATAAAACTTTCATAAAACTCGAAAATTGTGAACTTTTTCATCTTGAGAGCCATTAATACAATTTTTATATCATCAGGATTCAAATTAATAATATTATCATCAAAAGTAAAAAAACTTCCTTTATTTTTTAATACACTTACAATTGAATAATTCTAGAAAAACTTCAAATTTTCAAGGCTATCAACAATTTCATTAATTTTTGCTTAATCAATTTCTAAATAATCTTTTAATTCTTTCTCAGTTTTATCATTATCATCAAGATTACATTGATTTTATGAATCAAACTAATTTTAATTTTCTTTTCTATATTTTTCTATTTCAAATTGAGATTATCTAATATATTTTTTTAATTTTAAATAATTTTTAATAAAACTTTCTTTTACAGCTGTTGATCCTAAATACCTTTTGGTTATGTTTGGCAATACTTAAACAACAATTTCTAGCATAAATGGAGTTGTTAATAAATCTTCAATTTTGACGTTTGCAATCGATTATTTAAATTTAATAGCACTCCATAAAGCCAATAATTCTTTTTTTAATCCAATTGTTTATTCTTCTGATAAAACTGAGAGAATTTTATGAGTTTTTATTTTACCAATTATAATTTCTTCCTCTTTGTTTTGAAAAATTCCCTCTTATTTCATAGATTCCGATTTTTGAATACTATTTTTAACCTATTCAGAGATTAGACTCCATATATTGATAAATTCTTCCAAATCAAAGTTCTATCCAGAAATTTACTTAACAAAATCATAAATATCTTTTATTTTTCTTTTGACACTCAATTCAACATATTAATTCAAATATTCATTTTATTATTCTTCATCAAAATTTTATAACTCCACTTCCTTTAAAGTTTATAAACTTTCTCCATAAAACCAAGTTTAATATCCCTATATATTAAGTATTTCCTTCCTTGTTGTAATTATTACTTTCATTTAACGATCTACTTTTTGATCAATAGTTAAATCCTAAAATAATTTATTTGTCATAATAAGATTTTATTGAATACAATCTTATTTCATTTCATCGTAACTGTCAAGTATTAAAATAATAAATTCTTTTTTAGCTTATATAGCTTCCTTAAATTCTCTTATTTAATACTTGTCAAATTAATAATTTTCAGATTCTAGTGCTTAATCCAATAAATTATATTTTGGATTTTTTATACTTGGCAGTGATACAAATATTGGAGTCCATCTTGAATCAATTTCTTTTTATTTCCATAAAAATTCTTCAATTTTTCTTGCTGCTTTACTTTTACCAGAACCTGCAAATCCTGAAAGTAACATAACATCCTTTATTTGTTCATCACACCAAATAAATTCATTAATTTCTCCTTTAAAATTATTCCATTAATCCTATATTAATTAAGTTTTTTCTTTTTTATCATTATTTATAATCCCTCCACTAAAAGGATCATATTCAATTGTTTTTAATTATATATAAACTGAATCTACATCAGTTAATTTTGATTGAAATAAGATCTTTTATTTTCTAATTTCTAATAATTCTTTATAATTTTTTCCTCTTAATTTACGAACATCATCAGTAACTTAATTTATGCTATCTTATAATTTGTCAATTTAAGTTTTTATTTATTTTACATCTTTTTAAATATCTTTAAGGAATATTAAGCTAATATTCATTGCCTCTGACATTTCTGAAATATTATCCAATGATTCATCTAACTCATCATATGTTTTCCTTAATTCTATTTAAAGTTGATCTCTTTTTTATTAATTTCCTTCAAGCTTTATTCTTTATTAAAGGTTTTCTAATCTTATCATTTTTTCTTTTAGTTCATCTTTTATTGAACCAGATAAATTATCTAAATCCTAAGCAAATAACTATTTCTATATTTCAATTAATTCTTTATTCTTCAACAAATTTCTAACTTTTTAATCTTTTTCATAAACCCACATGTATTATAAATATTTGGTTGAAAAAGAATTAATCTATTACTCTTATATACTAAATTATAGTCTTATTAGATTATAGACTAACCCTTCTCTTATTTTATGATCAGGTTTTAAATTAATTAAGTCAAGAAGCTTCTCTTTCTTTTTTTAATATGCATTTTTAATATCTTACCAAATAGAATCATTAATTTTATCTGCTTTCATTTTATTGAAATAATCACTATTAGATAATTAATAGAAAAAGGATAAATATTCCATCAATTCTAAACCATCTTCTTTTTATCCTTATTCTTATTCTAATTCTAATTATTATTCTTATTATTATTTTTATTTGTAATAATTAGATAAATTTATAATTAATTCTTTTATTTTGGTTTTTACTTCATCACTAAAAAAAACATCTCTTCTTTTCTCCTAAAAATATTTTAGTTTATCTGTCTAAACTGATAATTTATTTGGCTAATCTTATAATTCATTTGGTTAATCTTATAATTCATTTGGTTAATTTAATAAATCGATTTAAAGAATTAACATTTTTTCATATTATTTAAAATATTTTCTGGTTTTCTTTATGTCTAAAATAAGTTTATTATTACTGTTCGGATATTGATTCAAAAAGATTTATGGTATTTTCTTAAAGTCTTATTTATTCTCCTCATCTTAAGGATTCTATTCTCCTGATGGTTATATTGTTTTTATAAATTCTTCATATTTATCAAATAGGCTTTATAAAGTTTCACCAATTTTTATTTAGAAAGTTGAAATATCCTAAATCTAATTTACCATTTGCAAAATTTGAAATTAAACATCTGTAAAGAATTCTAGTATTGAAGTTTTAAATTTACCACCATCGTTTTTAATAACAAAAAAATCAGATTGTATTTAAGACAGTAAGCTATTGCAACATAATTAAAAAGTTTAATCAGATTCATTAATAGTTTAGCTCTTTAATTATGAAATTTTTAATTATTATTAAGTTAGAACAGAAGTAATGTTCTATTTCTAAATTTCATCTTTGAATTCTATTTGCTTTTCATTTTTTTTGGTGTAATTTAACAACTAGTTATAAATTAACTATACATATTTTTATTGTATATTGGAGAATTACTTTAAGAATTTTAAAATCATTATGATAAATTTACACTAAATCAAATTTTATTTTGCATCATCTAGAGTTTTTAATTAAGAATTATATAATTAAAGATTATTTTGATATATCTCGCTTTAAAGTTTCTTTATTATATTATCAATCAATTCTCCATTACAATTAGACTTAAAAGTGCTTATGATATTTTAAGCTGATATTTTTTAAGAGATTTCTTTTTTATTTTCTCCGATATATTTTAAAAAATTGGTTTTATACTAAATTAAATTAAAAGAAAATTAATCAAACTGAGCTTCAAAAGTTGAAAAAATCTTTTAAAAATTATCAACCTCTAATAAATTAATGTTATTATCTTAATTTACTTCGTTTTTTGTATCAAAAAATACACTTTTACTTTAAGCAGTACTTAAAAATTAGATAAAAATTAAAAAGTAATCTAAAAGCGAATTAATAAAAACTTTGATTTCGCTATTCACAAAAATATCAATCTTCCCTTTTATATCATCTAAATTACCCTAATTCTTAAATTATTCTTAGTAAGGTTATAGTATATCTAATTTAGAAGCTTCAAAATATGATAGTTCTTAAATTTTATAGGATAATAAAATTAATTTTTTTAAAGCTTCTAAAAATTATTTTTAAGATGCTTCTTGATCATCCTTAAATATTGATATAAAAATTTAATCAAACTCTTAAGGATAGTTTGAAAAAGATTAAATAATTCCTTCATAAATTTGTACTACTTCATCTTTTTCAGATTTAAGATTATAAATTAGATTTTATAATATTTCTTATTCCTAACTTGCTAGAATGATTTCATAGTCTTTTTATTTTTTATTTTCTTATTTTTTAAATGAGAATTCTTTATAATAATCCCAAATATTAACATTTTGAATTAGATCTCCTTTTAATAAAAATTAAGAAAATAATAAAAACTTTTGTTTACCCTCATTATTCAATATACTTGTTAATTCAATATCGTGGAATTTTCTTTCTTAATCGAATAAATACATAATAGCTTCATTTTTATTATAAGAAACACAACGAATCAAATTATTCTCAATTAGTAGATTCCATTTATTCAATGAAAAACCTTTTATTTACATTTCTAAAATTGATTTATCAATAATAGGACGATATCCAATTATATCAGTAATTATTTATATCCAACTAAAATGAATAATCCAGTTATCTGAAATTACTATATATTAAGAAAATATATCTTTTAATTTTTATATTTACTTATAGACTGAAAATTATGATTTTAGTTATTTGATTATAGACCATTTTATCATTTAAAAAAGATAATAAGTTTCATAAGTTTCTTTAGGATACAATTTCTTTTCAATTCCTTTTTTAAGAAGATATTTGCCACCATCAATAATTTTAGAAAGTAGATCCTCAGAAGGAGATAATGATATAATTGATTTGGCAACTTCTTTAAAAGTGTCAATTAATAAGTCCTATCCTTCAGTGGTATTAGTTTAGGAATTCATAATCATTATTTTCATTATTTTTACTTCAAATTCTATACCTGTCTTCCAAACATGAGCCTATTCTATTTCTAATTAAATATCGAATTCTTATAATTTTTATAAGTATCCCTGCTTTACTTATTCTTCAAAAAATCTTCCAGAATTTTTCAATAGAAGTGAATATATTGATCTTAACAGTTCATTACAAATCTATAAAATTTAATAACAAATAAATCCAGAATTCCTTAAATAAATTATCAACACCTCTAATAATTGAGCGAAATCTGCTGTCATTAAATCATAAATTTTTTTCCCCGCCTTTTCATCAATACAAAAATTATTCAAGTATTCTCTGTTATAAAGAAACCATTGAATCTTTTTTATTACTTCATTTCTCTTATTTGAATCACCAATTAGTGTTGCTTATTCTGTTATAAACTTTAGACATTCCGTAAGGTTCGAAATATAGTTTTCAGGCAATTACACTTACTTTTATTAATTTTCATCATTTTTCTGTTATGAGTCGATATTCTTCTAAATTTTTGACTTGCCACATCCTCCTCCTCTTAATCTAATATCACTGTTGTTCAAATATTATTCATTGTATATTATATTATTATCTAAATTCTCATAGAATGATGACCAAATATTTTCATTATTTATTTTAAATATGCCTTCTGATTCAAACTTTTACTAAATTTTGGCTGCTAGAGTTTTAGATTTTTAATTCAAAAAAGTGTTTGACATTTTTATTAATCAAAACTAAGGGAAATTATTGCAGTTATAAATTAAAGATTTTAAATTATAATGATTATTTAATTGTTCTTTAATATTTTTTAAATGAATTAAATTTTTATAATACTGATATGATATTTTAGAAAACTTTACTATGATTTATTTTATAAATATAAAAGCAAATAGAAATGAAACAAATTTTATATTACTTTTCTTCTAGCAATCTTATTTTCCAGGAAATAATCCAAGAATAAAGAAAGAATTGATTTCGTAATTAATTTAATCAATTCTGTAAAATTCAGATAGGATAATCTTGTATAGTCATCAGCATTTGTTTGAGAAAATTGTCATCATTGTTGTTCAAAATAAACCTATGAATAATACTTTATTTCAAATCTAAATGAGGGAACAAAAATTAAAATTGAGAATTTAATAACAATTATATTTTAGCACTTATTAGAAGCGAAATTTTAAGATAGATAATTTGAAAAATTTTCTTTCTTCAATAACAATCAAAGTTATCGTTGTATTTAAATCCACATATAATTAATCATAGCCAAAAGACATCTTTTTTGGTTATATACTAATTTCATCTTATTATGTTTAACAATCATTTTAAAATGGAAAAGCTAAAATGAGTTTTTTGAAAATCTCTTTAATATTTTTGGTCTTTGATTAATTTAATCTAAATATCATTTTAATTCCATAAATATAGACATGATTGATTCTATAAAATTTCAATGAAATTAGGTCTAAGTTTAATTTTCTTTCCATAATTCATTCAGGCTTTTAGCATAAATTCAAAAATCTATGTGTCTAGATTTGATTTAAGGAGGATTGAGGAATATTTTTGGTTAACTAAATTATAAGGTTAAGAAGAATTTATTTTTATAGAACTATGAAAATTGGTTTACTGGTTACTTTTCGGGCCTATTAATTTAGAACATACCTTTTAAACTGATTTAAAGCATTTATAGCTTGTCATTAAAGACATTTTTAAGCTGTGATATTAAAAAGGATAAATGATTCAAGTATCAAAGTTTTAATCTAAATCAATAGCACATGAGCGTAGTTTCTAATTATACCCATTATTTAGATTTATTTCATCAAAATTAATTGGTTGTGTATGCTAATTATTTAATTCCTCTGGATTGATGTACTATTACTCCTTGATATTGAAAAAAAATTGAAATTAATCATTACTTATAGATTTGAAAGGGAAGAAATAAATATGTCAATGATTAAACAATTTAATTTATCTTTTTTCTTCTTAAAAAATATGTTGAATATTTTTAAGTGAAAAAAAATAGAAATTTTTTTGATTGCATTTCCAATTTCCTCAACTTCAATCACTATAATATTCTTCAAATTCATAGACTTAAACTGACAAGAAATAAATAGGATTACCTAGAGTAATTTTTCAATAGACTATTCCATTATCTTTATTTTTTCCCATGGTATTTATTTAAATAAATTCAATCTTGCTATACATTTCATTGATATAGCTGTTATTAAAAAATATTTATAAAACATATTATACTACATAATAATATATCAGTGGAGGTGATAAAATATGCCTATTTTATCTCCCTAAATTATAAAATTATATTGGGGATTTTCCAGGTTAGGAAATTCAATAGTATAAAATTTTGGAAATTCACTATTAAAAATTGTTTGATATAATTATAATTAGATTTTAAGTAATAATAGTGATTAAAAATTAATTGAAACACTATCTGATGGAACATCTGGAGGAGTAGAAGAAAAATGATACAGTATAAAATTTTAATAGATTTAATTAACTTGTTATTGAAATTTGCAGTCATCTTATGAATGATTGGGTTTTAGTAAAAATGAACGTTAACTTGTTGTTGAAGGAGCTGCAGCTTTAGCTTATGCTGGTTTAATCAACTATCCAATAGTGTGTCTTACATGTTTAATTGTATCATTTGGATCTAATGTTGATCCACATAAAATTATCCTTAAAAATTATTGATTATCAATTAATATCAAAAACATAAACAATAAATTAATCGAAATCATGCAATTGCTTAATTATAACTTGGCTTTTTTGATTTTATTTTACTTTATATAAAATATATAGATATGTCTTATTTCTTATTTCTTTTGATTCCAAATCTCCTGGAATATCATAAAATGGAATCTATTTGAACAATTTTGTGTTATTTTATAATAATTCCTTTTAATATTGCTGAATATTATTCTGAATTTGGAAAACATGCTTCTATATCAACACTTTAGATAATATCTAATTTAGACATTTTTTGAATAAACTAAATATAGCAGGTGTATCATATAAATTCAATCCATAAATATCATTCAATTTTATTAAGTGCTTAATTCTATTAATTAAATAATTCATTACTAATTGTTGGCCCTAATTTCTTTTTGATCACAATCCTTGTCTTTTATGATCCAGATGGACCTATTAGTAATACAATAAACTCTATTAATTCATTTCCTTAAAAAACAAGATATCTAACCAATTAATTTAATTTTTTCATTTCTTTTTTTATATTATTTATAAAAATTAATAAATATATATAATTTATTTATATCTTTTTTTTTTTGATAGAATTAGGAATTCATAATAAAAATTTTCAAAATTTAAATTAACTTATGAATCAAAGCACTTTTGTTTTAACAAATTAAGAATCTTAAATAAGACTTTAAACTATTTTTGATGATATTAAAGATGAATTACTTAAAGATGATGAAGATATTTAAATTGAATTAGATCCTATCTATCAATCATTAAACGAGGAAGATTAAAAGGTGATATCTGAGTACTTNAGATTTTAAGTAATAATAGTGATTAAAAATTAATTGAAACACTATCTGATGGAACATCTGGAGGAGTAGAAGAAAAATGATACAGTATAAAATTTTAATAGATTTAATTAACTTGTTATTGAAATTTGCAGTCATCTTATGAATGATTGGGTTTTAGTAAAAATGAACGTTAACTTGTTGTTGAAGGAGCTGCAGCTTTAGCTTATGCTGGTTTAATCAACTATCCAATAGTGTGTCTTACATGTTTAATTGTATCATTTGGATCTAATGTTGATCCACATAAAATTATCCTTAAAAATTATTGATTATCAATTAATATCAAAAACATAAACAATAAATTAATCGAAATCATGCAATTGCTTAATTATAACTTGGCTTTTTTGATTTTATTTTACTTTATATAAAATATATAGATATGTCTTATTTCTTATTTCTTTTGATTCCAAATCTCCTGGAATATCATAAAATGGAATCTATTTGAACAATTTTGTGTTATTTTATAATAATTCCTTTTAATATTGCTGAATATTATTCTGAATTTGGAAAACATGCTTCTATATCAACACTTTAGATAATATCTAATTTAGACATTTTTTGAATAAACTAAATATAGCAGGTGTATCATATAAATTCAATCCATAAATATCATTCAATTTTATTAAGTGCTTAATTCTATTAATTAAATAATTCATTACTAATTGTTGGCCCTAATTTCTTTTTGATCACAATCCTTGTCTTTTATGATCCAGATGGACCTATTAGTAATACAATAAACTCTATTAATTCATTTCCTTAAAAAACAAGATATCTAACCAATTAATTTAATTTTTTCATTTCTTTTTTTATATTATTTATAAAAATTAATAAATATATATAATTTATTTATATCTTTTTTTTTTTGATAGAATTAGGAATTCATAATAAAAATTTTCAAAATTTAAATTAACTTATGAATCAAAGCACTTTTGTTTTAACAAATTAAGAATCTTAAATAAGACTTTAAACTATTTTTGATGATATTAAAGATGAATTACTTAAAGATGATGAAGATATTTAAATTGAATTAGATCCTATCTATCAATCATTAAACGAGGAAGATTAAAAGGTGATATCTGAGTACTTTAAAACTTATTTTCCAAATCATTCATTTTGGAAAACTTAAAAATATAATTATCAAGACATTTAATAATAAAATATTGATTTTAAATAACTTTTTCAGAAGGAAGTTTAATAGGACAAAAATTGGTATAACCTCATCAATTTACTTAAAATAAAAGAATTTTGTGATTAAAATTAAATTCCTGATATTCTTATAAACACAGAAAGTTTATAATTAATGTAAAAACTAAAAGAAAAATTATTCTATGTCTTTGAATTTCTTCTTTTAATATAAGAAGAAGAATAATAACAATTTAAACGTATAATGACTTTTCTACTTTAATTTCTTTATGACTTTGATGAATTAGATCAAAATGAATAAGATTATTTAGAATAAATAATAGGATCATTGTTAAATAAAAAAGTATTTGAATTTATGGAATATTAAGACTCTATTTTTTTTGGAGATGTTCAACAATTATAATTTGTGGGTAGTTTAATTTAAGACTTTTAATTATAAAATAAACAATTAGAAGAAATCCTTTAAGAAAAACACCTAACTAAGTAATAGTAATCATTTATAAACTTACTATGTACTTAAAATTTAATTACACCTAAATAAAACTTGAATGAATATTTTTGTTTCTAATTGCTAAAGATTGTTGAAGTATAGAAAAATATATTAATAACCAATAAAATATGGAAACAAAAAATATTAAATAAGTTGGATTACTTATCATTAAATGATATTATGTAATATGAATTAGCTTATTTTCGACTTCTCTTTCATTTCTGGATATAATATTTTAATTCAATAAAGTAAAAAAATGAAATAATAGAATTAAAAGAAAACTTGAAAAAAGCAAAACCTGAGAGAAAAGCTGATGTGATAAAGAGATTTTTAACAAAAATTTAAAAAAACACAACTGATAATCTTCATCTTTTTATTCTTTATGATGTAATTTTTTTCAATCCTAATTTAATTAATTTATTAAAAAATTAATAGTATCAATAATATATGGAGAAAATAGAGAATAATTATAAAATTACTTAGAAATATTAATAACCTTGTAATGAAATATTTATAGAAAAATTTTTAAAAAATCAAGATGAATTTCTCTAACGTTTCAAAAAACTTTCTTTAACTTAATTATAATTATTATATAAAGATATAAAAAATCCTTAGTTCTATTATTTAATTTACTTTTTAGAAAATCAAGATGAAAACTAAGTTAAAAACATATTATAGTAATTATTTCAAAACACATCTGTAAAAAAGCGATTAAATATTTTAGAAGATTTTTATAAAAGATAAATTTTAAAATCTCATGAAATCGTATTATTCTTAAATTTAATTAGAACTAATTAATTTAAAACCTAATTAATCATTAAATTATTTTATATCACTTACAATTTTGAATTTATTGATAACTTATTTGAAATTTAAAAGTGTGTATAAGAGAAATAACATTATATGCCAGAAACAATAATTTTACTAAATAAAATAGAAAGGAATTAATGGGTTTTAATCAGTCTTATTATAGGCGAAAAAGAATTAGAATTAATTGCAAGTAATTGCTTAATTTAGTTATAAAAAGAATAAATAAAAAGTTTTGACATGCTTTATAATATTCTTATTAATATTTTATTGGCCTTAAAAACAATAAAAAGCACCAATTTAAAATTAATTCAAATATTATTAAGATATTTTTTAAAATTGAAAATAAAAAAACAATCTTTGGAAAAGAAGAAATATTCTGTTTTGAAATATTTTTTAAAAATTAACCACATTTAATAAGAAATTTCTTTGAAACAGTATTAAATAACATTATTTTTTATATTAGATATAATTTAAATATTAAAAAAAAAAGAAGATTTTTAATTTAAAAAAGATAGAGATTCTTTGATAAGTCAATAAAAAATATTGTTAAATCTAAATTTAATTATCAAAAATAAAGCATATGATTTTGATCTTATTTACCAAGAGCTACAAAATAATACTCAAATGAAAATCATTCAATATGTACTCCACATATAGTTTATCTTTAAAAATAAGAATAGCTTTTAATTAAAAGAAGTATTAGTTTACTCTAACAAATTATATCATATGGATTCAGTTTTATATGAAAGATTATATAAACAATTATGGAAAGATGAATTTACATTATCTCCTCATTATGTTTCAAGTTATCAATAATTTAAAAATCTTCCTATGAATGGCAATATATAATTGTATGATTTTAATATTTCTTTATCAGAAATGTCTATTGATGAGTAAAATCATTTAATTTTAGATTGGATCTCTTAAATGAATGACCAATAAGTATTTAAAAGTTTAGTTCCCATTTTCTTTGATATAATTAAAAGGGGAGAAGATTCTAAAAGTTTTGTTTCCATTATTAACAAGTAAATTTAATTTAAAAAATTGGATTTATTTAAAAATGGATTTAATATGAAGGCTTTATTTTAAATTTTATATAATAATTCAGATTTTGAATTATAAGTTATGCTTCTAAAATTTTATTGCAAATTCAACCCAATTCCTTTACTTTACAAAAATTTAGATCTTGATAATATAAAGCATGAAGATGAAGTCTATAAGCTTAATGAAAAATTGTTTTATATAATTCCAGATTGTTTAACAATTATTAATTTTAGTTTAACTTCAAAATAAAAATCTTTTGGTAAAACAATGTTAATCAATACAATTTTTTATTAAATGAATAAATTTGAAATATGTGATAAGTGTGAAATTAATAATTCTACTATTGATATAATGTTTGATTATAGTTTTAGTGGTTCTAGATAATTTGCAATTGCAGATACTCATGGAATCATACCTGAATCAATACTATTAAAAATACTTCCTTTCTTTCAAATTTGGATTATTTAATTGAATTCAGAAAATGAATTATTAGAAACTTACAAAAATTTAAAAACTTTAGTTTCATCTTTAAATAATTTATAAAAATCTACAAAATTTTGTTTAGTAATTAGAAATTCTATAGAACCAATAGATAAATTAAAATCAAATTAATAATATGATGAAATATTTAAATTTACTTAACAACACATTCATTGCATTAAGGATTTAACCTAATAAAATATTAGTTAAAATTTTAAGGATAATGAAGAAGAATAATTTAAAAAATTTATTTTTGAAGTTATATCTTAAACAACCTTGAGCGATAGATTAAATAATTAAAAAGTCTTTTTAGATATTTTTAAGAAATTTAAGAATCAGGATTTAGAATTGTAAAAATACATAGAAAAAGATGAAATCATTATTCTAAATCTGGAAAAAGAAATAAAAGAATTAAAAGATAGACCAAATGGATTTTATAACAAAGATTCTTTTCCTATCAGATCTCTAGAATATGAAATTTTGAAATTAAATGAAGAAAAATTTAGTTTATTTTAATAAAACTAAAATTATAATAGTTAAAATAGAATAACCTAAATTCAAAATTAAATAACCTAATTAGAAAATTCTATGAAGGATTAACAGTATACTAAAATATTAAATTTATTTTGTGAAATGTTTAATACAAATAATTCTTATATTTTATATCTTTCATTTGTTGAAAAACTTAGAATATTTAGTGAAACTAATTCCAATTAGATTTAAGATAAAATTTAATATCTTAATGAAAAACTTTAAACTTTGAAAAAAGAAAGAAAAACTTTAAGCCAAAAAAATGAATAAAGTGAGTAATATGAGAAAGAGATCAATGAATTGAATGCAGAAATAAAAAAAAAAAATGAGGAACTAAAAAATGAATAAAAAAAAATTTAAGAGAGAAGCATTGGGATAGAATTATTTTGGAGAGAAGTGATAGCACTTAACACTAAATCCATAAATTTAAAAAAAAAGTTAAATACAGTTGATATTGTTTATGAATTAATTAAAAAAGGAGAACCGTTTGAATTTTTAGATGGAGATTAATTAAAAATAGATCAGAAATTCTTATAGTAATTAACTGATAAATTTTCTAAGTCAGGTTAGGAATCTGATAAATAATCTAATTCAGGCGAGGAGAAAGTTTTGGTTTTAAGTATATTAGGTCCTTAAAGTTCAGGTAAATCACTAATTTTAAATAAAATATTTGGTTGTCATTTTTGGACAAGCGTAGGTAGATGCACTAAAGGTATCTATCTATAATTATTAAAAATTCAATAAAAGAACTAATTTGATAATTAATTTGATTACATTCTAATTTTAGATACTGAAGGATTACAAAATCCAAATTAAAAAGATCCTGAATTTGATAAAAAAATTGCTTTATTTGTGTTATCAATTAGTGATATAATCATAATTAATGTAAAAGGAGATATTAATCAACAATTTAAAAATTTAGTAGAAATGTGTATTTTTACATTAGGTTAGATGAAAAGTGTTATTTCAGCAAATAAATAATTAAGTTGGTGTTTTAATCAAAATAACGACGTCAATAAAGTTGCTCCTTTTTTGGATTAAATCTAAGGAATTGCAAGTAATTTACATTTGGAATTTAGCTAAAATGAATAAGAAAGTGAATCCTAAAATATTGACTATAATGAAATTTTGGATATAAAAAAAGAAAACATTCAAATTTTAGGATTTGCATCAACTGAACGAAGCTGGAAAAGCTCTACTGAAGGTTTATCATAAAACTGGAAATAATTAATTATCAATGAAACTTTTTCTTAGGAAGCCTATTAGTATGGAGTAGGAATAATTAAAAATTTTTTAGCCAAGAAAAAATAGGGAAATGATGAAAACCCAATATCTAGTCTTCATTTTTTTATATAAAATATTGAAACAAATTGGTAAAGTATTTGTAGGTTACCAGACTTATTGGAATTTACAGAATTAATATAATATAAATAAGATGAATTAATGAAAAATTTCTTTTTTCAAAATTATAAAAGTCATAATTTTGATTTTATTGATAATTTACCAAATGAAATAAAAAAATATCTAGATTCACTAAATTAAAAAGTTTTGTCAACATTCGAAAAATTTGAAAATCAAAAAGTTAATGAAGTGACTAATGTATTTGATCAAATCTAAACTTCAATGAATGATTAATTAAACAAGTTTAAATAAGATAATTAAATTTCGAAGAAAATATTTTAAAAATATAAAAATAGATTAGAAGAAAAAATTTAGTGTTAGATAGAAGACTGTAAAGTAACCATTTATAGCGAAGTTAAAAATTATGAAACTGAATTTCAAAAAACTAATGGTTTCAAGGAAATTGAAAATTTTATTTCAGATATTAGTGAAAATCAATAAGAAATATATGAATTATAGTAAAACGAAAACCTAATTGAGGGAAGATTTAAAAATAAATGGGAATAAATAATTAAAGCCTAAAGTCAATAAATGTTAAACATATTTTATGAATATTCAAAAAAGCAATATATTGCTATTACATGTTCTTTTAATTAATATAGATTGCAAACTGAAAGGGAACAAGAAATTTAAGATTATTTTATTAAAAATGTTAATAAATATTCACCCTTCACAAATTTAAAGCTTGATTAGTCTAAAATATTTGAGATATATTAAGAAGAATTAAAAGTGCAATAATTTCTTCCACTTGATGCTACAAAAACCATTACAGTTTATGAAGATATTTTTAGTTAACCAATTATTGAAAAGTTAAAAAAAGCAAAAGAAACAGATCTAATTAATATAAATGATTATTATAATGTTTAAGTAGAGTACTACGTCATAAAAAGAAAAGAATTGGAGATCTATTTAACAAATAAAATATTAGTTGATTTTAAATCCTTATAAGCAGCATATCAGTAATAAAGAGAATAAACATACAATTATAATCAAATTTCTCACAATTAATTTTTTTAGTTTTTATTAATAATACATTAATTTAAATTAGAATATGATTAAACATAATATAATAATTTGATAAAAGCAATCAATGACATTCCTAAAATTTTTAATGAAACATGTAAATCTTTCGATGAAAAAGTATTAAAATCCTTTGTCAACCTCTAAAAAACCTTCAAAATATCGACTGAGAAAATTGTACTGGATAATTAAGAATATTTTCAATCTTTTAATAGTTATTATTCCAAACTTGCCTTTGAGTGTGAATCTAAAGTATTAAATAATGCTGATGATTGTGAAGAATTTCTTGAAAAAAATACAGATGATAAATTAATAATATTTCATTCAAAAAAAATCATTCCCAAAGATTAATTGAATTTAAGTTTAGATTACATTACAGATTAAAATTGTAAATAGTCAAAAAATGCATTTTCTAATAATTTTATCGAATTTTTCAGTAAAGAAATGATGTAGAAAAAAGGTTGGAAAAAATTATATTCATAACTTTATGATATTGTATTAAAAGAAATGAAATCTAATTATTCAAATATAAATAAAGATTAATAATTAGATAGTGATGAAGAATTAGTTATTTCTAATGTTAACAGAGTATAGTTAGTCATGAATGAAATAAAACCATAAATTTAATAATTTAATAAATAATTTGCACTATTTGGGATTACTTTGAATGACATAGGTGAAAGATGCATTTATTATTATTCAATGCTACTCATTTGGAGATTTTCATGTTATTAGAAATAGAAGACATTAGAAGTGAGCTCTAAAAATTTATAAAATTAAAATCAATCGGAATTTGAAAAATTTAAAGCTGCTATATTACAGAATAAAGTATAATAAAGTAAAATTAAAGCTAAATCTTTATCTGATGCAATATATAAAACTTATATTGACAAATTTTACTACGAAAAAAAATAAAATGTGTAGCAAGCACTCAAAGAAAAAAAAAACATTAATTGCTACCAAATAATAAATGAAAATGATAAAAACTTATTAGAAAATTATAAGGAAAATCTGGATGGAGAAAAAAAAAATGAAATCTTAAATTATATTACTGATTAAAAAAAATTTATAGAAAATTAAGCAAAAGATTACATAAAATAGATACAAGATTAGTTAATAAAAGATTATCAAGAATAACTAAGAAATGGATTAAATAATTATCTATTAATGCTTCAATCAAATGTTGAAAAAATTTAACATATTGTTTTTGATTAGAAAATAGATGGAAATAAAGTAAATGAATATTTTGAAATTTGTGATAATGATTCTAGAAATGATCTAGAATTTGAATAAATGATGTTTAAATTAATAAAACCTTGCATTTTTGGAGGAGAAGAATAGAATCCAATATTAAATAAAATAAAATTTTAATATTAAGAAATTTTTAATTACAAAAAGTATGATAATGTCTTCCCTAAATTAAATTTAACAAATTTACAATCAGAATAAGAAATTTAACAATTAAAACCTTATATTAAATAACTGTTATTGCATTTCAAGGAAAATCTAGCAAAATGCAAGAAGGAAATATTGAAATTGGACTAGTTTGATATATAAAGGGAGCTTGATGAAATCAAATTAAATATGATTGGATGCATAGAATCTTGCCCTTTTTGCAATAGAAAATGTGATGAACCAAATGATAAGGATCACAAACATAAATGTAGAAATGGACATTAATTACGAGGTATATTTATTTTTTATTTTAGGTATGAATTATGTATTGATAAAAGATAAACCTTCATTACTTTTATGTGAAGAAATAAAGGATGATTTAAATGATAAAAATATAGGATTAAACTATCTCAGCAACATGGAAAGCTATGAAAAAATAGAACAAAAAATGGGATTTTGATTTATTAATAAATTTAGAAGATAAAAATAAATTAAAAAACAAAATGATGAATGTTTGGAATGGAGGTATTGGTTAACTTGTTTGTAATTAATTGACATAAAAATATGGAAAAAAGATACAATTCATTAAGAAAAATTAATTTGAATTAACGAATATCCATTATCTAATAGTTCTTGATGATTCTGGTTCAATGGGAGAAAATCAGGGTTTTTAACGAAATAGTATATTAAATCAACACAATTAAATTGCCACATCATAAAATCAATCTTAAATTCCTACATAATAAAATCAATCTTAAATTCCTACATAATAAAATCAATCTTAAATTCCTACATAATAAAATCCATCTTTAATACCAACATAATAAAATCAATCTTAAATTTCAAAATATTAAAATATATAATTGTAAAAACAAACATATTAACTTAACCCTTAAAACTCATACTATCGTCAAAAAATGTTATAATTAAAAAAACAAACTTAAATTGCAACATAATAAAAACCATCTTAAATTTCAACATAATAAATTCTACTTTAAAGTGCAACAGAATAAAGTCAATTTTAAATTGCAAAATAAAAAACTCCGTTTGAAATTGCAAAATAGGGCTGTATTAATTGTATGAAGGATATATAAACAAATCCACTGGCGCGTGTTAGCCTTATTATTTTTAATTCAGAAGCAAGAGTTGAGATTGATTGTGAGGAAGTGAATGTTGAAGATTAATCTAAAAGGTTTACATATAAGAGCGGTAATACATGCTTTGAAAATGCTTTTAAAGAAGTTTATAATTTGATTTAAAAGCATTCAAACAAAAATTTTGAAAGTAATTTACTAATTGTATTTTTTAGAACAAGTTATTTTATTTTACACTGATGGACAAGCTGATTACCCAAAAAATGCAATGGAATAATTCGCTGCTTTACCTTAGGAATAGAAATAAACAATTTCTTTAATTGTCTGTACATAAGATAATTTTCCAGCAACTTTATCATAAATGGTTTCAGATTTAAAGAAAAGCGGTTTTTAAGCCGAGCTCTAAAAGAATGTTTAGGTTGAGCAAATAGAATTAGTTTGGACAGAAATTATCTAAAATGGAATTCATATAAAGGAATGAAATTGCATATAACAACATTTAAAATAAATATTTAAAAATGTTTCTTAATTTCTCATAATTAAATAACTTTAATCTAAAGCTAAATTTAAAGAATTATTCTTTATAACTTTAATTATTTTTCGTTTATCTATGGATTTGCTTTATCATTTTACAGATGCTGAAAATTTTTTTCCAGATGTATTGATTAGATCAAAAGTTATAAATTTAATAAATATTTTCACAATATTGCTTTAATTGATCTTTTGCTTATTTTTATAGATAATTACATTCTTTTATTGGGTTTAAATTAGAAATTAAGTTAAATAAATTTAGTTATTTTATTTTAAATTGCAAAATCAAAATATACTTACAGAATTGTGGTTATCACTAGTCTTTTGAACGTAAGTATGAAATAGAATAAATAAGCCTACTTAAATGGTTGTTAATATAAGGGTTGGCCC